TTATCTTCGTATTTCCACGCGCGCTCAACCATCGTCCACACTGTAAACGAAGGCTTATCTGCGCCTTGGAACCCTTTGGAAACGCGAGATGCGCGGAGGGGAAAGAAGACAAATGCATACAGCAGCCGTTTTTGTGACCATAGTGCAGACGCGCCGAGTGACTCATCGTGCGATGTTCGAAATGTCGTAGTCATAATTATAAGGTAGGCTAATCCATTTCGGATGAACTCTATGTACGATCGCTGCATCCACAGCGATAAATCGCTTTACTAATTGACTTGGTCGATTCTTCCCTGCAGCGTGCATCTGCGTTGCGAAAACAAAGTGTCGACGACCGTTTGTGCGTTTTTGAGCAGCTGCACGTTTACTCCTATCTAGTTCAATTATTATGGATTCCGAATGAGCGACGCTCGATTCTCTCCTCTTCAATTTACGAACAATCAAGTATCTTCGATAACCACGACACAGTCATTCGATGCTTGCTGCCATTCGTCATGCAAACTTGTCATATCAATATCAGTTGATGTCTTCGAGCGTGACGCTCGCTTGTTTTTCCACAAAGTTGACGCAGTCCTGCCTATTTCCATGCCCAATTCCTCGACAATCATCGGAGACGAAGGACTCCTCAAGTCCCAATCGCAAGCACCAATCGCGCGTCGCCGGCAGTCGTCGCCGCAAAAGCTCGAAGCGCAGTCGTTGTCACACGCGACTGCGAGGGCACGTCGTAGCATCAGTGGCAGCGTGACGCGATCGCCGAAAAATCCCCAGCAGCAGAAGCGTGATTCAGCGCGGCTCGCGCGCCAGATGAGCTTTTGCGCCAGGCACATGCACGCACGCGAGACACCTTCGCGGAAGCCGATGAGTTTGACTGGATCTTTAACCGCCGAGTCTACACGCTCGCGCTACAGCGCCGATAAGCCGCGCACGAGACCGCACGATTCGTCAGCGTGAATAGTATGCGGTGAGACGAAACGCCGCAAATCTCTTTCTCGTCGTCGCTGTATGCTCGGCAGCGCACCAACCGACCCACGTACACGTATTCACCAAGCGCTTTGTTTATCATTTATCAATCACCACATATACTAATGCGCAGATTCCGAGGCGTCGTTAAAATTCCTAGGGATAGCGATCCCCACGCGCACGCCGATTAGCACAGCTTTCGTCAATGAATATTCATTCAATTAAATCCACATTCCTCCGCGCCCAATCGAGAACAAGAAGAAGAAACTGAAGGAAACAAGGCATATACCCGTGGAATGTGTAATTGCAAGGCGTCTCTGGTATTGAAAGCAGCGCCGGCACAGAATACGTCGTCGCGCTGCATGGAAATTAACGCGAGGGAGGGGAGGGGGCAGCGCTTCCCCTGAAAACCGTGAAAATCGTCGAGCGATTGTGTAATGGAACAAATGACTCTTGACGCGCCGCTTTCGATACGTGTAGAAAGCTATGCAGCCGCTTGTTACGTGTCCTGTCGCTACGTGCGCCCGTCTGCTCAATTAAACTCGACGTATGCAAGCTACGCGCATCCAAGATTTTCCATTGCGTGCTCGGCATACTTCTTGGCGGACAATCACCACGACTACTCTCTTTGGCATTCGTTATCTCTCGGCCGCGTGTCGCTGATTGCCAGATAATAATATTATCTTTATTTCTAGTCTGAAAGTGTTTTCGCAAATGGGAAAGATCGCTCCACTTGTCGGGTGCGACGCTGCTTTTGTCCTGTGCGCTCGCAGTACTGTTTGCTAACGATTAGTGCGAAAACCAATTCCACAGACGGGCGTCCGCGGTCCGAGTCCCAATTTTTCAAATAACTCCATTTCCTGCTGCTAAGTGTAGTCTGCAGAAGAAAAGGCACTCGAACGAGAAACAACGCACTCGTTACGCTGCAACGCGTGCAGCTCTCTGCTTCATAACTCCTTCGCAGAAGGGGCTTATATATTCAACAGCTTAGCCCCCATGAATGTTTAGATAGCGTGACTCCTCCTCCTCGACATCCTTTTCGGAAAACAAAAGGGCGTCTCGCTTTGGCGCTCTCCAAGTTACGCGCGTGGGATATCCTTTTTGATATTTCGCACGATTCGGTACTCCGAGGTCAAAGTCTCCTCGCCACATAGGCGCGCCTTTTTATTAACGAGAGCCTTGTCGAACGAAGGTAAGGAACAAAGTCGAGAATAGCATTGCAATTATCGATTGGTTGCTTCGCCACGGAATCAATAGATGCACATCTTCGTTTGTTGCAGTTTTCATTGCGACCGCGATAGAATCTTCATTGAGAATGTTCAGGCCAAGTCGGATCCAATGAGACCTGCTGTTCTTCGTGAACGCGTCTCTCGCGAATTACGTAGGTCCGAGTGCCAATGCAAACGCGTCGCCGAAGACAACTTCGTATTTGACTGCGAGCCGCGTGGAAAAAGCCCCGACTGGACGGTCTCGTGCGCCGCGCATTCAGACGTCGCGTATACGCGCGACAAAAGGGAGCTCTGAAAACGAATGCGAGTGACCGAGTTGCGTTGCACTGGTCATTGCTCTCTCTCTCTCTGTCTCTCTCTCTTTCTCTCGATCTCCGTGATGATGCTGCTCGTCATTTATGCTTAATCCGTAGGAAGCCGGAAACGCCTTTGATATACTTCATGGGCGTGACGGTATATTTCCAACTTCATGTTCTTGTTTTTCAAGTGATGTCGCTTAATGCACGTTGCATAAGCAACGCCAGAGAAAAAGGGTTGGCAGTGACGTCAAGATTTTTCAGAGGCACGTAGAGCACATCTGCAGGCTTCCGCCCGCCTTGATATAAGTTTCGACTAGGCTATGCAGGCAGTCGAAGAAGCAAAAAATCGAAGGATAGTATGCATATCGCGGATGGTTATGTCTCGCGTTCACGTGATCCTTTCACTCCTTTTACAATTAGCGAGCGCGCGGTCGATACTTTATAGCGTTATGACACCAAGCGCTAAAGTGGCCTCTCCGGTATGTGGATCAAAGTCGCGTACGCCAGGAATGTTACTTGCCAATCGGCGGATGCGAGCTCGTGCGCCGATTAGCGTTTCACGCGCAGCAACGCTATGCGCAAGCCTCGAGTTCTTTTTTCGCGCGACAGCGCGTCGAGATTCGGTCTTGCATTTTTACTTCTCTTTTCTACTGAATTTTTAAGAAATATCGCAACGATACCAAAAAAACAGCTCGCTGACTTGAGGACTCCTTATCTATCTTATACGGCTGCATTGAGAACTCAAGGCTTTCCGAAAATTCGCGACAGCTCGTTCCGGTGCTCGACCCATTTTTACTTTTTTGGACATTCGAGAAAGCGAGTAAATGAACGAACAAGAAATTTTGGAAAGTACGTTGACAATTTCATTGCGTACAGGACTAATTTTCATGACTTTTGACTAAAGGATGCGAGTAATTTACACTTTTAATTATTTGGCGACAGAGTGAATCATATAAACGTTCGCAAATGTTCACTAACAAGACATTTAAAATCGTTTTCCATAGCACCGACTCGTTTCCATAACTTTTCTGAAGCTTACGTGCGAGAGAGAGGGTCAATGGCGAATGCATAAATCCCACCTAAAAGACTAGGCACAAAGCAGAACAGCGTGCCTATACCCACACAGCAAGTATATACCCAGGAAGTTACCTAATCACCAATTATTCTTTTCACCTTGTTTACCGGTGAAAGTTGCGCTGAGCGTGATTATTAATTGCACTTTTAATTTTGCAAACGAGTCTTTTACGCAATATTTATTCCTACGTAGAAAAAACAATTTGCTAATGTTCCCGAAGAAAATTGCACCTGCAAGATTGACCCTGACCACATTATCAACGCAGAAGCGGCGAATTGGAAGAATCAGAAAGCGAAATACGCATAACAGATTTCCTCGCTAAAATGCGGCTATCCACCACGCATACACGAACACATTATGTGTGAAAGCGCGCCGGGATTCCAGTACGTTTACTGTGTTTATAGTTGTACACATTGTCAATTTCGTTTTGTCTTACCAATGACGGATTCTCCTCTCACTTGTCTTAGTTCGTCCAAAGGACGTTCCAGTGTAGGATGCTCGAAGAACTCAGTGCATGTTTCCACCCACAACGGTGGCTTGACGATGCCCAATTTGAGAAAACCACAATGACATCATTTTTTCTCTCTTCGCTCACTGGTTTCGGCAGTACGTAATTGGTTCGTCTTTGATTTCTTCGTTAGCAGATGTTTCTTTCCCTACATTTACGCTTCAATTGTTTGTTATTGAATTGCTATTTACCGTTTTTTTAATAAGGTTTTAAAAGCAAACGTTTTTCAACTGCAATAACCCATTGAATATCAAACATTCACGAAACGCACTCTCCATTATAAACAAACGAATCCCACGACCGCAAATTACATTCCAGCAACAGAAATGGCAGCGTAATCGAAATCCAACTCACCACGTATCAATTCATTGTCGTTCAATTAAACGCACCGAGCGAACGTGTTCACTCTCGTCCTGAATTTCTACAACGCGAACTCGAAAGGACGCGAAAAGATGAAAAAAAGGCTGCAATCAATCAGTCAAAATTGATATAAAAAAGCATCGTCGTCACAGGAAGTTTTCCAGTGAAATTTAGGGAGAAATTTATTTGTAAATGGGGGGAGGGTTCATAGTTACCTGCTGCGTCCTTCATTCCGTTTTAGATCCTTGTGTTTGTACGCTGTAAGTACGCATTAAGTATGTAATATACGTTAGAAATAAAACAATTCTTTTTCGAGTGTATTATATCGAACTTTTCTACTTTAAAAATACATTTTATAGATCTTTTTTTATTGCGTCGATTCATTGGATTTTGAGTGAGATTTTTTAATTTATATTTTACTTGCTTGAAAGTAATAGAAAGTCGAAGCTGTTACTCTTGAAATTCGTTTGCTATCGTTTAAAATGAGTAATTTTTTTTTTTAATAACGTATGTGTTGTTTATTTAGCTTTCTCTCTTTCCAATATACCAAATCAGAGTGATAAAAAAAGAAATTAACAAACGTCGTGCGATAATATGAGTTTCTCCAATATACTTTCTTAATAAGCTTTACGCTTGACTTTGAAACAGTAAAAAAGTAATTTTGCACTTTGAAAAACGTGGGATAATATGAAGAAAACATACTAATCGTCAAAGATTGAAACGACGCAAAAACAAAATTAGACGTTCAAGTCAAGCAATACAAAAGAATCACAATAATCAGTAGCATCGGAGAAGTTGAATAAGAAAGGAAAAAGAATGTGAATTGACTGGTATAAGATACTAAATAATAAGCGTTATAGCTGCGTGCAGGTGCACTCCTCTAATGTAGCGGATAGGTGTACCACGCTGTGCATAGCACGCTCCTCGACGCATCGAGTGAGCGCACTGCACAACAAACTTGCGCTACAGCTATTGCGTAATTCGAAAAGCGCGTCCTTGAGGACTTTAAGAAAGTCATCGGAAAATGAATAATCAGATTATTGTCGCGTTTGTTCTCTATTTTTGTTTATTCGTAACAAGCAATTAATCAACAATAGAATCATTCTTATCAGTTAGTTTTTTCCAAGCACTACGAGTAAACTGGTGACTGTACACCATCCTTGCAGGGAGTACAAAATCGTATGGATAGTCTGAGAGTAAAATGCCTCGTGTACATGCGATGCGCTGTTTTACCCCTCGAGCCGTTAGGCGTAATAGTAAATTAGAACATTACTAATTAAGATTACTAACTAAAATTATAAATCTAAATACTTTCAAATAGTTAACACGGTTCTGTGTCGCCTGCTGTGGGTGCAAATACGCACTGTGTGAAATACCGACCTCGCTTCGCTCGGTTGGCAACATCACCCGGTGCGTACTTTGCCAACTGTACACCTTCATAGTGTAATGTACTGAAATTACAATATCGAATTAACGCCTGCCTTTTTTATGACCTTTACCACGTCCACCACCACCACTGTCACCGCCTCCTTTGCGGCCACCCTTCTTGCGACCGTTCCTACGCTTCTTCCTCTCGAGGACTTCTCGGGATTTGAGGATCTGCTCGGGTGTCCTCAGTTCGCTCTTCGCTTCTAATTTCTTCTTCAGCTTCTCGTTGTGTCTTGCCCAGCGTTTGTTACCCAACGTTTGCACTGAAATCATTCGGCCTACTTTATAATCCAAATCGATATTGTTTCAATTAGCGCATAAATTGTTGCGAAAGTCTATTCTAGAAAATTCCATTTTCATCAAGAGATAAGAATAAAAGCCTTCCTATTCTCCTACATATCTTATATTCTTATCCTATCCTTCTATTTTTATATATTTTCTCATTTTATTTTTTTCTATCATTAAAAAATGATAAGCAGCCATCCAATGTAATGATTGGTTCGTCCTAAGAAAGAGCACGAAAATTTTAATACTTGAAAATAACTTGAAAATATTTGTATTATATATCTAGGAATGTGAAATTTATATTGCAGCAATAAATTTAATTTATGAATAATTAATATGGATAATAATCTGCAAAAATAAAAATATACCGTTAATAAATTATTTTACGAAAATGAGAAATTATTATTTCAAATTATGTATGCTGGAATAATTTGATTACTATCTGTGAAAATAATAGTGTTATTTCAAAATGTGATTGGAAGAGAGAAAAATTAATAACATAAAATGGAGAAAATTACATTTTAATTATTTTAAATTTGTAAAGTTAGAGTTTTGCGGGAAACGGAAACTAATTATCAGTATATTTATAGGTGTTTTCAACGAGGAAACAAGAAAACATTTGATGTTAAAATGTATTACTAATAGCAATAGGTATAATACTGAGGTCTTAGAAAACCCCTAGTATTGACTAGTTATGATTGTATCATAACAGAATATTACCATACAACCAACCGATAACAAGAGTACTGTGTTTTATTCTTGATATGATTGTTTGAGAGATGGTCATGTGGTATGATGTATCACGACTTATGTCGCTGATTTGATGAGGTGCGCAAAATAAGTCTTTTTGAAAAAATAACATGTTACGTTTAAGGATTATGCTTATTATTCATTATTACTAACCAATAATTTGATTTTGTCATCTGTAAAAATCTCTAAATTATTATCGATAAGTAAACAATAATGTAGAATAGTCATCCTGGATAATTGTAGTTGGAAAGATCGTTGAAATGACAGTTTTCTATGTGATAAATTGTAAAGTTCAAATATATGAAATATAAATGTTTTGTAAATAAACTAACTTTCCGATTGCAAATTGTAACTGACTAAATAACATTAAGCAAAATATTAAGTTATTAGTCAAATAATTATTTTGTACGAAAATGATAAATTAATTTGAATTTTCAACTTTAAAATCTTAGCAAACAATCAATTTTATGTAAGTTTATTCATTTCTTCTTAACCGTGAAAAGTTAACTAAAGTTTGCTGTTTATAATATTAAGTTATGAATAAGATTACACATCATTAAATATCTTAGGAAGTAATATTATTTAACAATTTTTTCTATATCTACATTGTGTATACTTTTTATCGTATATTTTTATTATCTAGGAGTGTAAGATTTATGTTACCGCAAGAAATTAAATTTATGAATGAATAAGATGGATAATAATCTGCAGGAATGGAAATATGCCGTTAATAAATCGTTTTGAAAACATAAGACATTATGTTTTGATATTGTCATTACAATTAGTTAATTTTATAAACACCTGTGATATTGAAATGAATATTGGCGTATGAAAATTTTATAGAAAGAGAAAAAAAATGAATAGAATAAAATAGAGGAGAAAACATTTTTATCTTTTGTACATTGTAAATTAAAAAGTATGCGAACAACGGAAACTTATTATCAGAATATTAACCTCGTGAAATTTGAAGAATATTCATGGGTCTTCATAGAGACAACAAAAAACACACGATGTTAATGATATTACTCGTACTGATATATGATTAGTACCATAATCACTATCATTGAGTATTTTAAGTTTAGTGTTGTATAATAGTATAATAGCTTTATCAATCATACCAATTAATCTCTTGAATAATTTATCTTGAAATTAGTAAAAGTTCATCGGTTATTGTGAAAAAATGAGTGAAAGTTCTATTTTTATTCATTAATTAATATTGATTTACGTAATCTATTTTAAACAGCATGACTTATTCATACCCATTAGAATCTCAAAGTCGGCATGTAAAAGGTTAAAATAATATAATAAATAAAAAAGAAACATAAAAGAAAAAGCGCACCTAGTGTACTACGTAACACTAGTCCTAATAAATAAAAAAATTCTGATTTACAATGCATACGAAGTTGTAAATAAAGCCGATATCGTTGCTATTTAAATGTATGAAATATGATCTAAATAATTTTAAATGATTGCAAGCGAGTAGAGATACACAAAAATTAAACTTATTTACCGTAGACGTGGCACATTGTCTCGATAAAACTGTCAAGTGCATATATACGAAAGAAAGATATATCTCGGAAGCGCGCGATATGTGTGTATATTTATTGAGAAATCAGTGACTGTCTATCCTGTACTTAACGAACGCGTGTGTGTGATCACAAGGATAAAAATATACACACACATATTCCTTATTAGTCAAATAAACCAATTAGTCGCTGAACCAAGGCAGTCGACTCTGCGTATTTTTATTTTTCATTGCTGCTGAAAGTATTTACATAACGCGACTTGCACTGGCTCATTCTTTTACTAATCGATCAAGGATTATTGTTATCTTGGCCAAGGTGGTTTTTACATAAATGTGCTTCTTTTTTCTCTCATTTCTGCGAAAGTCTTATGCGAGAGATAAGATGCACTTAAGATTCTTATATAAAATAGCCTTTATAACATCATGATATATAGGTATTGATAACTATTGAATGTTTTATACGTGAGATCGATGTCTTGCTAATTGCTAATAATTTTTCTATAGTAGAATTATTTAGAATGTGTGTAAGAATGATAATGATGATAAGCGTGTAGATTAAGGACTCACATTTCTGCATTTGTGGCGATACTTCTTCATCATCGTCATCGTATCTTGCTTCAACTTTGTTCTTCTCTTTCCACTGGGCGTATCGTTTGGTCTTATATGTCGCTGGAATCCAATGGCCTGACTCTGTTCGGATTTTACCAGCTTTCGAATTCTGATAAATATATGAACAATATTATTATTTATAGATTTTTTGATTAGGAGTAATGCGTCGTTGAAAATATATGCTACGAATTTTACTTACGTTGTTGATTGTAATCATCTTCTTTTTCTTGCGGTCCCATTTTTTGATTTGAATTTGTAGTCTTCTTGACTCTTCATTGTCGGCAGTAAACTCAAGATGAGCTTTTTCTGCTTCTGATGCAAAACTATTTACAGCCAATCTGAAACAAAATAATGAAAAATAATCAATACTTGGAACATCTGGCGATTAACTATATCGAATAAATGCTTAAAAAATCCTTTGTATCTTTTACACAACCTAGTCACATAAACTTTATAATAAAAATTTATTGTTTTCAATTCTTTGAAATTTAATATACTAAGACTTCCTATTACCCTTCCTCAGTATGCTGATCGGGTGCTGCGTAAGGAATAAAAAATTCATCATCTTTTAGAATCTTCTGTTTCTTTCTCTTTTCGTTTCTATATAAATCGTCAATTTTTCTTTTCTTTGGAGTAATGACTTCACTGAAGACATCATTAATTTCGGCTGTACTACTCGACGCAAGTTTCGATTTTTCTGATTTATCTGTCAAGTTTAAAATCATTGATCAATCGTTATTAGTTTTAATTTTAATATTTGCGAAAATGTAAAATAAATAGTAATATTTACTTTCTGCTATTTTACTCAACCTGTCTTCAAGTTTTCTATGGTGATTGAAAATATTTTCTTTGTGGAGTGCTCTTTTTTCTTTCATTACTTTGTAATCTACAGATGAAGGTTTTGCAACGATTTCAAAAACAGTCTAATCAATGTAAAAATACAGTGGTTAATAAAAAGCATAAGCTTCCAATTTCTCGTAATAAAATATTATAAGTTGTTACCCCTTTTGGCCTATAATTTTTCATTTTTGTAATCAATTCAGTAGCCGAGTCATTGAATTCTCGAAATTCTGGTAATATTCCTGATACAGAAATATCTAACTCCTTTACTCTCTTATTACTTTCAGTAGACGCCTGAGGTCTGGAACGTAAATATTGTTGATACGCATTGTTGCATACGTTTTGCATATTTGCCTGAAAAAAATTATCATTTTTATAAAAATTTATAATTAAGACATTTAATACGCTGGTAACATCAATAATTATAATTTACAATATCAGTATATTCATGATACATAATTAAATCTGACAGTTCCTCTTCAATCATTGACTGAGGCATTTTTCCTACTGCTTCTTCTGAAATTTCTTCGGTATCAGATATTGGAACAGTTTCAAAAGATCGACCAAGGAATAAATGCAAATCTAAAAGATAAGGATATTCATCAGGAGCAATTATGTTATATGCAGTACCACTTCTACCGGCACGAGCGCACCTTCCTATTTAAACGTAAAATAAAAAAATATAGTATTTGAATCCATTTGTACGAAATATTAATTACAATATTTTTACTTACCGACTCTATGAACAAATAATTTACTTTTGGCAGGGAAGTTAAAGTTAATAACGTTATCTAAATACGGTATGTCGATTCCTCTAGCTGCAACGTCTGTTACAACGAGAACTTTAACTTTTCCATTTTGAAATTTAGCCGCATTTATTTTACGAGCTGATGGATCCAAATTTGAATAAATAAATGTATTTGTTAACCCAGCTTTGTCTAATATCTGAAATTTGAAATAAAATATAGATTTTATAAATATTATACTCAAGTTATAAGTTATGGGAAATAAAAATGTTACCATATGAATATATTCAACATGATGCATTGTGGCAGCAAATATCACAGTCTGAGATTCAGGTTTTATGATTCGCTTTAATAAACACATTAGCACAGCTAATTTCTCTTCGGGTCTACAAGTTATGAAACAGAGTTTCAATTCTTCAGGTAACTTACTCTCAACATCAAGCCGCAACAAAACTGGATTTGAAAGTCCTGCTTTAGCAAATTCTACTAACACCTTTGGTAAAGTAGCGGAGAATAGGAGAGAAGATCTACAACTTGGTAGCCTATTTGCTATTTCATTTATTTGTTCACCAAAACCCATCTCAAACAACCTACAAAAAATAAATGCATGAGCATCTATTAGCAAAATGATGAAAATATAATAAGGAATATTTTAATACCTATCAGCCTCGTCATAAATCACTATTTCTATACTTTTAAGATTCAAATCCATTTCAACACAGATGTGAAGAAATCTTCCTGGTGTAGCAACTATAATATCTGGATTACCATGGATAGCCGTAAACTGATTATCCATACTGTCACCACCTAAGATTATGGATGCTTTTAAGCCTGTGAATCTACCCAATTCTTTGATAAACCTCAGAGTTTGAAGTGCTAATTCTCTTGTTGGAGTAAGTATCAAACCACGAACTCCAGATTTGGATTGTCTTGCCTTCAATTTTTCAAATAGTGGTATGAGAAAACAGGCTGTTTTACCACTACCAGTTCGAGCCATAGCAACAACATCTCTCCCTTCAAGAGCTAGTGGAATGGTCTATTATAAATAATTATGATATTTAGATATGAAACCAATTGTTGTATATAATAGTAAACTAATAAAGAGAAAACTTTGTACCTTCCTCTGAATAGGCGTAGGTATTTTGTATCCACGTTTTAATATCCCTTTCAAGACTTGGTGACTGAGACCCATACTTTGAAAACCACCAGATTTTTTACCTGTCTTTTTTTTCATGCCAACGAAACTTTCATTTTCATCTTCATCTTCGTCTGTACTATTTTGTTTGTTATCAAGCTCTTTTGAAGCCATTTTATTTAGTCTATTTAAAGATAACAAATCAATTCAAATTTGTACGTTGCTTAACAAAACGCACGTGTTTTCAGCAACGCACCACTACTAATGTAAAACAATGATGAAAATATATATATAAAGGCTATGTATATCTATTATATAGTTAGGGCGTTTACAGAACGATTCTGACACTGAAAAAGACATGAAATGTGACAAATGGTAGCTCGAAAATGAGTTATTACGCAGCCATTGTGCGCAGATCAGTTCTTGGGATTTTTAAGGCGCGCGTATTTTTGAAAGAACAGAAAATATAATAATAAACTATACAAGCTTAAAATGCGTCGTCAACCACACGTAAGTGAAATTAAGAGAAAATGAATACTCAATAAGAAACAATCTTTAGGAGCTGCAGAAGGTTGAGGATGTGCAGGAAGAGTAGGTAAAGGTGGTCGTATTATAAGAGGAAGAGAATGAGGAAGATGATAGTAATATTATAATCTTTTCACTCCAACACATAAATAAACTAATTAATGTAGAAAATAATGAGTCATTTTTCATTAAATATAAGGCAATGTGTTCTTATTTTTACATTTCAATTACATAAAAAGTTTTCCGATCGAAAAATCTCTCTCAGGGGGCCTATTCTGAAAAAAAATTTTAGCACGGGGCCTATTCTGAAAAAAAATTTTGTGGTAAATCAGTTTGTCACTTGAGTTTACCACAGAATTAATCACTTTAGATGTGATAAATGCTTATGACATGTGCTAAAATTTTTTTTCAGAATAGGCCCCGTGCTAAAATTTTTTTTCAGAATAGGCCCCGTGCTAAAATTTTTTTTCAGAATAGGCCCCCAGGGACCTAAAAATTATTTCACTATTTTCTGCGGTTCAGCTCGAGTTCCTAGTTCCATGTATATTATAACATGCAACGCATAAAAAAGTCTAACCTATAATACGAAACTGTGTATCTGCATAATGATCAATGATCAGCTCTAAAATCAATTTAGTCACTTAAAATCAAAGATGAGGTATAAAAAGGACGCATCAAAAAATGATAGGTGGACTAAAACATGCCAAGCACTAAAAGAACTTCTCGAAACTCTACATTGCTCGAAATGGTGCGTTTTTACTTTAAATTCAATTTTCAATAATTACTAATTTATTGAATTTTTCATCATTGATCCCTGTAACTTATATTTTACAGCAAAAGCCACTTGCATGACACTCGACAGTTTTTACAATGTGGACATTTTTCATGCTTCTCATGTATAAAAAAACACAATAAATGTATTGAGTGTCATTTCTCTATGAGTGATGATACTGTTAAAGATAGTAGTATAAAAAAAATAGTGCAAGTTTGTTGTACAATTGCAGAAACAATAGGTTTCAAGTAAGTAATTCTATAAAACATTTGCAGAGATGTATTGAATAATATAAGAACCATATCCTGTAAAAGTCTTATAAAAACCAAACTATCAGTTCAACTTCTAGCAAAAATAATGTTCATAACTTTAATCAGTTCAATGAGAAATTTGAAAATATTTCAAAGAAACGTAAAGGAGCCAAGAAATTTACTGAAATTGTTGCAAAGAAACCTAGGCTTATAGAAGTTATACCTCCTATACGTATTCCTAAAAATATTGACAAGAAGAATCATCATGGAGAAACAAAATTACATGAAGAGTGTAAAAAAGTTAGATTCATGTCTAAAAATCACTCATTTGATTTTTTCAATAAAATATGTAAATATTATGTTTTATTATAGGGTCACATTAATAATGTCAGAGCTTTTTTGGATGCTGGAGCAAATCCTAATACTTTCTGTGCTGCAGGCTGGACTCCTTTGGTAATTTTATTTTATGCAATGTATGAAACTAGTAAAACTTAGTTTAATTAACTCATGTCAACTAAATATCCAAATGTAATGTTTATTTTAGCAAGAATGTGCTGACTATGGATATATTGAGATAGCTGATCTACTATTACGAAAAGGAGCTGATATCAATAAAAAAGGCTACCTAGGGCGAACTCCATTACATGAAGCCACACAAGCTAATCAATTTGACATGGTAAAATTTCTTTTAGATCACAATGCACGAAATGATATTGAAGATGATAGTCACAATATACCAATGTAAGTTTAATAACGCTTGATTTTGACAAATTGAAATTATATATTATCTATATGAAACTTTGATTTAAACTGATTACAATATTTTTACAGAGAGTATTGCAAATCAGAACAAATTAGAAAGATGCTGACATGTAATATGGAAAATGGTTCTCCCCACATACTTAGAAGAACTAGAAAAAACAGTAAACTTTACAATAAAATATGTAATAATGGTTTTGGAATATCTCACAATACTGTAGAAAGCAATCACAATGTAAGTGCCTTAAATGATATAAAAGTTAAAGAGTGTGATAATAGCCATAATGAAAGTGAAGATGACGTGGTATCTGACGAAGAAAAACATAGTCAGAATATAACTATTCCTCATCAAGATTATGCTCATGGAATTTCTTCAAATCTTGACAACAACCCCTTTGACAGTGAAGAAATTGATGTCTTGAACTGAATAATTAACTTTATTAGCTAGATTCACTTTCAACTGAAAGTATTACATTATTTTATACTTATTTGTAGTTTTATATATAATATATATTTTATGAATATTACTTTTATTACATGAATTCATTACATTTGTAACATAAAAATTATAATTATAATTTGTTATTGGATTATCAGTAACAAAAACTATAATCATAACTGAAAAGTTGAATTAGTGGAAATAAAATCTTGACGTTTTTTTTAATGTTTGTTTTATTTTTATCTTTCAATACATAGAAATTTTTAATTTAATAGTTGACATAAAATTTAATATTTTTAATAAAAGTTTTATTGAAATTCAAATATTCAGAATTTGAAAGTTACTATAAATTTCCGAAACAAAACCGTGTTAGTATTATTTCTAGGAGTTCATATTCATTCGCATTACTATACGGAAGCCTGATCACGACATGAGCGAGACATAGAGTTACCGTGCACAAAAAAACGTTAATAAAGTAATATTAAGAAAGTAAGTTAATAATTTCAACTATATTTGACGACATCTTTATTTAAATTTTTTTATAATAAGTATGATTACAATTGATATTTACTTTATAAGTTGTTTTCCTAATAGATAACTTTTAGTTAATCAGATTTGTACAATGGAATTAATTTCAAAAGAAGATTTTATAAAAAAGTATTTTAATGAAGGTTATAGTTACATGAAATTCAATAAATTCTAGAAACGTATGCAGTATTTATATGTTATATAGACAATTATAAAGAATTTTAAAAAATTTGGAGTTGAATAGAAAAAACAAGGAATTAATCCGAGCCACCAAGATTTGTATCATAGTTTCCACTACTTTTTAGTTCGTTTAAAAGGCATAAAATTATATTATCTATATTCTATTTCTTGTTTTTCCTACTTAACTCCAAATTTTTTAAGATTCTTTGTAATTGTCTATAACATAAATACTCCATATAAAGTCTAGCGATAAAATTCAAAATGGTTTTTAGTTAGGTTTGGTCTTCGCATATGTACCAACGCGACATGTGCACGATACTTGCACACCAACTCGTTTTGTGCACAACTTGCACAGCAATTCATATGCTAAATCGTTTTGTGCACGGTAACTTTATGTCTCGCTCATGTCGTGATCTGGCTTCCGTACATTACAGTTACCATTTTGTGTTTGCACTTAATGCGACTTGTTAAACAGAAAAGAGGGAACGGATTCACTGCAAAACATGTAATTTTTTGTAAAAATTTTTTCCGCTAATCAGTTTATGTTTAATTATTAACTATTGAATGGTATTAAAATATCTCGTAAAATATTAACAAAGATTAATCTATATAATCAATATGAATTTCAATGATATTTCGTGGGTCAAAACCCATAAAAGCTTGAGAGACTTTATGCAAATTTTAACCTGTAACAAATGGTAAGATTCTGAATGGTAGAATTATTACATTATTCATTTAAAATATCGCAGTTATAATGATACATTTCTGCGAAATTATTAATTTCAATGTTTTACAGTAAGAAAAGACTTAGTAATCCAAAGCAATTTTTAAACTGTGGACACTTTGCTTGTTCAAAATGTGTGGGACATGAAACAGATTGTGTACAATGCAGAATACCTAATGAAGCATCAGATGTTCATTCAGATACTACAATGAATGATATAATTATCAATTTGAATGTTATTGCAGAATCAGTTGGCTACTTGTACCTTATTTAACAACTTTTCTATGCATTGTTAATTTTTAAATTCATCAATATTTAATCCAATGAATATATATATTTTTAGAAAAGAAAATAAATTTGAGAATTCAAAGTCTCCATCTGAGGTCTCCATTGATGACTGTAATCAAAGTTTAAAAAGGTAATGTATAAGAAGGAATTCTAAAAACAAAGTGTTTGATGTCATCGATATGTCATTATCTGATTCTTTTATAAGCAAAACTAGCCACAGAAGTAGAATCAGTGAAAACATACCAAAAAATATCAATAAAAAGAACAGTAAGGGTGAAACTGCTCTTCACGTTGCTTGTTGCTATGTAAGTAATTTTTTGAGACATTTTATAATGGATTGTAATAATTAAGAAATTGATTTTCTCATAAAAATCTAGAATCAAATAGAACGTGTGAAAAAATTACTGGAAGCAGGAGCAAATCCTAACACCAAAGATCATGCTGGTTGGACTCCACTGGTAAAGTATTATTACATCTTTAAAATTATTAAAATTCTATGTAATAATTACTAGTTTTCAAAATAATAAAAATGAAATTATTTTTTAGCAAGAAGCTGTCAGTTATGAATACGTTGAAGTTTGTAAACTTCTCTTAAACGCTGATGCACAACCAAATATGTATGGCTGTGACAACAGAACAGCTTTACATGAAGCAGCTATAGCAGACAATGTTGAATTAGTATCACTATTGATTCAATCTAATGCCGACAATAATGTTTTTGACCGTGTTGGAAAGAAACCAATGTTAGCATAAGAGTTTTGAATAATTAAAATAATGTAAGAACATTAATTATTAAGTTGTATATATATTTTTTTTAGAAATTACTGCAAATCAAAAGAAATTTTTGATTTATTGGAAAGTTTAGATAGATCAACAGAGGAACAATCAAGAGTATCACATGAACTACATAAAACTGTAAATGTAGACAAAACTGTTGATGAAACCATAAACACAACAATTATTTTATATGGTTCTAAAAATCTCAAACAACAAAATCGTAAACTTCTCATAAAAATGGGCAATGAAAAAAAGGGAATAAAAGTAGTAAATCATCTTAGGTATTTGTTATTAAAATATTCATTAATAATAAGCAATGCTTATTAATATGAAATATTTATTGTCATATAATAATGCAATAACTAATTATATAACCCAGTTCTTCAGTCACTTACGTAGTTGTGGATACAGAAAACCCATGTAATATAACATATTCTTTGGATGTCTTATTTGCAGTTTTATATGGTAAAATATTGCTGAATAGTGATGGTAAGCTATATACATGCTTGCGCACACACATACGTACAGGCACATGCATTACGTGTGCGTGTATATTAAAAATAAAGCATTCTAACGTTTTTAAGTTACATTGAAAACTGTTAAAGGTTTGCCAGTACTAATGGAAAGTAGCAATATTAGTCCAGCTGATTGCAAAATTTTTGAAGTTAACCCTCCTCAGCTAAATGATAGCATCACACGTTCTAGAAATAATATTTTATTGCAGGTCAATCTTTAGTTCTATTTATTTATACGCGTAAATACTACTCCATAATTATCCTATTTTAAAGCATTCATATTTTTATTTCAGAGACCAAAATTATTCAACAACTGTTATTTCTATTTTGCCATAAAGCAACATGATGTAATTGAATACGACACAATGTCCATTGAAAAAGACGATTTGATGAAACTAGTTGCTGCCGGCGACGGAAAAGTTCTACCTAGAGAACCCAAACCAGATGACGTACAAGGCTCGTTGAGTCCGTTTCACGTCGCTAACAATCCGAAACATGCATTACACAAATGCACGCACTATATTATTTATATGCCTGAAAATAATCAACCAATTGCTAATAGAATTATGTACAATATGCCGATGTTAAAAACATTACCACTTATGTGGTTTATCGAGTCGATACTTCGGTTTGAATTGATAGATCCAGTTGATATGGGTTTAGTCGATTCTTAGATAAAAAACAAAAATCGTTTCACTGCATAAGTAGTTATAACTTTTTATCAGTGATTAACTTTTATTATAGTATTATGAAAAAATAAAATAATGTTAAACGTTCTTCATATAAAAATAATATTTATTACATCATAGTATTTTCCATAAACTATGAATTTTGTTTACCAGAACTATATATATTAAATGACTCTTGACTTCACAAACATTGCATTATTTTGTGTATTCCTTAGATTGTTTTAATTCGAATTCGAACAACTCTTAAGTTGAAAAAAAGGTTAAAAAAATAGCTTCATGCTAATTACGGAGTTGATGCTTAGGTACACGGTGCGCCATTTGTAGAATGGTTTCAGAAAATACCTTATATATCGCGCGAGAGCGTGTTAGCCGGTACGTAAAGTACCGCTAATCCCGAGCGTTGCTGGTACAACTTGCGCCTAGACGGCGAACTCGCGAAGGCCATACACAAAGTTGAAGAAGTGCGATTTATGTTTAGGCAATTTACCACTTCTTTTCTCTCTCTTTCTTATCACCAACCACTTTCGTTCCACCGCGACTTCAGCTGAAATTTGTAGCAAGTCAAGATTGTTGATCAACTTACATTTGAATTTGTTAACTAAAACGCGTAGCTTAATAATTAGCTTGTAAATTATTTAACATCGATGTTAGATCAAAATCGTCGCAGCGAAAAAAAAATCTTACTTGTGGGTTTGTCGCTAAATAAACTTACTTACTTACACTACATTTTATTCATTTTAATCCAATAGAAATATGCCCAAAACAAGAATCCTAAAAGCTCAACGATACAATTATAGTGCATATGATCATAAATTGTCAATTGCAGTATTAGCAACATCTCAATACAGTGACATAATTGGCAATGAAACGCATTTATTTTCTTGAACTTGGCAATGACCATTAAAATTTTTTCCAGGCCAAAAAAAAGTGCGGCTCGAGCTGTGATCGTTTAGCGACGAGCTTTCCCATTTCCCATTAAGCCTGCCTGCGGGATCTCTAGTTGTTTTCTCCGCAGGTGTGCAAGAGGAAAAAAGAGAAGAGACAGAGAAGAAAAAGGGAGAGGCAGAAAGGAAAGGAGAGAGAGAGAGCGCAGGCGAATGGAAGGAGAAAGGGAAGAGGGGAAAAAGAAGATTCTACGAGAATGGCCTCGAGAGAGGGGAAGCTTGCCTCTATCCCACCTTTGGCACACCCTGACCCACAACTGTCGGCAGTCGCAGCACCAACAGCAGTCTTGCGCGCAACTCCACCGGGTGATGACCGAGTGATACATTATATATCCACCCTTGAAAGTCGAGTTACAAGTGCCGACGATAAAGATTAACAGTGCGGAGAGAAAAAGCCGAAGAGCAAGATGAGAGGGTCAGTGGCGTTACTATTTCTGGTGGTATTTGCAGGTTCAACCCTCGGTCAGACGGACGACGACTCACTTGCCGGCAGCTTTCTATCAGGTATCCAAGCTTCTTCCCAACTAAGGAGGTCTCGCGAGCGAACGGGGTCAGTCCGTAGCTGAAACTTCCGTCGACTATACGGATGCTGGGGATGCGGAAGACACGCAGTCGAGAGTGTTCTGCTGATCTCCTTTTGCCTTTTGCCTTCTCTCTCTCTCTCTCTCTCTCTCTCTCTCTCTCTCTCTCTCTCTCTCTCTCTCTCTCTCTCTCTCTCTCTATATATATATATATATATATATATATATTGCACTCAAATAGTGATATTTTTGCTCTTTCTTCAATACTTTGCTTTGCGTTTATACTCTCACCCTTGATCTCCGCTGTAGTTCTACACTTTATTGAAACTATCGTTTGTGCCGGTTGTAATCGACTTGCGAGTGAAACTTTTTTTAATTAGCACTCGTTAAGTCGCTTAATTAACGCAGTTACAGCACAATTTTTACCTGCTTCCCTTGTGCAATCTTTCCTGGTTTTGAACATCAAGGGAAAAAACGCTTTCCAGAAGGTTTCTCGCAAAACTACATGTACGAATTTGCATGCTTGCTTGGAACTGGCTCTCCAGTTTTTTTCCAAAGAGAAAACTATCCGACTGGTTGAGTAGCTTATCTTCGCGCGAGGAATGGCACAACAAGCATCGCTGTTTTTGCCAGCGTTTTCTAGCATCGTCTCAATGAATGTAGTTCAATGAAATCGCCCAAGCTTTTATTTCTTTTGCTCGTGTGCTGAAGGCTATGATTCGCGCATTTGAAATTGTCACATCTGATGGTTTGCTGGGGCGCAGCGTCTGATTAATGGTTCGCCGGTGCGTGGCAGAAAAGTATGGGTTTAAACGAGTCAGCGATCAATTAGCACCAGTATCGAAAATGCGTATTCGAGCGCGACATGCTAGAGCTTGCAAGCGCGCAAACGGAGCGTGAGAAGGAGCGCCAAAGCAAGGAAGAAAGATAGATGGGCGCGGAGAGAAGCGAGAAATAGAGATGGCGAGCGTTGCACGGCGCAGTTCGAATGCTGTTACTGTAAGGATGCGCGCGGCTGTTGGAATGTAGTCGCGGCCCACTTAATCGCAACGCACATACACCGCCGCTCTGCACCGACGTGCAGAAGAAGGCCGGCGGCTGCATCGCGGATTTTTCACCGGCGAGCCGCGACCGAAACGGTACATATCGACGCGCGCGATCTAGTCGTGTGCTTTTCCTTCCGCGGCACCCGCGAATCTTCGCCCAAAGCTGACCGTTCTGCTTTCACTTTTGCCAGTGGTGCCTTCGCGAAAAATAACTGTCGCGCGCGAGCTTCTTTTCTTCCGATTCGCGTCACGTAGCCGCGCGGCCGCGCAGCTATAATTAGGTTAAGCGGGCCCGACAATCGGCGGCGCCCGTCGAGTTTTGAAGCGGAGCTGCCGATCGACGCCATGGGGGAACAGTTAGCTGAAACGACGCTCCGGCCGCGGCGGAGAGCGACACGTGCGCTCGCGGTCACCGATTTCACTTGGCGCTGCTGCGTTCACGCGAACGCACGGCCAACAGCAGACGGATCCCCCGAGTCTGCAGCCGCGCGCAGAAACGCAGCGAGCGCTCTCCGCGCGCCAACTGGAGTGCGACACGTGTGCGCGTGTGTGGCACATTGAGGCGCACTCGTTAACAACCGTTATATTGTTTGGGGCCGTTATACACGAGCGCACTCGCTCGCGCGCCAGTGAAACCGAGCCATGTTACGTGCCTCGGCGCCATTCCTTTCCGCTCTATGCGCACCGCTCATTCGCCTAACTTTCGTTGCTTCGCGCCATCCGTTACTTGCCAATTGTCGCACTTCCCTGATTGCATCGCCGCGGCTACGCCTCTTCCTTCTGCTTTGTACTCGCTCGTTCAGCCAAATGAGTAGTGATGAAATTCAAATGGAGGTACCGCCTCGCCTACCGAGAGAAACGTCTTCGATTCGTCGTTGATGCTCTGTTCTTCTCAAACGAACATTTTTTCATCGTCCCATGACTAAATCCGCAGCCAAAGTCTTTTACATCGAAAGGAGCGCGAGGCAACGGTACATCTATAATTGAAATGATAAGAGAAGGGAGAGGCCGTGAACGCTAATAAGTCACTCTGTTTATGTTGTATTTAGTGATATTCTTTCTCTTCTCTCTCTCTCTCACTCTTATGAATCTAACGGGGGTTAGCGCACCTCGAAACTAAGTCGGATATTCATATGAATATCGGGCTCGGAAGGTCCGATAAATTTACACGGCACTTTGTATTGCATGACGTAACTGTAAAAGAAACATTTTTTCCTTTTCATCGTACTAAAAAATTATCGTTCTCCGGTTGAAATTTCTACGAAAGGAAAAATAAATAGGCCGAGTATAATGGCCGTTCCCGGATCTCGGTCAAAGTAAACAAGTCCCCTAAAAAATAAAAAAAAAATAAAAGAAAAAAGAACAAAATAAGAAAAGCAGGCACAGTCGTACGAATTTCCACGGAGAAATGCGACGGGGCGTTCACCGGTTATTCAACCTTTCGTTAACGCAACCGCTCAAACGTGTGACACGATCAAGTTCAGACATGTGTGTACGTATAATCCCGTTTCGATGTATTACGTATGCAGGAATTCGGCGTAAACGCAAGCGCCAGGTGTATACAGTTAGCAGCCTCTTACACAATGTTTCATCCGATATACGTCCATTATCCTGCCGATTGATCGAGAATCATTCGTCAAATTATATTGCTCGGTCGATCTCGTACGGTACATCGGTATAATCGGTATATTTGATGCTCATTAGGGTATCGTCACCGACGCCGCAAGATCATCAAAGTCCCAACGGTAATCTAACTGTTCTCTCCTCAAGGTCTTCTCTTCGGCGAGTCGCGGCTCTTTTTCTACACATCGCGTCTTTTCTCTCGTTCAAGAGGAGTCTCGTGAAATGTAGGTTCGCAAGCGTTTCCTCTTTGTAAGTGCGATTTTTATCGAAACGGAATGCAGATCGATCGCGGGCTCTCGGCGCGTCCGCGCCAAGGTCGTTCTGCCGAGAAACGACAAGAACATCGATGGAGGTAAAGCATAAAGAGGACGCTGTTGCAGGTTTGCTGGACTCGATAACGAGCACAGCCAACGTGGAAAACTGTCCGGGCATATGCGTCCACGCGATCACGACGTTCATGTGCGGCGAGGTGCTGGAGGACGTGCAATGTCCGCAGTCGAGTATGCGCTGCTGCGTGGAATCGAGCTCCAACTCGACGGCCACGTCGTCCAACGAGATCACCGACTATGAGAGCGAGTCGCCCAGCACGAGTAGTCGGCCCAAAAAACCCGAGCGGACAACGCAGGCGAGCACCGTCCTAACGAGCATCGTAACCGCCGTCGCGAGTACCACTCAGAGAACCACGACGACGAGTACGACTCAGCGTACCACAACGAGCACCGCCACCAGCACGAAGAGCTCCACGGTGCGTATGGACTACGCTCGTATTATCAAAATCGATCCTCATCCGTCTGGATTGCGCGCTCCAAATGCAGAACAAGCCAAAATTGCTTGTCAATTATGCGCGCTTTCGTTTCTGTCATTTCACAGCTGCTTCAACCGAACCGGAAATACTAGTTTGGTTTGCCGCGTGATCCAGATAAAGCGTTATAGTTGGCGTGCCCCGCGACAAACTGAATACCCGAATATGCACCAGTGCGCTCGCCATTAACGTAATCTTTGTGCCATTTCAGGAAGAGAAGAACAAGGACGAGGCTAGCAAGGCGGCCCGTAAGTATCTTCGCTCGTAATTGCGCGATAGCTCGTGAAAGCTCGCGAAAGCGAGGCAAAGCTTCGTTTCAAACGACTAACGGACAATCGTTCGACGATTGCAGCCAAAGATTGCCCAGGCATCTGCATGGCCGAGCGAATCGCAGCTTACTGCGAGGCGGTATACAACGTCACTTCGCTCTGCAAGTCGGGCCACAAGTGCTGCGTGACGCGCGACCTTTTCAAGGACTCACCGCCCCCAGAACTGCTAGTGATCGATCGTACAAAATCCAACTTGACTCGTGTCGAGGGAGCGAGTGTTGCACACTCAACGACCACTTTGTCGCCGATGGCCGTCACGCGGAGTCCACCAGCAGCGGCAATCGCGACGGCGGCGGCGACGACGACGACGGCGACGACGGCAGCGGCGCCGACGGTAGCAGCCACGGCGACAACGACAATGACGACAAGGCCGAAACCAGCGCTCGCCGCGCCAAGTAAACCCTGCAAAGGCGAGTGCGTTAACACTCTGTTTGCGCTACTCTGCGAGAGCATCGACTCCGAGGCCGATTGCGGCGACAATCACTGCTGCATCACGACTTCCAAGCAAGACCCGTCTACCACGACTCAACGGCCAACCACTACCAGAGCTCCCGCGCAGAAATTGCCAGCTTGCCCGGGTTTCTGTCTCATGAACATCATGCTGGCTTTCTGCGAGAAACCCAATGCCGTCATCTACAGGACGTCCACCTGCTCGACCGGCCAGTTTTGCTGCGATAACACCAAGAATCCTCCGGTAAGCAGTGGAAGATCAAGCGACGTGACTTCGTGACTTTTGTTAACTGTGCTGGTGCGTTAACCGTGTCGACGGGTTTTCAGACGAGAAGACCGAAACCGAGACCAACGTCTCCCAGACCAACTACCACGACTGTGCCGTCGTCACCGGATCCTAGGCCGGAATGCCGAGGATCGTGCATCGTTTCGTACCTCTCCTTCACTTGCTTCAGTGAGTTTCCATCAGTTTGATTGCTGCAGTCGCGTTGCTCTTGCATCGAAATACGACTTACCTGCGTGCTCTTGTTTTTCGACAGACAACGCCGAATTGACGAGTATCTTCAAATGCAAGAAACCCGGCCACCAGTGTTGCGCGGCCAAGTCGGTGATTCGCGAATTCCAGGGACTGCAGAACAATCACACCAGCGAATCGTCGCTAAGTAACAGGAACGACAGTGTGTTCGCGGTCACGCCCCATCCATCCTTCTCACCACCGACTACCTCTCTCCTCTGTAAGTAAATCTGAATCTCACTGCAGCTTCTCGAGGCGCGATGCCGTTGGCGCTAAACGTAGGCTTGTATGTTGGAAATAACACAGTCGAGACAACAGCGATAACGACGACGACAACGACGATGAAGAGTCCAGTGTACAGCAAGTACGTATGTGGCGTCAAAGGCACTTCGCGCGCGCCAATTCAAGCTCGAACTGTCGACCGAGCCGCAAGAGTCGTTGGCGGGGAAGACGCCGACGCGAACGAATGGTGCTGGCAAGTAGCCCTCATCAACTCTCTTAATCAGTATTTGTGCGGCGGTGCACTAATCGGTACACAGTGGGTGCTCACCGCTGCGCATTGCGTTACCAAGTGAGTTTCCTTTTCCCCGCCGAGACAAGACAATTCGGAAGAGCCTGAACGTTTTCAAGCATGTCTCTTCCCTTTTCAACAGTATCGTGCGATCGGGAGACGCGATTTACGTCAGGGTCGGTGATGTCGACCTGACGCGTAAGTACGGCAGTCCCGGCGCGCAAACCCTTAAAGTTGCCACCACCTACATTCATCACAATCACAATAGTCAAACGCTCGACAACGACATCGCACTACTCAAACTACAAGGTCAGGCTGAGCTCAAAGACGGTGTGTGTCTTGTTTGCTTGCCCGCCAGAGGTGTCAGTCACACGGCTGGCAAGAGGTGCACTGTCACTGGTTACGGCTACATGGGCGAGGGTGAGTTTTTTTCCGACGCAACATTTTTACAGAGACAAAATAATTGAACGTTCGAATGTGCAGTGGCTTTGATATAAAATTGATGTCGTCCTGTTTGATTTTGTCTGCATGGTTGAGCAGCTGGCCCGATTCCGCTCAGAGTACGTGAGGCAGAGATCCCAATAGTGAGCGATGCCGAATGCATAAGGAAAGTCAATGCTGTCACAGAGAAGATTTTCATTTTACCGGCGAGCAGCTTTTGCGCCGGCGGCGAACAAGGCAACGACGCCTGCCAGGTAAACAAAACAATACATTTCCCGTTTACACGTAACTTACTTTTGCTTGTTTTTTGTGGAAAAAATGATAATAATATTTTGAAGCAAATCGTGATACGTTGATAAGAAAAACAAGCTTTCTTTCTTTATATTGACGCTAAAACAAAGCCATTTACATATAATCAATATCGTCAACAGGGAGACGGAGGGGGCCCATTGGTATGTCAAGACGATGGGTTCTACGAACTTGCCGGCTTAGTGTCGTGGGGCTTTGGCTGTGGACGAGTCGACGTCCCAGGTGTCTACGTAAAAGTTTCAGCTTTTATCGGCTGGATTAACCAGATTATTTCAGTCAACAATCTGTAACGTACTTTACACCGGCCTTTTGTTCTTGTTTTTAGTTGTTGCATCTTGACGATGAAAATTTACAGTAGTTTGGGAAAAAAATTCATTTGACATATATTGTACTGTGATATCTCGGTGTACATTATACTCTGTTTATCTTAATTTAAGGTCAATACATCCCGGATATCATGATTTCAATAAATACGATTAAGGGTATAAAAAAATTGTTAAGATGCGTCAACAATTGGAAATCTTTACTGAACTTTTTTTTGCAAAGTTCGTCATTATTGGACCTTGTATAAATTGTAATCATTTAGGCCAATGATTATTCAGATTATTTGCGTAAATTTAGCATACGTAGACGACAAGTAAAATTATTTATTTAAATACCGTTTTTCAATGTTGTAAAAAAATCAGATATTTTTACGATTTTTTTTTCGTAGAGTTGCATTTATATTGAGATAGTTACTGACCATTCATAACATATCTTGTAAATATTACCATAAGAATTTTACTATGTACACGATATTATTTTAATTGTTTAAATTGTAATTGAAGATATTTCTATACGCTATATTTTATGCTTTGTAAATGAATGCATTATTATCAATATAGAAATTGATTTCTATACATTTATACAAACGTTAAAATGCCTAATATAAGTAATTTAATATTTATAGAGTTAGTTAACTACATTCAATAGTATTTTTCCGTAAGAATTAAGAATTTGATGAAACACTGAATGATTATGTCACTACTGTACAAATAATACTAATTTTATAATATATATTACGAACGTATGTATTGTACTTAAATTTTATAAGTAATATTTGGAGAAAAAAATGAAATATATTCGTTGATTACATTATTTATTGAAATAGTTACTTTATTAGAATAAGAAATTATGTTTCATATTAATTCTTTAATAAAAGTAAGCTTAAAATTTTTACTACAAAATTTTATTTTATTATACATGATGTCCTTAGAAACACTTACAAGAGTGCATATAATATTCGGTATTATTCATAGTATAATATTTCATTTAATAAAAATTAGAGAACAATAATATTCATGCTACAGAATAAAACACGACACTTTAATTGAAGTAAAATCTCCGATGCATACATATATATACATTTCTTCAATATAGAAAAAAACTTTAAAACGATTCCAAACATTCTATTTAAATGAACTTGCATATAATTCTTAATAAACACGAGAAAAATTCTATTCTTTCACGTTTGTCAACAATGTCCAAGTAATACATTTGAAATTAAGCTCTTCACCTGAAAATCTAATCGTAAAACCTATAATAATATGTCTTAACAACATATTTACCATGTATGTTTTGTGACATTCTTAAATGCTTATAAATTTATAAAAAAAAAGGTAATCTACTCATTTTATAAAACTGTACATATAAAAAATCAGATAGTCATGACTGCAAAGGGCATTAGAGAACGTAGATTCTCAAAATGTTATAACCTTTCAATTGACAGAACCAAGAACTTTTTTGTTACTACTTTTAGTCTTTGACAATCGTTTAGGTTTTACCTTATCGGGTTTTAGAAACGCATCTATTCCATTTTCCTTATTATCCTGCTCCTAAAATAGTATGCATCATCAATCTTGTAATTTTTTATCATCATATCTAATTTTGCAAAAAATTATAATTACCTTCATGACCTCTGATTCAGACATGGTTGTTGAATCAAGAGGAACTTTTGTAGCAACAGGGATATCTGAAGTTGAAGCGGATTTGATCAGACTATAATTATTATAATTAATTACGGGAACACGTAATTTTGATACACTGTTTGGTGTGGATGTTATACGCTTTATCCTCGTCGGCATCGGAGATGATAAATTACCACTATTTCGACTATCCGAGTTGGGAGACAATATGTCAATAATAGTACTATTATCCTGAAGTAAAAAATGTTTTGTTATTTTAGATACATAAATTGTGTAGCCACGAACACTTTGTTAATATTTTAAATACGCACTTCATCTTCTGAAGATTCAACTAGTTGCTGAGTCTCACGAAATCTTTTAATTATACGTTCATGCGGAGACGTGGCAATAAGGCGACGAGGATAATTGAATTCTCTTCTGGCAGGTGTTGTTCCTAAAAACACAGAAGTCCCCATAAATACGTATAAATTTATTATAGTGCCAAAATAAAAATCTATTATCAACCTGTTGCAACATCACGCCGTAATTCTTCCAAAATGAACCTTTCAATTTTTTCATGAGTACCATTTACTTGTGACGTCATTTTCTTTTTCCAATCCATTGATTCTGTAGTTTTATTCTCTAGTTTGTTATTCATATCACTGTAATTTTTTTGATTGTAAATCTTTTGTTCTTCCATAAAATGCATGTGAGCTGTATTTGTCTCATTTATCATTCTATGATAATCCTAAAAAGCATAAATTTTTAAAAACAGTGATTGGAAAATATACAATCATTCAACTTCACACTTACTTGAGCCGCAGACAGTATTGTTTCTTTTTCTTGTTCTGTTTGTTGCTCTAGATACGTGGCACTAGTTTCAATCAAATTATGATAACACACAAGAGCACAACGGCGCTCATTCAAATCGGATCCTAATTGATTTATCACATCCGTGCTCTTAGTAACTGCATTATCAGCAATATTCCAGTTCTAAAATCAATATAATTTCATATAATTAATAAAATCAATATAATTTTCGATATTGATTAATTACAAATAATATGTTCTATAGATATGCAAATTAAATTTTATTACAAACCTTTTCCAACGCTGATGAAATATCTTGTTTGATGATTTCAACGTGGTTTTCAATTTGTTTTTCAATTTTCTTTTCTTGTTTAACATTATTGTCAAAACTGATAATATTTCTTTCATTAATACCATTACTTATAACGTCCAGTTCATTTAATTTGCTACAAGTGATAGAGCGACTCTGCTGACTTTCCGCTGTAAAATCTTTATATTGTTTCCAAGTATTTTCAAATTGTAATTTCAAGTCAGCAAACACCTGGAAGTAAAATTTTGTTTAGAAAAATATAATTCCAGAAGTTTCTGAACTTCCTGAAACGTACTAACCTTAGAAAATGATTGCTCGTTTTGGGTTATTTTATTCTGTTTTTCAAGCGCAATTTGGACAGTTTTCTTGATTTCCTCAATTTGTTTCGTCAAGTTATCCCTATCAGCTAATAAACTATTATACAATTCATTCATGGACTTATTGGTCATATTAGTAAGATCAATTAATTTTAATGAAGTTTCTTTGTGTAATGCTTTTAAGTTTTCCGATATTTCGTTTTCAACTAGTTCACGAATTTTAGGAGCTATTTTTGCCAAAATGCTTTCAAGTACTGCGCGTTCATTTTGTGTCATTTTGGTTGCTTCTTCTACGTGCGAAAGCATCCATGCGTGATATTTATCATACTGCAAAATTATTATTTGTTTTATAAATATTCGTGGAAAAATAGTATATTCGTAATATTTTTATGATAAATTACTTACGTTGCTTTTAGCACATTTTACTAACTTGTCTGATACTGCAATTTCTTTTTGTACAAGATCGTGAGAAATAAGTTCAATTGATTTCTCAATTTCTTGACACTGATATGCCGCAACACTGTTCATTTGATCTTTGAAAGAATTAAAAAAATTAGACAATTCATTCGTATGATTCTTCACATCCTCGACCATATGTTGGAATGTTTTCAACATTTCGTGTCTAAACAGATGACCAAGAGTCTCATTCTCATCTTCCACTTTTCTAAAAGCGATAAATATTGTTGAATAGGAATTAAATCCACCTCAAAATGTTAAATGATGTAAGTTTTGAAAAAGTTTTGAATAAAACGTACTGTTTACGACTAATTTTATCGTGTAACTTATGAGTATCTGTTGTGGCTGTTTCTGCAACAGTTAGAAGAGTTTGAGCCTGATTCAAAAGAACTTTTTCTGTGGTTGTATGTTTTTCCACTAAATGTTTCTGTAGATCCCTATCAAAAACTGTTTCAGTTAAAATATTCTTTGTTGTTATCAAATCATTTTTAGTGGATTCTAATGTTTCCTTTGTTTGCTGCAGAGCAATTTTTGTTGCTTCACATTCCATTTGAAGATCCATAAAGTCTTTCTACAAAAAATAACAATAGGTTTTGGTTACACATGATTTAAAAATGACATAGCATGTGATCAAAATTTAATTATCATATAATACACACACCCACACCCACACATCCACTCCCCCCCCCCCACACACACAATAAAACATCTTACTTCTGCCTTATCCCGCATCTCTTCCACTGTTTTAATGTGATTTATTTTTTCTTCTATTTCTTTAGATTGTACTTCAATGGTTGATTGCATTTCAGCGTAATTTTCTTGAGCTAAGTAAACTCCATTACGCTCTCTTGTCGCAGCCAAATCACGCCGCAGTCTCTCTATCTCTTCAGTATATTCTTTAAGCAGAGCTTTCTTAGACAACTTCTGATTAATTTCTGGCCTGTTGGTAATATTTTTAGCTCGATGAGCATAATCTAGTGTGGATAGTGTTTCTTCAATATTCATGTTTGCGGGAGAAATAGTTGCTATAATAGAAGTTTTAGTCCGTCCACCTAGCGACTCTTGAAGTAATCTTGTCAATTTTGATTCACTGCAAATAAAAAAATATCCGAAGTTACAACATGAAGTTATAAAAAATTCAATACTCTTCATTTCAAAAACACACCGATATGGAATATGAGGCGCTCGCTCTACTAAAGCCGTGATAACTCTACCAAGAGTTAACAAGGACTGATTAATGTTACCAGCTTCCCGAGCTCGTCTGTCAACAGCACCTGATCTTCCGACATTTTCGCTACCAGCTAAATCAACCAGATTGAGTTTACCTGTTTTAAGAAGTTCCTCACCATCTACAGTATTTTCTTTTATATGCACTGTGATAGAGAATACGGTATGTGATCGACTATACGTAAAAAAAAAATTAATTCAATCAATTTCGAATATACATATATGAATATATATATATATATATATTATTGGAGCAAATCATACCTTGAATGTGCATTCATCATAGTAGCTGCTGTTTGACGCTTTTCTGAACCTTTTTCTAGTATTTTATAAACTTCAGCTTTGTTATGAACAGTGACTTCTTCTAAGCCATGGATAATGATTGCACCTTTTTTAGCTGTATCCTCAAAAATTCTAAAATAAAATTGTAGTTAATATATTGTTGGATATGTAGATTAGATATATACATATTTAAATTACTGGAATACCTGATCTTTGATGCATCATCATTTGGAGACAAAAGATCAAAAAGTTCTTCATTGTACAACTCTAAGAAACTCACTCTAACAGTATATTCTTGGGCACCTAATATCCTCAATTCATCAAATAAATGGCTCAATGCTCTTGGTATTATTCCAGCATTAGATTCCTAAAAAGAAAACAAAATCCTTTGAACAAGTCAAATTTTATAACAGAAATAAAATTCATAGCAAGTATCTTAACCGCCTGCCAATGCAAAGAAGGATCATTGCAAGCTCCTTCCATAGTAAAAGTCTTTCCTGTACCTGTTTGCCCATAAGCAAACACAGTACAGTTATAGCCAGCCAAAACTTCTTCTAGAAGAGGGCTCACAACTGCATTATAAACATCAAGCTGCAATATTATAGATAAATTAATGGATTAATGTATCTTAGATAATCTTATTATAGAATATAATATTCTATAATATTATTATAGAATAAAATAATTTATGAAGATTTACCTGCTTGGAAACTGGCCCAAAAACTTTATCAAATGTAAATTTTTTTGTAAGTTTGTCTTGTGGTCTTTCACGAACAACAATTTCCTTATTTGAAGCTACATCAACAACTACTGGTGATTTGCTTGACTTTTCAGCACTGTTGATTGGTCTTTACAATAAAAATATTTTATTAGTAATTATCAACACATTCATGCTAACGCGTTTGTAACAATACATCCTATGCAAAAAAACATTACTAAAAACACGCAAAAAGCTATTAATCAACAACTAGAGTGAATTACTCAATAATAAATAAATAAATAAAAAATCATAGATTAAAAGTTGAAGTTACCATGACATAAAATGACATTGTATATAGCGCGTGTACAACTTAGTAAAATAAAAAAAACAAATTATTGCGATTAACACAGTTAGTAACATCGACATAATCTCATAACACATCCAAAACATAACGGACGTTCCGTACCTCACGCGCACAAAGACTTGTATGTGCTGATTTTTATCTTTCTTGCCGCGTGTGTCGTTCATTTTGGCTGATTAAGAGTGCTCAACAGACAACAATAGCCAAATTATGATTGCTAAAAGCAGCGATTTTCTCCCAAGCACTCGCGAAAACTCCGATTCACTTGCAGCTTTTTTCCTGCCGGTCTGCGTCTTTTCTTTCTAACGACGACTTTTCAGAGTTGAGAGTACTCTATACTCGACTCGCGCGATTCAAAGCCGTTGCACGTTTACGGATTTAAATTCTTATGGTTCATCTCGATGCGGCTAGAGGGCCAAGTTATTTCAAACAAAAATCAGATGTTTTTTATTTTCATTGAAGTACAACTAGAAGTTTGACAGGATGTTAATTTTAGTAATTCTCAAATTATGCATGTGTGATCAAAAAAACTTTAATTTCATTCAGAAAATTAATTAAGATAATTGATGTTTATTTATAATTCATTATTTTATTTTTTACGAAATATTTAATCGGCAGATGTTGGTAGAAGTGGTATTAAAATTGTATTGAAAAGACAGTTAAATTTTAATGATGAAAAAGGAACAAAATATTAGCAATATAATAATTAATATTACATTATCCTTGTATCAATACTATATATCAGTCAAAAAAGGCATATTCAGTATTTTATTTTCGAAATAAATAAAATAGTATGAGTTACGAACATGTTTACCTTTACAATGGTTGTTTTACTAGTGGCAACAGTGCGGACTATATAAAAGACGCGGTTTGAATATTTGATATAGATATTACTGACAAATTTTAAAGACTCAGAGGAACGCGCGCGACGGTGTATAACGTATATTTTACATGTCGTGACGTTATAATGTGTTGATTTAACAAATAAATAATTGTTACTAGATATTGACTGTTTACTATAAATTGTAATCTAAAAAAAATCCATAAAGATGCCTGTCCGAACAGAATCAAATAAGATTAGTGATGTATTCACATCAGTGCAATTTAACAGAACTTCCCATCAAAATTATCTAAAAAAGTTAAGAAAGTACTATGAGAAGGTAAGATTCTTTTATATTTATGGCAAAATATCATGGTCTTATGTTATTTATTTAAATTTTAGATGGACTTTGATGAATTTGTAGATGAATTCATTTCTAACCTGAGAGTGCCAATGACTTATATTGAGAAACATCCAAACGTTGAAAATACATTGCAGTTTGCTGCTAAGTTTGCTATTTGCTTACAACCACAAAGTGAAAATGAAGAAGAATATGAAGAAATGTGCCCATTTCTTGAAAAAATCTTTGAATTCCTATTAGCTCATCATGGTGCAAAAGAAGTTGGAGTAAGTAATTAAACAATTATAATAGCAATATCATTTAACAAAATAATTTTTAGAGTATTATATAAACATTTTCAGGTAAGATTTAGAGTTTGTTACTTCCTTAATATGATACTGGATACAATGGGTGACAATGCTAGTATAGATGATGAGCTCTGTAATAAAATTCTCCAATGTATGATGGATAGAATTCTAGACAAGTCCCCCAAAGTTAGAGCACAAGCAGCAATTGCCTTACATCGTCTGCAAGAGCCAAATAATAAAGATTGTCCTGTCATCAACATTTATTTATTTCATTTGGCTAAGGATCCTAGTGCTGAAGTAAGAAGAGTTATCTTAGCAAAGATGGGTAAAAATAAGAAAACACTCCATGCAGCCATCAAGAGGATCAGAGATGTCGATGATGCAGTACGCAAAATGGCTTATATGTTTATCAGTAAAATTACAGTTAAATCTTTGACAATATCTCAAAGAGAACAATTAATCAATAATGGCCTGCAAGATAGATCTGATATTGTTAAAAAGTGTGTGAAAGAAATTCTTATACCATCATGGCTACGCTATTATGATAAGAATTTCATTGCATTTATTAAGGCTATAGATGCTGAGCATGCAGCCAAAACAGCTACTCTGGCAATGAATTGTTTGTTCAAGTAAGTTTTTCTCAAAATAATATTATCTAATGTATTTTCTTTATATTGCACTGTCATGGTATAATGGTGGTCATTGTATAATGTCATTGTATAATGTTTTTTTGTAGGAATGTAGAAATGGATATATTGATTAAACAGTTGCCTATCGATAACACAAAGTTCATACCTTTGGATCAGCTTAGCAGTGAAAATGTATTGTATTGGAAATGTTTGGCTGAATTTTTCAAAACTGAAAATTTGTTTGATGAATTTGATCAGATTATACCAGAACTATCTCCATTTTGTACCTACATCAAAGAATTTATTACTATGATGAATTCAAGTTCCAATAAACAGTACGAAGAGATATCAAAGCAATTCATTCTACACCAATTATTTGAAATGGTAAAACTTCATGATTTATCTGATGAAATGGGCCGCAGCAATCTAAAAGAATTAATTTTAGACACATTGCAAAATTATAAATGCTCAGAAAAAATAAGTGAATGCATTGTTAAGTACTTTGAACAAGTTATACCAGATACAAATAGTAGAGTGAATATGTTGGTAGAAGTTATTAATGAAATCAGATTTCCATTGAAAGCAAATATCCCAACTCAAAATGTTTTATCAGAAGATGAACAGCATGAAAGAAAAATGGAGGTAAGTTGAATAACTAATGAGATTGAAATTTTTTTAACAATTGTTAGATAAATGCTAAATTTGAGGTATTTTATCCTAGAGAGCAAAGCTTGGAATTCAGTTATTGGAGCTAGAAGATGAAGAGTATAAAGCTATTCAGCATAAAGATTATGTAAAGGCACAGGAAATAGCTCAAAAAGTAACAGCATTAAAAGCAGAAATAGAAAATTTATCAAATGAACCTGAAATTGCTGAATCACAGACACAATGTGAAGAAAAAAATGATCCTGAAACAATGATACAGTGTTTGCAAATAATGTATTATATGATGCAGTCCAATGCTATTAATTCTCTATCGCCAACTTTAAGAACTTTAATGGAAAGTGTCGCCCACCCTTTTGTTAATGTAAGTATATTCATAAAAGGTAATAATAGTTAAGTAATAATTATAAAGTAAATACTTCTCTGACAAGGATTTTCCTGTATAATTTTAACTTTCGCAACAGCTCAATAATCCTGAAAAAGTACTCATTTTGGCTTTGAAATGTATTGGATTATGTTGTCACGTCGATAAAGATCTCGCTAAAAAGTATCTTATAATAGTCATGTTCTACATATCAGAATCTACAAGCGAAGATGTATGGATAGCTGCTACGGAAATTGTTTTTGATTTGTTATTAAAATATGGTTTTGACCATTTTGACATAGCGCAAGATGATGATAATATACAAAATGGTAGTAAACGTAGTAAATCTGTACGTTTGTATTCTCATACTGATGAAGATATTCATGTTAATGATAAAATAGCTCCTGTTGATGGTAGCAATGATGTTATCAAAGGTTTGATGGCACTACTAGACAATACGGTAAATTATTTAAATGCAAAATTATTTAAGTTTTATAAATTTTATCTCAATTTACATTAATTTACATTATAGTCTCAAAGACTCCAAGCAGTAGCCACCGAAGGCTTGTGCAAATTAATTTTGCATAAGAGAATTAGCAGTTATCAATTGATTTCCCAGTTGTTAATTCTGTGGCACAATCCATTGTCAAAAGAAAATCCATTTCTAATTCAGTGTTTATGTAACTTCTTTAATCTGTATATAAGCAAAGTTTCTGAGAGTCAAACCATCCTAGAAGAAGCATATTTACCTACTCTGAAGACACTAGCTAATGCACCTGAAATGAGTTCTTTACAGGATATTGATTTACTCAGAGTTAGTGAAGTCATTATCAGTCTTACTTGCTGTGCTATTCATAATAACTATAGTATACACAATCAATTGGCTTACACGTTATTGAATGAAATATTGAATCCAGAAACAGAAATTGAAATGGATATATTGGTCAAGTCTCTAAAGATGTTAGATATACAGTTAGATGGTGAAAATTTAAAAAACGATATTTTAAAAGCTCTAGATGAAGTTGATAAACTGGTAACTATTTTTATTATAATGTTTCACTTTTTCACATTTCATTGCCAATTACTAATTCATTTTTTTTTCAACGAATTCACAGTTAAATCATTCAGGCGAAAAGCGACTACTAAGTTATGTTCACCAATTTAGAGCTAAAATTACAGCCCTTAAAAATAATGAAACAAATGATAATGAAAATACAAAGAATCAAGAAGAAAATGAAAATACAGAAAATGACGACGGAGAAAATGAAGATGAACAAGATACTGAGGGTGAGGTTGACAAATAACAGAAACTTGTATCAAATATATTTTTATCCTAATTACTTTATAGAATAAGACTCAAATTGAAAGTATTTCAAGCTACATACAATTCTAGTTTGAAAAATTAATTTAATGTATACTATATTTAAAGAGTTTTATAATTATTTATACATTTAATATAAAGTAACTATAATTTTATCACGTATAAATTTAAAAGCTCACCTTATTTAATTTTTAATTTTCTTACCACATGTTAAAACTAATCTTTATTCAGTCAAATTATACCATAATCACAAACCAATGTGATAATAAAAAAACTAAGCGACTAGTAGAACTTTATCTCAGTACTCGCATAATATTCAAAATTAAACTTCCTTCCACGAAAGACACGTTTCAAGTTATTACGATTAGCTCCCGAGATGTTGATAACGCTAATATCAATAATATTATCATCTATTTCGAGTTGTGTGGCACTTCTTTGCAACTTGTTACAACAAAAGTCCATGTGACGAAATCTAAGGAATGATAAAAAGATTATAACTATATAGTGTATCATACAAAGTGCACAAATAATAATTGATAGGTCGAGAAAAAATAAAAACAATAGTATATCCAAATATTAATTAAATTATGAGAACTAACAAAACACTTGATAAACAATCATAATAAATATTTATAATGCGGTTGCAATTATGATGCGCCGGTCTTCAGTTCGATTGAACGTAGAGAAGCGTGTGATTATGATTCACACAAAATAGTAAGCCTGTATCGATTAGTCGATTTGACATTTTTTTAAATATAGGATGGAATAAGATTTACGATGTTAGTACACCTCATAGTCTGTCAAACATTTATCAGTATTAATCTATGTCAAACGAGGCATTGAACGTCGATTTAATTGATTTTAATGTTCATTCTTATAAAAAAAAAAACAAGAAAAAGAATTTTGAAAATTAAAGATATACTTTTTGAAATAAAAGCTGTTTGCTTCTAACAAAAGTTAGTAGCTTTTTAAAAATTATTGGAAAGATATTTTTGTTACAAAATTATCAAAGTATTCATAGTATAAATACTTTGATGGTTTTACAAGTATTTAAAAAAATTGGTTTTCGAAGAATTTTTATAATAATTTTTGGATTGTTCATTATTTTTGACCTGATAATCAGAATAGTTTAAAAATTTATAACGAAATTCACTACTATACAGAGAATATCAAGTTTAAAGAAAATTAGTTACTTATACCTCAAGAGCTGATCTTGATAGTCCGGAAAGGCGCCAAAAATAAAAAGGAGTCTTCTGTCTTGAGCACGTAAACCAACAGCAGATGGCGCTGTCGTTTGTTTACTTGAGGTAACAACAGCAGATGAGAGGAGAGGATACAACAGTAGAGATATTCTCGAGCTCGAGTATAGTTTTAGCTGGTATTAGTTGCGCACGCGATCGTCTGGTGATTTGATGTTATGGAGAAATTAGCGAAACCGCAGATAATCAGCCACATCGAGAAGTCATTAGACTACTCAATATTCGACGCTAAATGGGTACCATGCAGTGCCAAATTAGCGGTTATAGGCTCAAGACCTCGTGGCAGCGGAGTCATACAAATCTTTGAGGTATCAAGTGGTGAACTGGACCTAGTGAAAAGTATCGAACGATCGTGTTCCATTAAATGCGCCACTTTCAAGGCATCGAGTTTGAGAGAACGTCACCTGGCTGCTGGTGATTTCAAGGTGTGCGTTTTTATTTATTGCTTAATGAGAGATTGAGCGCACGCGCGCTTATTCATTTGCCGGTGTTTGCCATGCTGCGCTGGTGCAAGAGCCTTTTAAATTTAGCGGCTTGTTGCTGCGTTGCATAAACTATAGTTTATAGCGCTATTTCGAATACGTATTCATGCAACATTTACACTGGCTTTCATAGCATTTTACACTTTAATTTTATATTCTGTGAACTTAGTCCGTTACGTGGGTGTTGTCATAGATTCATGTTTGATCGATATTCCAGGGTAAACTTAACTTGTACGATTTGGAAGACGCGTCAGTACCTATATACAGTGCTAATGCTCACACTGAAATTATTAATGCTATCGACGGCGTAGCTGGCGATTCCATTGGATGTGGTGCTCCTGAAATTCTCACAGGTTCGAGGGACGGCAGTGTTAAGGTCATTATTGACAATTTTATAAGGAAAAATTATTCAAGTATTTAGATTTAGTTCTTTTGTGTAAATGTTTCTCTTATTTTTCATGATTATCATTTTGAAGGTATGGGATCCAAGACAAAAAGATAAGCCAGTAGCAGTGATGGAGCCGAAGGAAGGCGAAACACGTCGCGACTGTTGGTCAGTAGCGTTCGGCAACTCCTACAATGACGATGATCGCGTTGTAGTTTCGGGTTATGATAACGGCGATGTCAAAATGTTCGACTTACGAGCTATGGCACTCAGATGGGAGAGTAATCTCAAGCATGGCGTTTGTGGTATCGAGTTCGATCGACGTGACATTGCCATGAATAAACTCGTGTGTACGACACTACAAGGGAAGATATACCTATTTGACTTGAGAACACAGCATCCGAAAAAAGGATTTGCTTATCTCGTTGAAAAGGTGAGACTGCTTACGTGAATTATCGAGCTTTGAAAGTGTGGCATACGAGGGTCGATCTTTACTGTTTCTAAATAGACTGAAGTGATCGCTAGAAAAAAAGTGGGTTTAACAAAACTTGCAAATATTCAATAGCAAAAGTCGAGTCTAGTTAGGCATATTACATCAAAGTTTATTTCAGATAATTTGTAGAAATAGTATTTAATATTTACTAGTTGTTTTAGCAATTATGGACTTATTTCAACTTTTTGTAGGCACACTCGTCGACTGTATGGCTCGTACGACACCTACCACAAAATCGCGAAATTTTCGCTACCGGCGGTGGAAATGGTTCTCTATGCTTATGGAAATAGTAAGTTCAAATAACATTCATGGAGTTTACTTGATCAAATTAAACTCGCATCAACGAATAAAATTAATGTTTAATCCTTCCAGTCACTATCCAGAAAAACGAAAAGTTGCAGACTCAGAAGGCATAGAGGAAGGTATAGTAGGTAACTTAAAACTTTTACAACACAGCACATTATCATCCCAGCCTGTTAGTTCGCTTGATTGGAGTCCAGACAAACAAGGTCTAGCAGTGTGCACATCGTTCGATCAGTGCGTGCGTGTTATTATTACGACAAGGCTCAATCTTTACTGAACGAACATTAAATTTTTTGGCAATCATTGCTGACTTTTGTTTTTAATGCAACCTCTAGGTATGAAAATTCGTGCATGATGCTTGTAACTAGCGATCTTGCCGCTTGTAACTAGCGATCTTGCCACTTGTAACAATGATTGTGTGACTTTGTTTAGACAAACAAATGATGAGTACTGTTTGTGAGAGTAGGCTCATTTCAAACTCAGCATAGTCTTCAAATTTTAGTTTTTAAATGGTTTTATATAAGTGAATCATGTTAAATAAACATTCTGCGTACTTCTTGTAATTTTATTATAGATTGCAATATTTATTCTTCACACAAGCCAGACAATTCAGTTTGAGAAATAAAATATATTCTATAAAGTGTAGATAGTAAAAAGTAAGTCAGTAAAGCAAACAGAAGAGACGATACTTTTAATAGCACTGTAAATCTTTTTTTAAAAAATAAAAGAGAATATTTTCAAGCTCCCAATTTTTGTTCTTTTACTTTCTGAATTATAGATCATTTATCTAATTATAAATTATATATATTAGTATAACACAAAAAAGGAAATTGAATGTGAAACAGAAAAAAAGTGTACCTTAGTTTTTAATTGGTCTTTAATTGTCTACTATCAAAAACATATAAGGTTTTGATTAAATTATTATTCATTACGAAATGCAAAAATATTTTGCCATTATAGTAATTATCTAGAAATAAATTAGTTTCTATCTACTGCTACTAATAGCAATTGGTTTACAAAAGACGTGTTCCTTTATTGTACGTTTTTGACTCTAAACCAAATGTAACTATATCCTACATGAATACCTGCAGGTATAAATCGCAACTTTATTGTAAGCATTCCATAAAAATTGATCTTGGTTTGAGTTAGAGGCACATTATAAGTAGATATGCATCAGGTATAACAGTTGCACATGGAGAGTATTTTTTTTATATCTATCATACTAATTAACTTTAAAATACCTGTTTCTCTAAATAAGTTATGCATATTTTGAAAAGCAATGTTCAAGAACACCGTTAAATTTTATACTTAAAATGAAAATACATATATAGATAGCTTTGAAAAATAGTTTTGTATTAGAGTATTTCTGTGAAGAAATCTGTATAATGATTGTCTAAATATATCGTTATCTATGCAGACTTATTAAAATTACACAAACCACAACTTTTAAGATTCGACTGCTTTCTTATGCATAAAAAAAATCAAATTAGTCATTAGTTAACTTTTTATTGGTGTATTTGCGACCTCTTTAAAATTTTGTTAGAAAACAAAACAACAATAAATATACAACGTGCAAACATGTGAATGGTAATTTAACTACTTGCAAACAACTACAGCGAATGACAACGGCTTATCAAAACATTTGTTGGCTATCGTTTAAATAAAATTTAAACAAATAATTTAAATATAATTACAAAATTATAACCTTTTTTTGAAAGATATAGATTCTCGAATTTTAAGCATTTATCGGTTTAGTAAAGTTATGCAATCTTTATTTTTGAAAGATACAGATTATGGGATTATAAGAACTCAATATCCAATTATTTGTACCTTTAAAAAAGGGTTATAACTTTGCTAAGACGAACCATTTCTATTTAATCGACAGCTACAATTGTTCTGACAAGATGGTGCCACTCTCTGCACTTATTTTTAAGTAGGATAAATTACCTTTCATATATGTTTGCATGTTTTATATCTATTGTCTTTTGGTTTTTTAATAAGTTTTAAAGATGATAAATTCACCAACAAAACGTAAACTGATGTCTAACAATCCCTAATTATTGTTTCCATAATCTAAAAAAAAAGGGAAGCTTTACTTCTGCAATTATAAATCTTTTTTAGTTATTAGTTACTATTAGCTTGGAGTCAAATAACTGCAAAAATGGAGCACATTCTTAAATATTGAGAGCAAGATAATAATTAACATCGTTTAATAGGAAGTACTTTTTACTGCAAGTTCTACGTCGTGTTTTTGTTTTGTTGTTCATGAAATATTCATTTTACTTGCTCGACTTGACTACTAAAATTAAATATAGTAATTCTGGAATTATTTCGCCCAAAAATTTGAGCGTGAGTAATTAGGGCAGCGATTGAATTAGGAGTTCATTCAATTTGCTGATTTGATCTATTATGGTTTCAATATTTTTTCAATGAATTCCTTTACATCTCGCAATTCCTGTAAAGAAAAAATACAAAAATATAATAGTTATATTATGATGCTACAGTAATAAATTCTAATATATTTAATACTCACTTCATCAATACATATATGCATATCTTTTTGATAAGTTTTAAATTCGGTATGTGTCATGAATTGCTTTAGTAAAGTTGCAGTTGCTTGTCCCCATTTGTATGGAACTATTGGGTCACAATTCCCATGGCATTGTAGCACAGGAATATTTCTATTTCCTATGGCTTCCTGAAATATGGCAAGCTTGTTTAATATTGATTAACGTACCAAAAATTTCATATATTCATATTAATTACTGTTGGGAACTTTTGACGAAGAGGAAGCCAAGTTGACAGAGCTACAACTCCAGCCAATGGTTGAGGAAATGTCAGAGCACTGAATAAAGCTAAAGCTCCACCTTGACTGAAGCCACCAAGAAGAATCCTTTCAGATGATATACCAGCTGCTATTTCTTGCTGAATCATGGAATGTACACTCTGAGCTGCTTTACGTATACCCTCTTCATCCTCTGGACTACTTGCATCTAAGGATTTCAGATCAAACCTAATAGCAGGAAATAACAGATAGTAAAATTTTGGTTTTACACTATGGAATAATTTATAAGTTCATAGATTATCTTACCATGAAGGCATCCTAAATCCAGTATTCAGGGTGACTGGCATTGTTGGTCTGGAAATAGCATTTTATAAATTTTACAGTGCATAATCAATATAAAATTTTATATACATACGCAGTAGGACAAATGACTTTAACATGTGGAGGTCTGAGAGTACCCAGAGAAGTGGCCCAACCATGTCTAAAATTTAAGAAATTTAAAATTATTTCAGTTGTAGAATATTACCTAGAAATTATAGTAGTGTATCTGCTTACCCTGTATCTCCTAGCCCATGGAAAAATATAAGCTAAATATATAAACACATAAGATAGTTTTATTAGTATGTTATAAAATAAAGTTAACCGAGTATAGAATCAAACTAAAATTTATGAGAGATATTTTAATAAATTTTATATGTTTTGTAAATTTTTTCGATTTAGTTTATTAATAAATCAATATTTGAAACTGGAATTTCGAGGCATCTAACGAATGTCGTTAGTGGCTTTTGTTGTAATTCACGTTTGCACTGCTGTCTGTAAGGTGCAGCAAATGAAATAGCATTACATAGCTTATGTAAGAAATAATCGACTTAAATTCTATTTTATCAATCAACAATAGCTGTTCCAGGCTACTGCCTAACCAAAGACAGAACTGGCCGGGGAATATGGAAGAACCTTCTTCGGTCGGTAGTGAATAAACTCACCGTTGCTGTGTGTCTTGCAGTTGCGGCGATCACAACGGGGGTCGTCATTGCTTTGCGTTTCTTGCCACCTAGAAAAGATATTTATTATCACAATCTAAAAAAAATCACTGGAGTTATATTCCCGCAGAGCTCTTTTCTACGAACAGAAAGATACAATGACTATACTGATGACTGCCTTCCTCCAGAATATTATATAGACATAGACACAAGATAGAGAAGGAACCTGCCGTCACTCTCTCTATGATCAAGTGGGAGGGAGGAAATTTTTCGCATGCGCGTGTGCTTGTATTATCTTTTTCCGAGCTCGTCACCTTAAATTTATATCCCAAGAAGATTGCTAAGAGATACTTGCCGTGCATGACAAACTATATATATCGATAAATTGAGTTTTGAATTTTTACACTTTCTCGGATTTTTTTTTCTTGAAATAAATTACGCGTTAGTCAGCTAACAATTAGACAAAAATAGAAATTTATAGCATGAATAATGGTGATGTATTGCACAAACCTAGCAAGTTGCCCATGAATTAGAAAATTTTAAGAATTTTTCAAAGAAATATTATGGCGTTACACTTCGGATTCTTCATTTAAACACAATTTTATCTTGAACACTGATCTAAATTTTTTTTTATAATTACGGTTTCGAAATAATTACATTTTGTAATGATATTATAAATGAAAATGTTAAATTTTCTTCCACCAATCGTTAGTTTCACATCAACGAAAAAATTTCGGTTAGTTCGGCGCAGATAAACCGACAAATTGTCGCTTTGATCGTGTTGTGTCGTCTGCTCATTTAATCATCAGTCACGTGACTGTTTCCATAAATATCCAAATAAAAACAAACTTAATTCACCAAGTCAATACTTGATCAGTTTAATTGTTGAAGGTCGAATAATTTACAAAGCACCTTGTTCATTATTGTAACAGACTTATATTATCATGACTCTTAATTTACAGATTTAAATATGACCTGATAAACATTTATAGATACTTTTATTTACATAATTTGCAAAGCATTTACTTGATGTAATGATTTGTTTTTTGTTAAACTTTAGATAAAATACGACACAGTATCAAACGTACATTTTTTATATAAGATTTACACAAAAAGCAATTTATTATTTATTAATTTGTTCCTATATTAATAAGTTGTTCATCCAAAGTGTCTAAAAAAGACAATGATTCAGAAGCATTTTTTGATTCAATAGATGACCCAAATGCACCATCACTCTTTTCACTAGAATTAATATCCAATAGAGGGAAGAATAAATTTTCGTCACTTTCCTTTTTATCTTCTATCAGTAATAATGACTCATTTTTATCTTTTTTGTCACTGGCAATGCTAGACTCTTTACCTTTTTCAAACTGTGGTTGTTTAGCCTCCCTTCTATCTTCAGCAAGAAACATTTGATTGAATTTTTCATTCATATCTGTAAATCCACTAAGATCTACTAAATCACTCAAATCTGATCTTTTTTTGACCTCTGAGCTTTTTGATTCTGATGCTTCATTTGGTTCAGGTTTCTCCCATAAATCAGAAATGCTGCTTGCTTCTTCAGCAACATCAAAGTCTAATATTTTACTTGGATCAAAACCACATGCTCCTTCTTCTTCTTCATCATCAGTGTAAGGTGTCAACTGACCAGGTGGTTTGTACTGGAAGGCATTTTGAGCAAGATCAATCTCGACTGGGAATAGATTGTTATTTTCAATTAAAAGCTTTGAAACATTTTTATAATATTCTGATAGTCCATTAGCAAACTTTTGTAATTGTGTAACTACATGTTCTACATGTTTATTATCTAATAGTTCTAGTTTCACAAGCACATCTGCTCTTAATTTCGCAAATTTTGATCGTGCATTTTGTCGACACCTCAGGATCAAACGATATTCATAGTTTCCTGTTTCAACCCTATACAAGGGTTCTTGAATTGCAATATAACTTTGTTCTTCATCATCCATCTCTTTAACTTTTAAACAGTAGGACAGATATTCAAATTTAGCATCGGCATATTTACTAATAGTCATGCGTGTATCTGGAATAGCTTTAATTAAGTAAGTTTCAAGGTCACTTAAAACTGGCTTTATAGTTTTTAACATATCTATTCCCAATTTCTCCATTTGTCTATGCTGTTCAGCAAATTTAGTAAAAGCTTCACTTGCTCTTGGTTGTGGCTCTTTTACACCCATTGATGCAAAAGCATCTCCAAATACTTAAGAAAAAAAGAAGGAAATATTAAGAAATACAGCTACAAATAAATAAATAAATTATGTTCTGAGAAACGTCTAAATACTTACTTTTGTAAATTTGGAAAAGATCAAAAAAGGCATGTAAAACTGATTTTGCATGTGTCACAAGTCCTTTATACAAATTTTCAGTCTTTTCAAGCCCTGATAGCTTTTGAACAAGTGTATCATTGCATAAAATAGCCCTTGATAATCCTAGTGCATCAGCAGTAGCACTACCCATGCTTTCAACTAATCTATGTTTCACCTAAATTGAAATAAAATTAAAATTAACTTTCATTTTTCATTTTTACATAAGATATTCAAAGTTTAAACGAGCACCTTTTTCAAAACAATATCCAAACTTTTTCCCTGTCGAACATCAGCATGAAGTTTATTGTAAATGATGCTCACTTTCTTGTCGCAAGCTTGGATCATTTTTGCCACTTCTACTTTAGTTTTTCCCTTTAAACATTCACTGTTCACAGCTACTAATTCATCTCCAGCTTCCAATACTCCATCCTGGGCAGCTGGTGTATTGTCAAAAACTTGAACAATGTAGAGGCATGGACATAGTGGTGCACCACCGCCAATGCTGATACCAATAAGATTACTGCTATCTTTTTCTATGACTACATTTCCTGAAGTGATAGTCATTCCCCTATTTGGAAAGTACAATTCAAGATATTAAATATATGAATATTTGAATACATATTATCAACAAGCTGTGTATAGTTACAAATGAGTGAGAACAAACTGCATTTGTCAATATTGCTAGAGACATTGAAACAATTATTTACAATATTTAACTTTAAATTATTAAATTCACAGCAAACCAGAAGTATAAAAGGATAAACTAAATGTAAAGAGAAAGTACATACGCTTTTGGGTACTTTGTTCCCCGATATCTGACTATACATGCAAATATTATCAACTAAGCTTTTGAAAATTAGGTATAAAAAAAGTATATCATTATAGCTTTGAAATAAGAGTGAAAATAAGATGATTAATACTTTGTTAGTGTTTTTGCAAATTTTAGTTTACACAAGGCTCATGCAAAAGTGAAACTTACATTTGATCAATGTGCTGTTGAAAATCAGCAGTAGAATGATCTTCTTTGATCATTTCTACATTAGGACTAATAAATCCAATAAGCAGCCAATAATATAAAATAATTCAAAAGAGGCCAAAAAAAGATCTATTTTTCAAGTTTTAAATAAACTCAAAAGTAACAATGCATACATGCGATCTTCCATCATATTCATATGATGCAACTCGACGTTAGCCAAAGGCAAGGTGGTTTGAAAATCAGAAATATCAATTAACTTTGCTCCTTCAACAGGCTTTGATGAATCAGCTGGATTGTTGAGCGATGATATTGTATGCATCAAACTGTTCCACCGAGCCAAGGCATTGTCATGTGCATTGTGCAAAAAAATAAGGCACATATAAACTGGAAATTAACAAATAAAAAAACAATTAACTAAGGACTATTATGTTCTAAAAACAAACATTTTATCCTCTTCAAAAAGGAAATCATCATCATAATCCATCATCTTGACTTGATTATTATGAGAAAATTCCTCTGTAGAATGGGAGAATTCCTCTGTAGAAAATAATTTAATACAGTTTATTATAAAAGTAACTTTCATTAAACTAATCATTATTAAATATGCTTACCAAATATTTGAAGTCAATGCAAGCTTGAGTAGTCTGCTACTTCAATAGTCGTGCATTGAAAACTTCAACTACATTTACTTAGCAATAAGTTTAAACTAAATGAAAAATAAAAAAATAAAAGTCAAAGCTTTAAACAATTTTTATTTTGCTATTTCTCAAAATGATACCCGACACCCTAAACTGATTAAAACTTGACACGTCGATTAGCACCCAATGCGAACGCAGCTAGACAATAACTGCGGGTTTCCATGAATGAATAGAATCTTATTTGGTTATAATTATTATGATACTTAAAGAAAAGCGCGTGATTTAAAATAGTTGATACAAGCTAATGAACTTATCTGAATATAAGTTATATTTTACAATCTATGTTAACAATTTCGCGATATTATAAATTTCTACGTTATTCGATGCTAATATAGATATAATAGAGTAAGGTCTGATATATATTCCACACGTCTTATTTCTCTAAAAAAATCTATTTTATGCTTATTATATAGCGTACACTTTCAAAAAACGCATTCAGGCCCTCGCCACATATGCGCATACGCGCGCGTACGAGGGCTACATTCAAACGCGTACAAATCGCTAAAAATGTTGATAGTGCCAACAACAGAAAGTTACTACTATTCCTCGCATGCCCCAAACGAACACGCTTACTCCCGGAACAAACGTATCATAACGCTATATTATTTAAGGTTATGATACGTTTGTTCCGGGAGTAAGCGTGTTCGTTTGGGGCATGCGAGGAATAGTAGTAACTTTCTGTTGTTGGCACTATCAACATTTTTAGCGATTTGTACGCGTTTGTACGCCCTCGTACGCGCGCGTATGCGCATATGTGGCGAGGGCCTCAATGGAATCTTCAAAATTTATCAAATTGTTATTCGCTATATTTAGTTACAATGTTTTTACAATATAAACTACAGTTCAATGATGAGTGATTGAACGATAACACCTAATACTATTAATGGAAACTATAGGTTTACGTGTAGTAGATCTAAATAAAAAACCATGGTTTATTATCAGTAAGATAAAAATTCTTAAAGAAAAGTAAGCTTTTGGAAGAACTTAAATTATATAAATTTTTAAATATACACGATAGTCTACAGTCGGTAGGATGGAGCGCTACTATACCAAGTATTGAAAAGTTACTATATATATATATATATCACACACTCAACTATTTCCTCGCCTCACCATTGTTTAATCCTAACAAATTACTACCTTTTCTGGGACCAATTACCTATTACACTACGAGATTTAATGTTGATTATCTTTAACTATCATCAAGCGTCGACGTAACAGTATTAACATTTATTGAGAGCACTTTCTGAATTCAAAAAAATAATAGAATTTCCTATCCCTTTGTCAATCATTCACACCATAGTCATCAGTAAGGCATTGCATTCAACTGTATATAGAAGCAGAAAACTGAGTCCAAGATTCTGTATTCGAAGCAAAATTTTTGACATTTTCTCCAAGAAAGAAAGCCAAGATATATATGATAATATGATTTACCGGTTTTCTATAATCTTTGAATCATCAATGAATGAGGATTTCCATTATAGATATTACTGGAAATAGCGCCATCTGTTGGCTGCATTTGTATTATTTATTTTGATTGTTTATTGTTGTAATTGTTTATTTTGATTTAAAAATTATAACAAATTTCTGTAATACTCATTTTACCATTATAATTTTTACTTTCAATTCGATTGATAAGTTTTAGCAGAATTGAATAAGTTTCAAATATTGTAAAATATGATTAGTTTGGAAGATTAGGTCCGATTTTGAGAGAGCGATAAAAACAATGTTTGATGAGGCCACGTCAATGCCGCAGTTGCCAGTTCCTAGTTCAGAAGTTGCTATTCGTAGGCAGTCGTCGCGATTATATATGTATGTATATGTACATATCATGCATACATGCAACACGAATGAGACTAATAAACGTAGCATGGTTTTTTCAAAGAAACTTTAAAGCCACAGATGATTCTAAAAAGGGAATAAATTAAGATCTGAAAAGGATAAACGTAAATAATTCAAGTATCTCTGTCTTCAGTGTTCAAGAGCAATCAGAGCACAGGCGATTTTATGTATACCTAATAAAATCGTACAGACAACATATCTGAAATATATTTTAGAGTTTCAAGACTATTCAAGAAAAAATGTCCGAAGTGTCAGATTGGTTCAAGAGCCTTCCAATATTCACTAGATATTGGTTTTCTTTGACAATAGCCTTTTCATTGATTGGACGGTTTGGAATAATCAGTGTACTCAATTTAATTCTTCTCTACGAACCCTTCATTTACAATTTTGAAATATGGAGAGCTGTTACAAGTACCTTTTACTATCCAACAAGTTTTCACTTGCTCATGAACTTGTACTTCCTTTACAATTACTCGCTAAGACTGGAAACTAGAGAATTTGAGGGAAGACCTGCAGATTACTTTTATCTTCTGTTATTTAATTGGGTCTTCTGTTTGACTGGTGGATTATTGCTTGGTTTTCGCATATTGATGGTCTCTTTGCTTCTTAGTGTGATATACATTTGGTGTCAACTAAACAAAGATGCTATAGTGCAATTTTGGTTTGGTAAGAAAAACAATGTAAAAATTAATTATTATTTATAGGCCAACAGTTTATTGATTTTTATTTGATTGTTTTTACAGGGGTTCAATTTAAAGCAATGTATTTGCCATGGATCCTTTTTGCAATGAGTTTCATTATGGATCATGATGGATTACCAGAGCTTGTTGGAATATTGAGTGGCCACCTGTACTTCTTCTTAAAATTTAAATATCCTCAAGAATTTGGAGGCCCAAGCTTACTCAATACTCCAGCTCTCTTAGAATACTATTTTCCTCCAAGAGTTAGCAATGTGAGAGGTTTTGGATCAGCGCCACAACAGAGTGCTGGACCTATACCAAGAGGTCATAATTGGGGACGTGGTAATGTGTTAGGACAATAATTGCGAGACAAGAAGACTAGGTTGAAATATGAAAGTAATTTTTCAAAATTATGTTGAATAGTTTGATATTTCAATCAGTGAACAAATTGCATTTTGTAATAATTGTCTTATAAATATATGAATGGGTTGAAAAGTATTTGATATTATTGCAACAAATATTTATGTATAAGTGTAATACTTTATAAGTAATAAGAGTATTCACAAATATAAATGGATACATTTGCTTTTGTACAAATTTTGAAGATGCCGTATTCTATTTACAGCAACTATTATCTTACTATTAAATTGATTTTGTTTGTAAAAAAATATATAGGTAGCACATCTATACATACAGCACTATAACTTGTAATTTTTATGTACAATTTGTAAAATAAATAGTTTAATTTGAAAACTCTCGATTGTTTTTCAAATGCATTATAAATCATTATGATTTCAACTGCGTGATTTAATTATAAGCAAATAATCAGTCTTATTTATTTATTTATTTTGGGAACCCTCCTTATAAATCACAATCGTGAATTGGCGCGGGTTCGAGTCAGACCTTCTTGAACTTTCTGCGCTTCTTTTGTCCAGTCATCGTACAAGTTTGGTGTTGTAAATGATACATAAGTAGACCCCGGACGTCGGACATTGAACATCGAACATGCATCGAGATTATCGAGGTAAAAAAATTAATTTTTTGTTTAACATTTAGGTGTCTCGTAATTGGGCAGAATCCGAGCAATGTACAGATTTGCTGTATTATCATTATTAGTATAATAATCAATAATTAAATAACAAATAAATAAAAATAAATAATGATTATCTGTTTTTACCACGCTACATATCTGACGGCCGTGCTGTAACGTAACGGCAAGTTAGTACAAGAGTGTTGTTTGTACGAGTTATATAATTTTTTCTCTTTTCCTGTGCGTCAGCCAGTCTCGTCTGTACAATTAGTTTAGGGGCAGTGAAAAAATAAAAATAGTCGATTAATTTTTCAATTAAACATTCTATTACGCTGGTCTAGTCATCATTTCGAAATGGGCGCCATTGGCCAATGTAAATCATGTGTTTCCTACTTGTAAACCGGATCGTCCGTTCCGGCAACGCAGCGCACTGCAAAGCCGTTTCTCGCGCGTACGTATAGTCAAGTGTGAGAAAGCAAGTTTCGAAGAAAGCGAGATTCGTCTCAGTGTTTAAGCTCTCATCATTATTCTCATCGGCCGCTCTGGTCAAACACAAACGTCGACGAAGTAGGGAGAACGACAACGGGTGCAAGCGTTGGATTTTTGAGGGTCAGAAGAAAAAAAAAGACGGCTTAAAGAAGCTGAGCCGTACGGGCTCTGCTGTCGGCCTCATGTTGCCTCGCCTCGTGCCGTTTTGATGATTTCTCCAAAAAAAAACCCGGCAGCATGGACGATTCGTACAAGGTGAGTTCTTTTAAAAAATGTTAGTTGTTGCATGGTTTCACGATGTGTAAACTTTACTTATTTATAACGTTACACATAGTTATACGTGGTCATTTATGAGTCGGTGCTGCCTCTATCATGTGATCCCATTTTTAGGTTAAATAACGTACAATTATTTATCTTTTTGGGCCTTAATGAAATTGCTGACAGTGCCGGTTATTGTGTTTTCGACGTTCAATTTCATATCGATTTGTTTATTTACAAATTAACAAATGTTTTCAAAATTATCACTTTTTCCAAACCGTTTTTACACGAGTCATCCTTTGAGGTTAATATGGGGGTTTTTACTTGCTCTCTAGCTGCTCTTAATTCGTTTTTTTTTTTTCTTCTCATGCAGTCGTTCGATTTGGCAAATGTTGCCTCTAAAGGCCAAAAATTATAATGTTAACTGCATACTTGATATAATTTCACTTGAATAGACGATTGTAAATCTAGTTGGAAACATAAATATACGTTTTCGCGAATTTATGAAATATTTTATTAATTTTTGGGTAAATCGAACTTTGTTTGCCTTTACAGAGCGAGTTTGAGTTTTTAGATTTAGAAGGTTTGAATGCCCAGAGCAGAGATGAGATAACAGCAATCTTGAAACCAACTGTTAATAACGATGGGTTAAATCTGCCATGGGATAGGGGAGTAATTGAATACCATGTAGTCCCTGAGGAACACATTGAAACTCAAGAAATGCCAAAAATCTGGCAACAATATGGTACATTTTCTAGTTGCAATAAAAAGGACATATTCTCATACAACTTATTAAAAAAATCATCTTTGCAGAAATGGAAGGGAACATGATAAAATATGAAGCACATCAAACAAATGCAACATCTTCTGTCTTTGTCACTGTACCGTCACCAATCCAATACAGTCAACAAATGATGGCACCTATGTATTCTGAATGGGCACCCAACATGTATATCAATAGTATCCCTGGAGACCCAAATGTCCATCAATATATGTCGGGTGTAGCTTATCCCACTACCATGTATCCTACAAACAATGAAACTCAAGAAATGCAGCCAATGAGAGAAGGTGGAAGACGCGGTCGTGGACGTACTAACAAAAGTTACAATCGCAACATCAACCATGTAAGTGAAATGCAAACAGGTTACATGGCAGATCCGGGACAATATCCTATGAGTATACCTTACCAATACTTGTGTATTTCGGACCCTGTAACAACTCAGCAACATCCAGCTGCTGGACAACCAATATATTTTCCTTCACCTCAAATATATACACCTCAAATGGCACAACAAACTCATCGTGTTGAGTAAGTTGACCTAACAAACAAAATTAAAAACAAATTATGTACTACATTTGTAGCACATTTATAATTTGCTATCTTTACTTTAGTTACATTCAATATCAACAATCTCCAACAACAACAAATCCAAAGTATAATCGCCCGTCACAAAACTTATTACCTCAAACTAATGGAGAAACCACAAAAAGCACAAACTATAAACCATATGATAAGCAAGGGCAAAATGTAAATATAACAAAGCCTTCCATTCATCAAGCGCTTGAAGATGATAATAATTCACCCCAAACAAATATAGTCACAACAGTTATTGTAAATAATAGTAACATAGAATCATCGAATAATGATGTTGACGAAAATTTAACTGCCACTAATAACTCAAATAACAAATTTGGTTTTAAAATTGAACAACATATTGTTTCCACAATCAATGACAATTACAAAGGAGTTGAAAAGAATGATATTCCTATAAAGAGTAGTGTTAATATTAAGAGTAGTATAGAAGTTAAGCAAAATGGAAATGAGAATACAGAGAGTGATGATAGCAGTTCTCATATAAAAATACCAATTGCAAGTACAACTTCCAAATCTGTTGCAATTATTACTGAAGATGAGTCATTGCAAATTAAGGAAGTTAAAGAAATACCAACACTAGAGTACACAACAGATATAAGTGAAGTGCCTGTTAACTCTTCGTTGGTTGCCATAGCAGGAAGTAAATCTTGGGCTAGCCTTTTAAAGCAAAATACTGACTCCTATCCTCCAGGTCCTAACAAGCCTACAGCATTTATTGCCCCTAACAATGCTATCAGTCTCAACAATAATCAGACTAAACTATTATTAAGTGAAAAAGCTCATTCAACCCTCAAAAGTCATGATAATAAAAATGCTGATGGACAACAAAGAGACAATTCAGCTGAACAAAATAGGTCAACTCACAATGAAGTACCTCAGAAACATATTGATGACCCTACTTCTTACAGGATGGGTGGTAAGTATTTGGTACAAATTCCAAATAATACAGTCAAAAATCACATTCAATAAATATTCAATTAATGTTTTAGAATATTTACTAAGTTATCAAACGGAAAAACATACAGTAAGTTTACAACCGCGAGGACTAACAAACCGCAGTAATTATTGCTACATTAACAGTATCTTGCAAGCTCTACTTGCTTGTCCACCATTTTATAATTTATTCATGTCAATGCCATATTCAAAAAATCCATCACGTCATTCACCTAGCCCTCTTCTAGACAATATGTGAGTCCTTGTTTTTATGCAAACCCGTGCATTTACCTACTATGAACAACTCAAAATATTCCAAATATACCTATTTGCAGGATTAAATTTGTACGCGAATTCGCTCCACTTTCTGAAGGAGCTCGTTTACCTAGAAAAGACAGAGCTCAAAAGCGCAACGAAGACACGATTATAGATATACAAAGCGGTGTCCCATTTGAACCGTCATACATTTATACTATTCTAAAAAATTCATCTTCTCCGGGGGTATTTTCTGTAGAAGGTCGTCAAGAGGACGCCGAGGAATTTTTATCGTGCCTGTTGAATGGATTGAGTGATGAAATGCTCGAGGTATGTGAATATTTGCATTTTACTTTCATTGTAATCAACAATGCTATTTTATTATATAATTTTGGCAGTTGATGAAATTGGCGAGTAGTAACGACCAGAAGGCGCCCGATTTCGCAGATGCTAATGCCAATTTTAGTCAATCTGGAGGCGAAGATGAGTGGAAGGTAATTATTTATCTTACTTCACAAGCGACTAAGAATTTTCAGTAATAAATAATGTGTTGCAGGTAATGGGACCTAAAAACAAAGGATCAATTACCCGGAGTACAGACTGCGGTCGCACTCCTTTATCAGACATATTCAGAGGCCAATTAAGGTCAAGAGTTTCCAGAGCCGGAGAAGACTCTACTGATTACGTCCAACCGTTTTTCACACTTCAACTCGACATCGAGGTAATTGTTACTCATTATTTCAATTCATTATTTCAATTCATTATTCGTCATTCTGCGTGCATTTTCAACCTTATTTTATATGCTGCATGAAACTGTACAGAAAGCAGAGTCCGTTAAGACTGCTTTAGAAATACTAGTAGGAAAAGATCCACTTGAAGGCATGACTTGCAGTAAAACTAAGCAACAAATTGAAGCTTGGAAACAAGTCACATTGGAAAAACTACCAGTAATTCTTATTTTACACTTGAAATGGTTTGATTACAAACCTGATGGCTGTACTAAAATTCTTAAAAGTGTAGAATTCCCTGTAGATCTTAAAATCGATAACAGTAAGTTTTGTGATATGTTACAAGTAAATTGGGTAGATTGTTGAAAGCATTCTTGTTTATTATTGATTTATTTTTAATTTTTAGAACTAATGTCCAACAACAAGTCAAAGGCCAACCAAAAGCAAAGACAGTATAAGCTATTTGCTGTAACGTATCATGATGGTAAGGAAGCAACCAAAGGTCATTATGTAACTGATGCTTTTCATGTTGGATATGGCGGCTGGGTCCGTTACGATGATAGCTCACTTAGAGGTGTCTCCGAGGCAAATGTACTGAATCCTCAACCACCGCGAGTACCATATTTACTCTATTATAGAAGATGTGATACTATTGGAAATAATCAATCAAATAATACTGTTAAAGCGCAATAGTTTAACTAGCAACAGAGGAAGTCCTACTAAACAAAATAGTTTAACGATTTGTTTTTCAATAAAATGAAGAAATCTTGCATTTTTATATTTTCTAAATTTAATCTGAGATTTGTATTTAAGCTATTATGCGAAGGATAAAAAAAAACAAATTAAGCGTTAACAGATCGAAAATTATATAATTGTAGAAAGACAAGAAAAAAGCGTTACACTTTTTAAATGTATCATATTCTTATCGTTATATGTATAGTGGATGAAGTCGTTATGAGTTTGATGTATCAATCTTTGGTATGTGAAATAAAATAGTAAGAGATTATAAACAGTTGAAAGTAAGCCAAATTAATTGTCAATTCAGGAGAAATTGATTTAATTACGTATATGTGAGTTGTTAAATATACATAAAAAAAATATAAATTCCAGTTATTTTTTGGATACTTTCTCCTTCAATTAATCAATTAAATATCTTATAACGATTGTTTATAAGCTCTTAAATTACTAATTGTATCTTGAGTCTTTTTATTTATTTATCTATATTTTTTTTATTATCCTTATAGCTATAATATCTTATGATGAAAGATTTCAACAAATACATCGAATTTCAGTAATTCTCTACTTCTAATTTTAGGAAGGCTTATAATATATCCTTAGTACGTAGTATCACAATCACTAGCGAAATAAGTGAACAATTTCTCTTTAAGCTAATCAAATTGTGATATAATGTAATTAACATACATTTTACACAACTCAACAGTAATTGTTGAGTAATATTAAAAAAATTTGTACAGATAACAGTTCAAAACACTTGTTCGTCGTTAGACACGTTACCAACATTTTAAGCTTTGTATAAAAATTGCCATATTTACAAAATTTACTTATAAAAAGTCAAAATTATCAAAAAGTAATTGAACACAGACCTTCAAAGGAAGAAAACTCAACTTATAATTTGAATCTTTCCAAAAACTCCTCAAATCTTGGAATATCTCTCCGATAAACGTATGGAATACACAAAATACTTAAAAGCAAAGAAAAGAAAAAAAAATTAGTCAGAAGATGCTAAAAGTGTGGTAAACACACTTTGCCAGCAAACAGCTCAGAAATTACAGTAATCCACAAAGCTAGAACAAATAAGATATAGGATATGCCAACTTGATGAGAATTGGGCAACTGATATGGTTGTCCACCTATTTCATCTATATGGAATCCCATGGGAAATATGACTGCTGCCAAACAAAACAATACCACTGGAAAAAGAAAATGTTAATATCACTTTAAAATAATTTTCCACGTACTAAAAAAATTAAACTTACTCGCAGTAAATCCGACCCATCGTGCATAAGGGATAGCATTTCTGTCCCAATGTGAACTGATCAACAAAATAATTGTTGTAGAAATCAAAAGACAGCCAACTAGTATGCAAACTAAGGCCATCCACCATTCGGGTTTCAAATCAGGCTTGTAGCATATTTGAGGTCTATTGTACAAGGTCATACATGACCACATCAAACCAAGTCTTGTATCTCCTATAATAGTAACTCTTAGTCTTAGTACATCTGAATTTCTTAAATATAAAAAGTAATACTTCTAGATATATTAATACTTTTACCTCCTACATCTGTAATGATCCAATCTGGCATTGCAAGACTGACAATAGCAAACATATCAGCTGCAAAGAATAATGTTCCAGAAATAATCGTGAGTTTGTCCATTGTTTATTGTTGTTTTCTATTGTTATTTTAATGAGAAATAATAATAATAATAATCTATTCTATTGTTATTTTAATGAGACATCATAGGTTTAATGTTATGAGAAACTTTAATTATTGTTAATCCTTTTGTCTCAATAAACTTTCATCAAACGTTTACGTTGTAGCGGCCAAGGCATTATTTTAACTTTGCCCTCAAGTAAATAATCAATAATAATTTAATTAAATTCGGGCTTTGATAATTTAAATATTTTATTATTTTGTTGGGAGTATGTGACGAGAACTGTCAATGTATTCCAAAATATTAACCTCGTCGAGTAAATATAGTGATATGCTCTGTTAATTCTAATTTCTGTGACAGCCGCACTAGTGACATCTCGGAAAATACCGCTTATTTTTAATTTATTTATGTTACGATATTGTTGAATTAATAATATTTCACTAATAACTTAAATCAAGATAGCTATACATAAATTTTAATCTTAAGAATTCTATTCTTCAAATAAATAAATAAATACGATTATGAATGATCATACAACATTCACGTAAACATTTTATTATTCGGTGACTATTTCAACTACGATTTATTTATTTTATTGAAATTAGTTTTTTGTCAAATCAAAAGTTGTGTAAAAAACCTGACATTTAGGTAAATTAAAATAGTGGTGAAAGGGAGTACTCTTACGCTTGAAAAAAATGCGTTGTTAAGTAATTTATATAAAATTGACTAACTAAAATCTAGCGGTATAGCTTTATATGTTGAAAATAATTTTTCTTTAAATCCTTATCGAATCACAAACAAAAAAAACTTGAGGAATTTGTATTTAGTTATGTGAAAGGAGGCGTGGCTCGATCACTGCAATTGCTTGGGTACCAGTGTTAGCCGCTGAAGGTACGGCTGAATAGCGCGTTTATATAGAAAAATTAATAAAATGACTACAGATTGCAATTGCAAAACAATTTTAAGATTAATTCTAGCGAAATAGTCATTTTATTAATTTTAGAGGGTAGCATTAGGTTCTCTTCAATTAAAGCGATATCTTCGTTTTGATCATACGGAACGAAACTAACGTAATACTTTTTTATATAACGTGTTATTATGATATGACATGAGATATAACTAAATTAAACACTTTTAGTGATTTTTACGCGGTTGTATGTATGTACATACGTGTGTGAACGTGTATGAACGCGCCATGTGGCCGTATACCTTAAAAAATCTCTCGGATCCCTAGAAATTATTCCACCAAATATTTATGGTTCAATTTCAGTTCCCAGTTCAATTGATAATATTTCCAAATTTTATTGTCTGCTGGATCAGTGGTAGTCAAACAAAATGAATGAAAAGCTCATCAGTAATCATATGAGTGAACTATGGTTGAGTTTGATTATCACTGATCGAGCAGACAGTATAGTTTCGAAATATTATTTTCAACGGTAACGCTGTTGGCTAAGAATACTCATGCACCTAATAGGGTGTTCATAGAATGTTACTGGCCATTCAAAGAGACATCAATTCTGAGATATCAATTGTAATTAATATTAATATTAATATTGTAATTAATATAAATATTAATAAATTAATATTAGTAATTTTATATATAGCGATCATTTTATCATTTTTTATTTTCTTTATTTCAAAATATACATCCCTTCAAAATTCCTCTAGATTGGCGCACAAATAGCTGCGCAGTGTACGCTACACACTGGTCTTGTTATGTTCTTATGTCTGATAATAGTGTCAGAATTGATTTCTCTTTGAATGTGTCCGAAACATTCTGTGAACATCCAACTTATTTCTCTTTGCAGTGTCCACCTGGTGTCCACTGTAGACTTAACACTGTCGTGGATCAGCGCATCTCGTTTCTTACGTATAAAAAAGTAGCTGAATGAACGAGTAGCCACAGTGGCTGCTTTGCAGTTTATAGATTTATCTACAGCGCTTTCATAGTTAAATTGTTTAATACTAAGTTAATAATTTTTTAAGTGTTTTCTTGGTTATGATAGTAGTCAATTTATCATTTGCTTGATTTTTTACTTTCTCTGAGAGTCAACGGTGATACAACGTGTCGAGATGGCGCTTATACGTCAGCTGTTTTCAAAAGCTGTCTTTTCGACTATAATTTCGAAATCGTTGACAAGAAGTAATAAACTTGTGAAGCCGGTTTTCCTTTTGAGAAATACCTCCACGAGTCAGCCTCTTCTCGAAAAAAAAGAGTATGTTTTCTTTGTATATCCTAATAATAATGAAATTAGTTATTCGATTATTAATTTATTTCAGGGTGAGAGTAACTTTTGTTAGAGCTAGTGGAGAGAGAATAGAGGCCAAAGGCAAAGTGGGTGACAGTTTGTTGGATGTTGTTGTGAATAATGAAATTGATCTGAGTGGTTTTGGTAAGGTCCTTCTCACTCTATATCTAAATTTGATAATGTTAGGAAGGTTTACTTGATCCGTTGAATTTGTAGGAGCTTGTGAAGGCACGTTGACATGTAGTACCTGCCATTTAATTTTGAAACCAGAAGACTATGATAGACTAACAGAAAAACCAACAGATGAAGAAATGGATATGTTAGATCTTGCATATGAATTGACTGATACGTAAGTTTACTTTGTGCCAAAATTTGTTAGATATTTAAATGAAATCAATTGCAGTTATTGTTTTAGTTGAAAAATATTGATATCTTAGCAAATGTTTTCCTGTTTGGAAAAAATTATTCATGAAAAATGATTAAATCTGTTAGAAAAATCATTTTAAATCAATTTGAATTGAAATATGCTATTATCTGGATAACCAATTGCAGGTCAAGACTAGGCTGCCAAATAATATTGAATGAAGATCTTGACGGTCTAGAAGTTAAAGTACCCGCAACTATTAATGATGCAAGGGCAGATTAAAAGTACTTTTATTTTAGATAGAATTCAATTACAGATAAATCAAGTTCAATATTTTTTTGTATAGAGTATGTTGTTGAATACCAGTGCATAAACGTGTGCTCTCATTGTAAAATTTTGTACATAAATGGAACACTTTGCAAAGGCTCGCTGTACTCATAGCGAATTAATTTTTTGTTGTGTACAATTATATATAAAACAAATATTTGTTTGTATTTATATGTAAATTTTACAAAGAATGTTTAGATATAGAAATAAGTTTTATCTAAGTTTTATTATATTTTTAAATAATGTGAAAGTTTATTACTAAAACTAATAAAAATATTTCGATGAAAATAAATCAATCATGTTGAGGGGAGAAATGAAATATAATTTTCTAATATTTGAATATGTTGACTTATTTATTATTCAATAATTGAAAAAACTGTGCACAATTTCATTATATTACATAATTATATGATCAAATAATAATTTATATCTTTTTTCAGATCTGTTTTTTCTTATTTTTGAGTATACAAAATTAACTATTAAATTTATAAATAACATATAAATGTATATTAGCACATAAAGCTAAAACACTTTTTGTACTTGACGAGTTTATATGGATCCAATAATTTATTTACTTTTTTTGACATTAAATTTTTTTATATAAACTATGAAAATCGATTAATTAACTACGCTACTTACACAAAGTGGCAACAATATACGCGACTAATTATATATGTCATTTACATATTTTCATGGTGTTACCCTATGTGTGTCGATTGTCAATTATATAGGCAACGCAGGTAATAAAGAAAATAGGTCTTTGATCATATGCAATACGTTAGCTAAACACGCTAATATTTACATACGCACACATATACACCGAGAGAAAAAAATTGATCGAGGAATAGCGACTTAGAACTAATCGCGGACATTCATGTAAAATGTTTGCGCGAAAATTTATCAACCTTTTTTGTACAATTGATATATAATATTATAGTTTGATTCTTAACAGATCGCCGAATTCAAAAGGCTCAGCGGTCTTTTCCAATTTTGCCATACAGCTGTCAGGTTCGTTTAACAACAGATTTTCATTAACAATTAATCAATCAACAAATAAAGATTCGCTCATCGTACGCATAATAAAGTAACTCTCGAAGGCAAGAATACTTGAAACATCTGTGTATAAATTATCGTGGCAGTTGTCAATTGAGAGGTACGCAGTGTTTTAACATATACATGTATAGGTCAAAAATATATCAGTCTTTCAACAGGCTTGAGTTAATACATTTCGTAATGCGTAATAAAAAACTACGTGCCTATAGTGATACAAGATCACAATGCGCATGCACACAAAAAAAAACACAAAAAACACCGTTTCGTTCACACAAGAGTCGACAATTCGTGCGGACTGTTGGCATTGCCAGCACTACTCAGATCTAAATTAGCGACAGGTAGTCCAGGACTAACGCTCCCTGTGACAGCCTCCCTCGAGCGAGTATATTTGTTGATCGGCGGACTCGTGGGTGACCGATCGCCAGGCGTAGCAGGTGGGCTCGCTAAATGATGGTGATGGTGAAGCAAATGGGCACTCCTCGTCGATGCATTAAGACTCAGCAGTGGTGGTGACATTGAGACGTGTCTGTGTGGTTGAGGAAGTCTTGACGAGATCGGATGATGATCCACAACCGAGGAAGTCGCCAGTCGACTGGCTGCCCCGTAATTCAAAGGCATAGGTCGTATTTGCGAAGGCGTTGGATTCAGATGTGGGTGTTGCGTGTGATGATGTAGGTGATGCGATTGTGCCTGGTGTGGCTGGGAACTGGAGATTACACTGGTCGTTTGATGCTGCTGCTGCGTCTGGTGGCCGTGCAACGTCTGTTGGCGCTGAAGCTGAGCCGCAGCTTCGTACTGTTCTCGTCGCAACGCCTTCATCGCGTTCGTCTTCTCCTGTAAGTTTGAGAGGCGTGCTCTAATAACTTTCTTCCAAGCTAGCACTCGTTTTATCGTTAATTGTCAACTTTCGACAGTAAGGAAAGAGAGCGACTCGGTTTCACGGCACAGCCGTATTTTTTTTTATCGAGCGCTCTCGACAGCATTAAATTAAACGCAAAGATCAATGGATTGCTTCGTTTCATTTGCGTTATCTGGTCAATTATAAATCACCCATGGCTCGTAATCTGTAAAACGATTTATTAACAAACGAACAATCAGCCGACGGTGGTACTCGCGTTTAGTGAGACAGTCTAGTCCGGAAAGATAGTGTCCGAAAATCCCTCCGAGTTTCCCTTCGGAAGAAAAAGAAGAAAGAAGACGGCCTTCGAGAGATCGACGGATCGATTAAGAAAATATGGTGACTCGAGTGCCAAGGCATTCCCGGAATGCTGCGCGCTCCCGATATTTTAGTTTTTTCTTCGGACCAGCGAAAGGCTACAAAAAGACAAAAAAAAACCAGTTTTTGTTAAATATATACTTGCCTCTCGCGTAAGTAGCCTATAAGTTAAGCATAGCATGTAAACACAGAGAGAGAAGAGATAGTGTACATAGAGCCAGGCTGGCCTCGATATATCAGTGTAGAAAGAGAAAGATAGAGAGAGCTTTGCACTTTACCTTCTGCCACACGAAGACCGTGTGTACTAAGGCGCAGCCGCAGAAGACTATAGCCAGTCCGATGAACACCGACGTCACGATCGCCGGTGTCGACTGGAACTGAATGAAGGTGTAGAGGATCATGCCTGCAATACAGAGACGGAATCGCATTATACGCCGTTGTTGTCATTGATTTCTCGATGCTGCACAGCTTTGCTTACGGCGCAAGGGGAAATCTTTCCAGCCAACTGGGAAACGTCCGCATTATAAATCTTACTTTTCGCATTGACGCCGGATGGCGTTTTCCGTTAAAAGAATATACGTTTACTTCGTTCTCACAAACATTTTTCGGGCTTTTGTAACGCGCACGTTTCGTAAAACATCTCCCGTGGCTAACAATAATGACAGCGAGCAGCGAAAGCAAAACGAAGCTCGGCGGACATTTCGTTGACGCATTATTCTTAACAGTCAAATGCCAAGCGAAGTGTGCTTCAGAATCAGCATCAGCGATAAAACGTCCGATGATCATCCGCAGTGCGCCGAACGAGTATAGAGCAGAAAGGAAGGCCGAGAGAGAGAGAGAGAGAGAGAGAGAGAGAGAGAGAGAGAGAGAGAGAGAGATCGGAATTAGCGCCATTACATTGCTCTCAATCTAGGCCGAAGCACCAAACGGCGTCTTGCACGATCAAAGGCATTCCACGAACTTATTAAAATATCTCCATCGCGCACAAAAAAAGGAAGAGGAAAAAATTACCGTCGTAATCGCGACACTAACGAGACACACTCACCAGTCAAGAACACAGGAATGCTGACGAAGAAGCCACCGACGGCACAGACACGGCTGAGCGACGACTTCTGCAGGTACTTGTTGGTCCTGTAACCAAACACACGCGTCAAAATAGATCGAAAAAAGATGTGCTCTATGTGCACGAGTGCCAAGAAAGAGAGAGAGAGAGAGAGAGAGAGAGAGAGAGAGAGAGAGTGAGAGTGAGAGAGAGAGAGTGAGTGAGAGAGGGAGAGAGAGAGGGAAAGAGAGAGAGAGAAAGGTACACGCGGAGGTCAGTGACCCGCGGCATGAACGAAGGGCTATCTCGCTCTCTCTGTGGGACTTTCTAGCGGCGGCGCTCCTGCGAGTTTTTATGTGCGCACCGACCGACGATATTTAGAGAGAGCTTGATCAACGAGCAGCCGTGCGAGTCGTAGCGAAAGAGCTCGATGTGCTGTGCATTTGCATAGACGCAGTGCGCTTCGATTTGTCGCGCGCATCTGTCGACTGCGAGCAAGTCTTGCCCCTGCGCTCCCGCCGCGACGGCGAGACGCTAGAAAACAGTGGGAAAAAATCCGCGCAGAGCGATCTGTGGCAACCCCCCCCCCCTCCCCGCCCCTCCCTGAGAAAGGAACGGGAAAATTGTAGGCGCGCATCCTGCCATAGTGACTAGCACAAAACTGTGATAATGATGCCCACAGCAAGGCCTGAAGCGTTACGCGGCCCTTTGTCCCGAAAATAACTTTGGTTGCGTGCTTGCTTTTCCCGTAAAGCGAGCGCGCGGGAAAAACAAGCAGGCGGAGTCGGCTTTTCGCTGGGCGATAAAGAGGCGAGCGCGACGTCTCGCTGCGCACTCGATGTGAGTACGCATGGTTAAAAGAGAGCGTGGCGCGCTTTTGTGCGCGAGCGCACGGGACTTCGACAAACGAGTCGCGAGCGCGCCGCACAAAAGGCGCGTGCAGCCGACTGCCATTCGGCGCGCTCTGCCCGGCCCTGCCTCGCAATTAGCGCGCGTGACCCACATTGTCGTTCGGCTAGAGGAGCAATGGATGGCAGCGATCGAAGGAAGAACGACGTAGCCGATAGCCCGCAGCTCGGCTCTCCTTTTTCACGCTCGAGCCGGCACCCCTCTTCCTCGGAGCACACGCCCTTTCCCGATTTCCGGGCCGAATCGCGATAAATAGTGCGAGTCACGTGCGCGCGCCCGAGATAGCCGAGGGCCCACGAAGAAGAAAGAATTTTTCGGCAGACCGGTCCAGCTCTTTCTCTCTCTCTCTCTGTCTCTTCCGCCATTGGTCGGCGAGGTGCAAGCGACAGAGAGAACAGGTGTTTTTAATCGGCGAGCCAGCGACCGTTAGCGAATGGCGTGGCATCGTGGCATCACCTGCGCGCACCTCCTCACGCGCGACGGAACCACGTTTCCCCCGTCGACGACCAGCGATACAGAAACCCTCGCTTTCTTTCTAGCAGAACGGGATTCGGTTTGCAAAAGTATCGGTGGACGCGTGGCAACGATCAGTGAGTCAGCATGTGCGTCAACGATTAGGCGGCGAGTGAGGGAAGGCGACAAGTTAAAAAAGAAAAGAAACGCACGGTGCGATTAGAAAACGATGCTCAGCTGCGGATACATAGCCAGAAACAGGTCTCCCTGCCCATTTGCCTTGGCTCGCCGTCGCTCTTTCTCTCTCTCTCTCTCTCTCTCTCTCTCTCTCTCTCTCTCTCTCTCTCTCCCTCTCTCTCTCTTTAATTGGCAAGAGAGCAGTTTTTCGGCGTCTTTCCTCAAATTAGAGGAATTTCTCGGGCCTCCTCTGCTCTCGTAACCTGCGTGGCACGCAGATCCAGCTCGGAGCCGCAACGGATTTTCTCGCGCAGCTTGCATAGACGTCGCAGCTGTTTGGCCAGCTTGGAAGAGCAGAATAGTGGCGATCGATCGCGCGCCAATCGTGCGGAGCAACCGGAGACGAAGAAGTGAGCTCGAAGCGATTGCTCAACAATCGCGAGCGCGGCAATTACATGCAAATGCGGCCGTTGATTGCGATAGTCGCGGGACCGACGGCAGGCAAGTGCATTCATTGTTGGCCGACCGGAGCAACGGAACAACGGTAGAAGCGGCTGTTCGGGGAGCCGCGGGAAAATGCGAAGCCTTGCTGTGCCGCGCTCCGACGGCCACTGCACCGATGACTCAAGTGCACGCAGTGGGCGTCTCATCCGGAGGCAGAAGTCGAAAGTCACGTGGTGATAAGGGTGGAATGTACACGCGCACGCACCGCGGGGGAGGGACGCCTATGGTTTCACTTTTATCTGCGTCCGGTGCCATTTACGGAACGCGAGATTTACGGCTTCGCGCCACTCTCTCTCCCTCTCTCTCTTTCTGAAACCTGCGCGAACGAGGTAAAAGAAAGGGCTACCGGAGAGAAATACAAATAAAACTGTGTTGTACGAGGATGGCGTGCGCGCGTTAAGCGCCGCGAGTTTGTGTACCTTGGATTTCGCGTTGGCGGGGCTTCGAGAGCCGAAAATATCACGGCGTGTTTTCCTTTGCTCGCGCGAGGCTTTTAAAGGCAAATCGACGTGTAAACGGCGATGTTGCTCTTAGCCCGCCGCTGCAGCGCGCTAACACGTGAAAATGCAAAGAGCACGTCGGCGAGCGCGCGCTTTTGAAAATCCGTTCTTTGAGGAGGATAAACGCCCGCGCAGCCTTTTACACTTTGATCGGGGACGCGTGTTTGCTTGGCTCTCTGTGCCGGATATGTCAGTGCAAAACTGATGTTGTCGGAGTCGCCTGCGTGGACAAAGATTGCCGACGCAGCCGAACGGAACAAAGGAACGGAGCAACGGCGGAGATGTAGGCGAGAGCCGAGAGGCGAAAGGCGGCGTATTAATGAATTTGAGTCGGCACGTTGAGGCGAGCGTCGGAATCGCTCGCACTCGGCGCGCAGCTTATCGATCGCGCCAGCGACGCTCGGGCAAGAAGTAGCACACGCTGATTTGGATCGAAAGCTCTGGAATTGACGCGCAACGATTACCCGTCCGCGGCCGATGAACGGAGCGCGATGCGGCGCTGCCCACGAGTCCGCTGTCAACGGGGAGGAGAACGAGTGCTGACACTCACCGGGGCCCGTAATACGACGACTTGACGAGCTTCACGGCGAAGAGGAACTGCACCGCGCAGACGAGCAGGCAGCAGAGGTTGAGCGAGAGGGCCAGTGCGCACAGCACAAGCGCGACGTCGTACACGATCTCGAACTCGTCGCGGCTGATGAGGCTGTTGGGCAGGAACGTAACCACGGACATCTTGAGCAGGAAGGTGAGCGAGAGCATCGCGAGCAGCAGCGACACCAGGCAGAGCAGGCCCAGGCTGGTGAGCGCCTCCTTGACGCCGGCCTCCGAGCCCGGGCGCGTGGACGAGCCCGCCCAGGAGAGGTTGAGCGGCGCCGCGCTGGCCGAGGCGCTGGCGCTCGGCGCGGCCGGGCCCTGGGCGGCGGGCTCGCGCGCGAGCGCGGGCGCGGGCGACGGCGTCGGCAGCCGCGACAGCCGCGAGATGTCCAGGCCGCCGTTGGCCTTGGCCTGCTGCTGCTGCTGCTGCTGCAGCTGCGCTATGAGCGCGTGCGTGCGCGAGCCCTGGGCGTAGGGGCTGACGCTGTTGACCGAGTGCTTGGAAGCGGACAGCGCGGACAGGTGGAGCTGGTGGCGGTGCGCCAGGTTGTTGACGCTGAGCTGCGAGTGGTGGTGGCGGCCGGGCCCGGCGACCTGCGCCCGCGGCACGTGCTCGTACACGTCGGCGCTGCTCTGCGCGCGCGGCACGCGGCCCGCCAGCTCATGGTGGTGCTGCAGCCGCGAGCCGGGCGGCTGCTGCAGTTGCTGCTGCAGTTGCTGCTGCAATTGCTGCTGCTGCAGCTGCTGCTGCTGCTGTTGCTGCTGCTGCTGCTGCTGCTGCTGCTGCTGCTGCTGCTGGCCCGTTAGCATGTGCTTGAGCATCGCTACATTACGACGCGCGCTCTTGCTGGCGAGGCCTGGCTAGGCTGGCGGTGCCGCTGCTGCGCTGCTGCTCGCGCTGGCGCCGGCCGGCGCATCGCACTCCCTGCAAAACGACGGAGCGTTGTTAGCCGCCTCTCGCCTCGGCCCGAAAGCCATCGTCGTCGCGCACGCGAAGGCGGAAGAGGGCAGGCTCGGGTCTGCGCTCGGGGCAGCGCCAGCGGAGACGAAAGCTATCGGGTTGCAAGCGCGCGACCGCAGGCGAGGCTTCCGAGGGCCGGCTCGAAGTCGTACGCGTGCCCACTGGGCCGCCGCTTCATCCAATTACAGTCCGTCTGTTTGCCCGCGCGCCCCGTGTGTGGCTTGCACTTCCGCTTCGCAGCGGTTTCAGCGCCGCTCGCTGTCGCTATTAATGAAAAGAGAGACGACGAAGAGGTGCGCGCGGGTCAACGCTCTCCGCGCCCACGCAGGCGTCGCGGCGGCACCGGAAAAGGCGAGCGCAGACTGCCCGGCGGTCGACGGGACGCTGCGCGAGCGGATCGAGGGCTGGACGCGGCTCGCGAGCATGCCGGGGCCCGCGACGACAGCCGGCGCGATCGACGCGATCGGCGCGCGCGGAGGAGCCGCGCAGTCTCGGAAACAACCGTTCGGCGGCGGAGCGGAAACGCCGTGGGCCCGAAGGGCTCTAGCGGGAAGCGCGGATCGCGAGAGCACAGCTCCGACAGGATGTGCGCTGTTGCCGCGTTCTCCAGCTGCGCCCGCCTCCCCCTCCGGCCGCCCGTGCCGCCGCCTCTTCCTCCTCCTCGCCTCTGCCTGCGCAAGGTCAACGATTTTCCCGCGCACGAGAGCAGGGCCCTTGATGGAATTCCTCGCGGGAAAACGCGTCGTGCCGCGGAGGCGATAACGCGCGCGCCGGGTACCGCGGCCCAACGGAGACGCGCTCCGAGGCCTTTTATGGCGAGCTCGCGCCGCGCGCAGCGCCTCGCATTTTCGAGCCGGCCGAACGGTCGGCGCCCGGTGCGGGCAGTCGCTTGCCCGGGGCGGCGGCCGATCGCGACGACTGCTCCGCGGCCGCCTGCGCGGACGGCTCGGACACGCCGACGCCGCGCTGCGTGAATCGATACGTCCACCGTGGAGACTGTTCCGAGAAAGTTGACGAACGCAGAACGCGATTGGCAAGCCGAGAAGCCGAGTAGTGAACGGCATCCTGAGATCAACGGTCGGCCGATTGTCCGCGTGCGAGAATGTTTTGATAAACTCGGAAGCAGCCGCGTGCGTCTGGCCAGCAGACCAGCTGGTAAGCGCTGGGCAATTGGGAAAAGCGTCGTCGCGGCCATCGACCGATCAGAAGCGCAATCTGACCGATCTCGTGGACGGATAAGCGCCGTACGTGCTGCAACAGCCTGCCGCAGGACTCTACGGTACGCAGGAGCGAGATTATCCCGCGCGCGTAATGACAGTCGCTTATCTGCCGACGAGATCGTCTTCCTGCTCGCTCGGCGGCTCAAAAAACAAGCTGCGATTCCAATCGCGGCTGTTCTATTTCGGAGCGCTGAATCATGCACGTTTCTCCTTCAACCGCCCACGTGCTTGAAAACTGTACGGCGAAAATCCGAAGAAAAGTTGCGCGCGAGAGACGCCGAGTGAGAGCAAGAATCAAGTAGGTATGTGGCTCTCTCGAGAGCAGAGCAGAGCAGCGTCTTCGACCTTGAGCTCGTCGGAGCGCTCGCATCAATCTACCCTCTCCTTCTCGCGAACCTTTATTTACACTCGTGGGAATCGCGCCCAACACACCTGTAGCAGCGTAGCCCGCCCGAAAAATCCGTTACTGAATTCCAATATAAGCGACGCTCGCTCTCTTCTCTCACCTCGTGTCGTTGTTGCTGCCTGCACCGGCACTGATGCATAGCCCTCTCTACCTTTTGCCTCGCGTGGACGCGCGGTTTGTTTTCCTCTTGTATTGGGAACAGCAACAACAACTTGTGGACGATCACTGCTACACTCGCGCGGTATAAACGATACACTTTGGCATTACATGTACAAGTTGTAAAGAACAGAGAGCGTAATGAGCACTCCACGGCTTCTTCTTTCTCTCTCTCTCTCTCTCTCTCTCTCTCTCTCTCTCTCTCTCTCTCTCTCACGCTTCGTCTTTCGAGAGAGAAACCGGCTATTCGCGCGCTACTACTTCATACTCGCGCACGCCACACACACACTCGGCAGCGGCCCCGCGTCGACTGCTTCTTCTTCCTTAGCCGCGCGCCGCGCGCCACGCGATGCCCGTACAGAATATATAGATACTTTGCTCTCTCTTTCTCTCTCTTTTTCTCTTTCGCCGCTATATTCAACTGTTGCGCCGCCGGCTGCCGACCAACTGAACCCAGGGACGGACCCTATTGCAATGCGGTTGGTGGGGTACCCCTTGTGTATGCCGACGACTACGATTGCAGGCGTGTGCAATACGAATAGATGCACCCTTACCCTTTTTAAATATCCAATCTCGTCGGCTAAATATGATTTTACTGTAGCTGTATTTTGTCTTATCGATAAATTTCATTTCATAAATGACTTCTTCATAGCCATTGAGAAATCCGCTTTCTTTATGGCAATCAAATTCAGCCTCTTTACTTTTCTGATAAGCGCTCAACTAGAATCGAGATATAATATGCTATTAATTACCTTCACTTCAAATATAACATTTAGATAATCGTAAAAGCTTCATGAATTCAATGAAATGTATTTAAAAATTTTATATAGAGCATCTCAAAAAGATTAATTCTTTTTTTTATTAAATTAAAATAACAGTTCGAAAATTCAAAATAGATTATTAATTCTTAATAACAAATTTGCTTGACTCCAATCGTGCAACAGCATTTTGGAATAAATTACAATTCTAATTATAATTATCTACGTAACACAACTTGACGGTATCTTATTGAAAAGTGCTCCAAATTGTTTTAGTTAATAAAAGTGAAAAAGAAATTCAGGATTATTGAGAATGCATAATAAATTAAATATGTATATATATGAATCAACCCATAATTTTATTTTGTTGTATAATAGCTTTTACACCATTAGTTGCTTCGATAAATGATACTGTGTACACGGGAAAATGTAATACAATGCGCATCAAGTTTATTTTTATTGTTGTCATTTAGAAGTATACGTCAATCAAAAATATTAAAATTAGCATTTCCTTTAGTGTAGGTATTTTACAACATCCACCTCCGCGCCGTCGATTCTCACACATTGTCCTTATAGCTAAGTTGACAGTTAAGTTTTTTTCCAAGTGTAACACATTTACATGTGACAATTTTTAAAATTTTTTTTTCGTTTAATTTTTTTATGTATAATATATATAATCCGACCATAAAAGCATGCTCACCTATAACAACCCTACGCCATAATTTGTTGTATTTTTTGTTGTTTTTTTTTGTTCTTTTGTTTCGCTTTTAGAATGATCGTCATATTACAAATTTAAAAAATTTGTAATACGTAAAATCACGTTTATTACTCGTCGAATCAACACTGTTTTACATAGTTGAATAAAATCAACAAATATTTATTTGCTTTCATTAACGAATGATGTAAAATTATGTAAGACACCTTGGAGAAAATTAATTTAAAAAAAACTCTAGACCAAAGACAATCGCATCATCTCATCATGCCAAATCATAGTTTGATAATATCAAACCCTCGAAACCATTTTTCATATTTTATTTTCGGTAACTTCTTTTATATCTTCAATTACGAAAGACAAGATACAATATCTTAAAATGAATATATGTATTAAAATAAAAAATTAAAAGAGGCAGCAATAAAATTGTATGTGATACAAAGGGTCGTAAACTCTGAGTGCTCAATCATTTTTGTTTATTATTACGAAAACCTTTAGCATTTATATTTTTATTTTTATCACTCAATCACAAATCGACTTAAGAATTTTTCTAACAAAAATCTATGTAGAGCAGAATTTCAGGTAAACTTCCCTTCTTGAAAAATATCAGTAACTTTATTGAATCAGGACATCTACTTTTCTTTCCCTTACTTTGTTGCTTTTTTTTATCTAAATAGACGATTGTATTCATTACTAAGAATTACTTTTCTGTAAAGTACTTTTTATTTACTCGGAAAAAGCTTTCTATGGGCATCATCTTATTTAAGAATATTGCCTCTTATAATTACAATTATAAAACTGGTAAGGAAAATATTCCTTCGTTGATTAATTAGTTTATGTAGGCTCTGCAGAGCGTCAAATACATACGCTTTGTAAAATTCACTTTATTGCGTTTAATGCTGCTTCTATTTCATTTCCTATACTCTTATTTAATCACTTTCCGAAGATTTCGAAAAATTACCGATTACCAATTTTATGAAATTATTTTGACTGCACGGTTAATTGCTTATTAACATTCAGTAAGAACACAACGTTATATTACTGATATTAGTGAACTAGTGGAACATGGATAAAAAGATCTTTTTATTCACAGAAGCAGCAGAACGAAAAATAAAACAACACAATTTTGCAGTAATCCTAAGAATTTTAACTAAAATAAAGTATATATTATAGAATAATTCAATAATTTTCTAAATAGGATGTTTTTTCTTAATCGCGAACAACAGAAAGAAAAATATATCTGTGTTCTGCAACCTGAGGACGAAATTAATAATGATTTTATTTTAAAGACGCAACTCTAGGAAAAATAATGTTTCAAATTTCTTATTTTCAAATGAAAATCGTTTTTGTTGTTTTTTCATATGGTATATGGTATGTATCTATGTATCAAATAAACCTCCTTTTCATATTACATGTTTTACTTAAATAATACAGCAAAAAAATTTTACCTTTTAGTATAGCTTTCATCCGTGGATTACATCAATGAAATAAATACGTATATTTGATTGTATGTAATAATTCGTCTCACGAATATAACAGCAAGCTAATTAAAATATAAATTTTCTCCGGATTCGGATATGTAAATACAGTTATACAACTCTATAGCACATCAAATAATAGACAGGTGAAATATCAAACGTCTAACATTTTACAATGCTTGTACAATCTGTGTTGATACAAGTATCTATATGTCGAATATAGAAAAGGAAAATGCACAGTGAATGAAGAAAAAAAGTAGCGTATATTCTATCAACGATAGCCGAGATGAACTTTCTGGTTGGTCTTTTTTTGTTTTGTTTTGTAATTTTTTGCTTTGTCATCCAGAAAAACTACTCCAAATATTTTTCACCTTGCCTGATGCAATAGGGTAAAGTAAACAAAATTATTGTTTATAATGGAATAACAGCATTACTAGTTGGTGGTTAGCTCATAGATACTTGTCCATTGGCCAATAATCTTTCAACGGCGGCGTTAATATCTCCGAAGGTAGCTATTAGTGCTGGAGGAAAAAAGATTTCAACACAGAATTAGAAACGTCTGCATATTAACCAGAGTTGCACATTCGGTAAATACAAAAAAGCTCACACTGGACAGTTAGTGCTTTCACGTAGATAAATGATAAGTTAACAATGAAATTTACCTTGTAAATTCGCGTCTCTATTTACAAAGCCCATCGCCGTCAATTGTTCTAATTGTGCTCGGTATCGTTCTTCTGGAGGGGGGAGACCGTCAACCTCAGCTCCTTGATTCAGCGCCATTGCTGAAAGCTACGCGCATTTTAAATTACATTGATTACAGTTCAATCGAGCAATACGACGATTCAATTGACCAACAAATTAACATACCATTCGAGTCATAAACTGAGAAAATGCGTCTTGATTTGTTGCATCATTTTGTTGACCCGTCGTTGTGGTATTAGTTGCATTTGCTGTAGTTGTGGTGGGAGTTGCACTGGATGTACTTAAAGGATTAGGTGGAACGGTTATTCCCAGGCTAAACATAAAATTTCGTTAGAATTTTGCATTTTACACTTACGTGGAAATAAGGAAAACACACGTGTTGAAACGAAATATCTTACTTTCCAACAAGATCCGGGGCAACATTTCGCAGTTGTTCCATACCTTGTTGAATTTGCATTAATGCTGACATAGCATCAGGATTGGTAACCAAGTTTTGTATTTGTGGATTTTGCATTTGCTGAATTAACTGAGGCATCATGGACGTTAACTGCTCCTGCATCTGTGGGTTACCCCTTAGGAATGGATTTGCAGATATAACTCTACTGGCCATCGATGGATCAGCTGCCATAGCCTCCAGCATGGAACGTGTATAGGGAGCATTTAGCATATTACGCATCAATGTTGGATTTTCCATCATCTGAGCTGCAAGACTTTGCATTCCTGATGTGTCCATAAGCCCTCTTGTAGCACCTGTACCAACACCAGTTGTCACTGTTCCCGTTGATCCTGAATCATTTTGTCCTGGAGGTCCCCAAGGATTTGGCAAAGGATCTCTATTTTCCTGGCCTTGCTGTGGATTTGTAGCATCTGCATTATTGCTACTATTGTCAACCAAGGCTGCAAATGGATTTCTTTCATTTGCTGCTGCTGCCAACATTGGCTCTTGAATATCTCTGTACATGCGCCTCAATGCACTAAAACCTCCTGGGATACTTTCAAGATTAGACAATGCTCGATCGTGGGAACGCATCAATTCTTGTAACATTGATGGATTGCGAGCTAATTCCATAGTTTGCCTGGAAAAACAGATTATTAAAAAGTTATATTCACTTATTTTCTGTTTCAATAAAAACTCACCTAAGAAGATCAGGATTGTTTAACATATGACTAATTTCTGGATTTCGTTGCATCAGTTCTTGCATTTGAGGATTGGCCATCAACAAACTACGCATATTTTCAGGATCGTTCATTAAACTCTGTACTAAAGGATTATCAAAAACTTGTCTCAGAGCCTCTGAATTTGTTAAAAGTTCCCTCTGCATTCTCTGCTGCAATTCAGCAAAATTTGTAGAACCCATACCAAGGCCTTCCAAACCCGCCAGACCTCCTAAACTACCCAATCCAAAGGGAGACGAACTCACATCAGCTATAATGAACCAAATTATTTAGCTAATATACAGATATGTAAACAAGAATAAACTTATGAATAACTAAAACTTCACGTACGCGTTGGTCTTGGAGGTGCACTTTCTTGATTATTTGGTGTTGCCGCACTCCTAGGTGCTTTGATGACCAAATGCACCGTGAGACCATCCTTGACGTTGTGAGTTGCTAGATTCTCATGATCCTTCATAATCTTTCCGGCGAATATGAGGCACAACTGCTCCGGCTGAGCATTGAATTTTTTGGCGACCGCCTCCTTAAACTGCGTATTTGAAAACAAAAACCGACAATTAGAATGAAAGTCATAACCAAACAAACGTGATGACATGAACGCGTGCAATGTTGCAGTAACGTGGTAAGTAGAGCTGCGACAGTCAGTTATAACTTACGTCTTTAATCATGGCATCTTCCTCGATCTCGACGGTTTGCTTTTCCTTGGGGGTTTTAATGGCAATAGTAATTTTCTTCGGACTATCCTGGCTCTCTGCCATCTTGGAATCGGCTGATGACTCGTTACTTTCGACGCGCCTTCGGTATATTTTTCCTCGTGTGTGCGTGCGATGGTTATGAGTATGCCGTCTCTCTCTCTCTCTCTCTCTCTCTCTCTCGCACGCGAGCTAGCGCGGGGGGAAACGCGTGCGGGAAAAACCGACAGCCGTGGCGGCGCTTCTCGATTAATATTGACGTCACTCGCAACGACAGACGGCACACACAGTTAGAAGGACGTACACTTATCTATTTTTCTTTTTTCCACCTTTTCTTGGTTTTGTTAGATTCCAACCTATCGTCAACGTGAACGTGTGACGCTTTCCCGAGGAAATAAAAAAGAATACGCTATACAGACGAGCGTTCCATACCGGACTAACTCGCACTCTAAACCACTATCGTTTTCTTTCTCTTTCTTTCTCTCTCTATCTCTCTCGAATATAACAAGTGTCTACGTGGTCTACATCAACTGGTCTATGCACCGTTCGATTTTGATATTTAAAAAATACCGCAAAAGCTTTTATGAAAAAATTCGATGACGAGCCGATGTAAATTAAAATATATGCTTGATATGTATTGTGACGTAATTATCTACAGACACTGCAATTGTATTATTTCATGCATCGATTTTCCTTTGCATTTTATAACTATGCGCTACAAGTATACAAGCTCTCACGCGCGAGCAGCAAGTGAGGGAGTGCCGCTATGCATTTTACACGGATTTCATGTAAAGGTTATTTAAATTGCCGCTACTCTCTTACGAAAGTCACCATTTGCGGTACTTTTTTATTCGCTAATAATTTTTGAAGATAGCTAAACTTTTCAAATACTAAGTTTCGACAGATGATTGTTATTATCGATGTTATGACAATACATTATGATGGTACATAAATTATTAATGAGAAAAAAACAGAATAACTTTATTCAATCGTTTAACAAAATATTCAAAGAATGTTAGAAAAAATTGCTGTCACGTAGATGTTTCTTTGACTCGGGACGCTTGCTACGTCTCCCGGTGTAGTAGACTGTAGTATTGTAAGAGACACTTTTTTCTCCCAGAGTATTCAAACCCTCCGTGACTGTAGAATCAACTCGACCTACACATACTGGTATACCCGTTGATCACTCTTATATTTCTCGTCTTTGTCGCTTCACGAATGTATACAATCCTTTCAACCATAACTTTTTATGGATGACTTCCATTTCGCGTAGAAAGCGCCGATGTGCTCAAAATTTACACCTGTAAATAAAGACATTCACGTTAGCAACTCCTATTTTTCGAATATAATTTTTTGTTTCTGAACCTACCAGCACTGTTAGCCAAACCATCTGGGCAAATAGCAACGATTTTTCTATCGTCGTTACCAGTTAACAAAGTAACGACAGGAATTTCCGAATCACCAGCGTTGCTCTGTTGAGTGAGATAATGGCAACATTCGACTATCTGGAAGTAGAGCCAAGCCTCCTTGTCTTTAGGTTTTGGTGCTTTTATCAAGGGCAACGGCAACTTTTCATGAGGTCTCTGTGCTCTCAAAAATCGTGAACCACGTTGCAACTGTGACTCCAACCATCTCGTCGCTTCTCGTGCATGACCACTTATTCTTTTAAGCTCATCCAGAGCAGATATTACTAAAAGAATTATTTATTGGTGAATTTATTGAGGAAACAAAATTTAATATTACAAAAAATATGGATTTTAACAAACCAACTGATGGAATAACAACGATGAATTTCTTAGAATAAACCAAATGTTTCACGACGGGCATGAACTTAGAAAACGCATCATGATCGAGAACCAAGTAAGGAGATATCAACCTACGATGTACACGATTTTCCAATGCCCTCACTTCTGCTTTCAACCATAATTTACCCATGTGTCTCATCAACTTTCCTTTGGTTTGATCCAACTCGAAATTCTTATTATCAGTTTGACTTTCTTTGGGTACGTTAGTTTCTTGAACAATAAATAAATTTTTCTTCTCGTCGTAACTTACTCCAGACTCCGAAACTGAGCATAAAAAGTGGCCAAAGTTTACTATTTTTAAAGCTCTCAATATTGTTTCTTCGTAGTTAGTCATCTTTTTGTGGCGTAGAATTTTCCAATCGATGTTTTTGTGAGCATCCTCAAATATCTTTAAACCACTCAAATCGGTATCTTCTGGTAAAGGAACAATGTTGACCGCATCTTTTACTTTTAAAGTTGTAAATAATTCAAAATTTTTGTTGCATTTTTTAAGCGTTTCATCACCATCAAGATTGATCAAATTAAATAAAGTCGTCAATCGTTTCAATAGTATTTTCGATCCTTTAGCACAAGATCTAATGATGTCTTGATGACCTTGCAACCAATCGCAACATATCTTTATTGAGATCAACATTTTTTCATCAATCAGAACTTTGAGAACTTTGATGGGATCTAGGTTTTGTTTTTCTTTTTGAACAACATAAGTAAGTGTACTTACTGAAGTACTGTTTTCATCAAATACATTCTTTGAAATTACGGTGATATTTTTGTTTCCCTTGTTTTCCTCATTATTACTTGTCTGATTACTAGTTTTATTTCCATCGTCATTTTCATTTTCTTCAATAAGTTTTTCCTTTACATCTGCCTTCTCACAGCCATTAGTTTCGTTTGTATCTTTATTAGACTTATTAAGGGTTTTTTCTTTGACGGAAGATTTTTCGTCATCTGTCACATCCTCAGATAACACCTCGTCAGATAATACATTTTCATCGCTCAAAAAATCCTCTTCAGTTTCAGATACGTCCGAATTTAGACCATCACTAGAGGATCTTGAATTCATACCTTCTCCATCACTAGCTTCAGAATCTGAACTATTCTTACGATTTCGTGGACGACGAAGTTTTTTCAAAAGATTTTTAGATCTATCCTTTGATTTTTTCAATTTTCCATTGATATGGTTTCCGTTTATTTCAAACTTTTCCTCATTAAAATTGTTAGAATTATTTTCTTTATCTTCGGTTTTATTATTCAATTCCTCTTTTTTCATTTTTTCCTTGTCATCAATAACCTGTTTGCCACTATCTGCTTTCTCCAATTCATAATTTTTATTAGCCATAGATATATCTAAAAGAGATTCTTGTAATCTTATTACAACAAATTGCAATGTTTGTGAGAAAACAGCTAAAACAAAAGCTATAACTCCATGAACTTCACTAGGTTCGTTTGTTGCTATTTTATAAATTTTCATAAAACAAATAACAATAATTTTGAAAATCATATCTTCAGTTAAATAAGTAGTTTCATCATTTTTGTAAGTCAAGAGATATTTTTCAATACTATCCTCATTTTCTGCAGCTTTTTGATCAATAGTTTCAGATTTATCTACATTTAGACAATTCTCAATGTCGGTTAAGAGAGTCTAAAAATATAAAGTTTATTAATTGAATCACTTATATGGTTATTGTAAATAATAGGATCAAACTTACTTGTGACTCTTGGTTAATTTTATCAATATTTATAGAATTATTATCCCATAACTGTAGTAAAGACAACAGTCTTGCCACGCAAAATTGTGTCAAACATTTCTCTTTTCCATTGATGGAATGAATTATAATTGTGCGCTTCAAATTACCTTCTGCTCCTTCAAAAGGTTCTGCACATAGTGTACTGTAGCAAAAAAATCCATTTATAAATATAATATTCAGTTTTCTTTATTTACGTAAATTGATACTAACCTCCTCATATAATGATAAACAGCATCAAGTCCATAATTTTTGTTGCTAGCCACAGTACCTAACTGATTGTGTGGCATTCCATATTTGTTGTCCATGGCTATCGCCATTTTATAATAGCGTGTAGCTATCTGTGGATCCCAATTTGGATCAAGGTCTAATTGGTAACGAGCTAAGTCACCAAGACATATCAAACTTCTATGAATAAAGTGGAAAATTGACTTTTTAGCTTCAACATTTTGAGTCTTAGAACTTACAGGCTTTTCCACCTTTAGCAATAAAAATATAAAAAATTATATATTAGAGCATATTAGGACACAATAAATTTAAACACAAAAGTGTAATTTTTTACCTTTAGGCTAAGTGGATAAGCAAAGTCAATAACACCTGTTAAACTTAAATCATATTCCAATTGTAAGCGTAAAATCAAATGATGATAAAATCCAACTCCAACTGATAAGTGAGCTGACAGAAAAGCTTTTTCCATATCATTCCAGGCATTGCCCTATACAAACATCAATATAACGTCATTGTTATTCTCCTAAAAATGTAATAAACAAAATAGGTTTACACATGTTTTCAATTTACTTTGCGTAATTTCTTTGCAATTGAGAAGATATCATAGAATCCTCTTCTCCAAAGTAATTCTTCAGTTTTTTGCACATGAGTAATAGGATCATTGATCATCAATCTTTCACAATAATCCCTTAACTTGACTCTTAATGATTCTCCGGATGGAGTGAAAATATCAATCACAGTCAGTGCTCGACCCTTCTGCTCATCCAACTTTTTAGCAATTTCTGTTATATTTCTGTTAAAAATATATATTCAATTTGTCGAAAAATCGAATAAGATTTACATAATGAAAACAAATGACAAAAAGCGCTTTAAAATAGTGTTACGCTTAAAAATGTACGAAATAATAGTTTTAGGAAGTTAATGAGTTTACTTTTTAATGAATTAGATTGCTCTTACTTGTACAGACGCCTTGTAGTTTCGAAGCTATCGCTGCTTCTGACATCAGCACTGATACTATAAATTTTTTTCATCTTGTTCGTTTCATGTTTCTCCACAATATAGCAGCCGATTTTATGGTCAATCATTTGCACTTTTCCGGCAATATTTTGTCCATATTTTCCTTTCTGATAATAGCGAACGTAATGAATAATAAGGCCTCGAGGAAGAATTCATTCGGTGTTTTGATGAAAAACAGCTTAATGATTCAAAACGTCGGAGTACTTTTTGGTTAATGTTACGATGGCGCCACTTCATATAATAATCAAATACAACGCAACGTTAGAGCGTTGCTCGTTCTTTTTGTCCAGAGGCTAACGCTACAATGATGCGTTCAAGATGGTTAGTGGTACTGAAACTTACCGCCATTTTTTAAATTGCTGCAAATGTTTCGAACACTCTGAATTTTGAAAATATTTATTAATTGATAGTAATGAAGAGAACAAAATAAATCGAAGGTTCAAATCATTATTTTAAAAAATTTATTTAGTCAGGAGATTTTTTATTTCCTCCCACCGTCATACTTACCATTTGCATTTTGCCATTTTGCACGTCAATGTAAACGAAGCCTATGGCCAGCATATTGCTGGCTGCGTCTCCGTCGCTCTTCGTTGAAAAATTTGGTCGAGTGTAGAAAGTAGTCTCTGATGCGTACAATGTGTGATATATATATATATATATATAGTAGTTAAAAGTAGCCTTCTGTCAACATGGCTGGAGATAAAATTTGTTGTGCCAGTTACGTTGAAAATGGTGAAAACATGACGGATAACGAGGAATCCAAAGTTAATTCTGATCTAGAGGAAGAAGCCAAGGATAACCCCGAGATTGTTATGTGTCCGGAGTTCGAATTCTCCGTAAGTGCAAATGCTTTTGCGATTGAATTACGATCTACTCGCTGTAAGTAGTTTGTTTGCTTCTCTTAAAAACCATATCTATTTCGTTTGCAATAAGTCGACTACTGATTGTTGAATGTATCTTTAGAGTCGCTATTTTAATAAGCATCTGTGTGAGTAATTGTCATTCGCGTCGGTTGTTATAAAGACAAGTAATTAGCGTGTTAATTTATAGACACATGCCTGCTATATTTGTAATGGATTTTATGGACCATGCTTTGGAGAACCAGTCTGTGCAACCTGTCATGCGTTTTTGTTTCCTGATGATATAGGTTTACTGCAAGCACCGCTATTCAGTGAGGTATATTTCATAAATGTGAGAAGATACTTTTATTTAAAATTCATCACAATTGTACTTTGTTTATACAGAAAACTGATGATGATGATTCAGGAAATGATGAACCAGTTGATTTGTATTATAATGATAGGAGAGCCAGTCGTGCAGATAGAAATTCTTCACAAGATTCCACACCAATAGTATCCAGTCCTTCAGATTCTCCAGATCGGAACAGGCCATTATTTTTTCCAAATTATAATCACATAGGAGATATCAATCGTGATGAAGGAGCTCATTTTGATCCAAATCATGAAAATCCACAAAGAAATGTCATTGACCCACGCCAATTACAATTGGACTTAGGGAATCTTCAAATTAATCAAGATGCAGATGATAACCAGCAGAACGATGTTCTTGAGGAAGATTTTCAAAGTCCTGAAGAAGATTCTGTAGCTAATGAAGATCCTGAACCAGAAAATCATCAGTATGCAGGTGCAATGTATCAACCAGTACAAAATTATGACATGTTCCTAGAAAGAGGGGAACCATCAAGACCATGGAATCTATCAAAAAGATTTGATTTGTTGACCAATTATAGAAATAATGAGCACAAACCTATTAATGAATTAGGTCTTGTTGACAGGTTACCACCAGAAGTTTTATTAGCAGTATTTTCTCACTTAGATGATGTAAGCCTATGGTGTGCAGCTAATGTATGTAGAAGATGGTACAATTTAGTTATCAATCACACAACTCCAGAATTGTGGCAAGCACATTGCAAATTAAGGTGGCCATTGTATGAACCAATTAGTGATACTGTAAGAGATTGGTATAAAATCTATGATAAACTTGCATCATCTGTCCCTTGTAAAACATGTCTATTTCAAACTTCATTGCACTACTTAAGGCCTCCAAGGATAGAAGAAAATTCTTGGAGACGAAATAGATTGAGGATAGAGTTGAAAGGTTTAAGATGTGATCCACCTGAAGGTATTGCTGCAACACCTTTAGATCAGATGTGTTGTCATTGGCAAGCCACTATTACAGGCCCATCTGGCAGTCCATACGAAGGAGGAATATTTTATTTATACCTGCAAGTACCTTACAGGTACAACATTTTTTTGCGAATTTTCATTTTTTTAAACAACACTGTAAAAATACATTAATTGAATCATCTTTGTTTTTGTAGTTATCCAATGCGACCTCCAGTAGTCAGATTTTTAACAAAGATACTACATCCGAATGTATCTAGACATGGAGATGTTGGAATCGACTCTATACACCACAATTGGTCACTAGCATTAACAATCTCAAAAGTTTTAATTAGCGTTCAAAGTCTGTTAACTGACCCATATTGCCAGGTATATGAACTTTACAAAAACTGTTTATTCAAAATGATCTACAAATGAGGCATAAAATTTCAATGTTATTATTTGCAGGTTTGTATGGAATCAGAGTTAGGTGATATGTATATGAATGACAGGACGAGGTTCGAAGAGATAGCACGAGCGTGGACTTTGAAATATGCTATGCATAATCTTATTGAGACATAGCTTTAAATTGATAAAAGTTATTCGAAAAATGTGATGCGTACGAAAGGTTCCTAGCGAATAGTGCTAATCGTACAGCTTGTTAAAGTGAGTTGGTTACTAATCAGAGAGAATATTTTGAAGCGAAATTTGATTTAAAAAATAATGCTATATATCTGACATGATAAAAGATGTAGAGTAATATATATTGTCTACAAATAATTTTTTTAGCTACAAAAAGAGAGACAAGCAATTCATATTTTCCCATCTATAGTATGTACGTAGAAAAGGTATGAATGTTTTGAGATAATAAATACATCATATCGTTATCCGAGTTTATTAAGCGTAAAGAAACACCGTGAAGTTTATATCTACTTCAAATTCATACACCATAGATATTTCATATACCTTCATGTTCATTGTTTTTTAGGCATATCAATCGCCTATTTATGTTTTATTTTCATTTGATTTTGACCGTAGTTTCTATTTATATGTAAATAGATGCTCTCAGATGAATTGTTATTACAAAAGAAGAAATTGTCTTTTATATTTCAGAAAACTATTTTATATGTAAATTTTAATTCTTTCATCTTCTCCGAGATTTCCTTGTATTTTCTTAAAAGTATTTTATAAAAAATATTAAATGAAATAAACTAACACTGGTAATAAATTTTATTTTAATTTAAGATGTATTTTATTTTACACATATATTTATACATAATTTGACACATTGTTATCTGTATAAAATTATTTTTTTATATCTATTGGAAAACCTAATTATTCATTGACTTGTACATTTACATGAAGCTATGTAAAACTAGTTGACTTCACATATACAATAAATATTTTTTCAATTTGTAACACATCAGTATTTTATACAAGAAATATAAAATCGTTAAGTGACAAGTAATACATTCACCTAAAATGCTCACGTAAAAATGCATATCAAACCATAACATGATTATATATTAATATGCAATATTGGTCAAAGAAATCTTGAAGAATATAAAATATTCAAAGACTATACTGTTCCCATAATTCATGTTGTCTTTTACTCATTAAGAGTAAAATTAGTCATCTGTACATTTAAAAAAAAATGTGTATTTATGTACATAAATATACCTGATTTGAGTTTCAATAAAAAAAATAAACATAATAGACAATTACGGGATATTCATATCATTTCATAACAATGTTAAAGTTCACCAATGTTGTTGATTATCATTTCGTCGTAAAACCACAGTAAATTATTAACATAAGTACACATTATATATACAAAATCTAACTTTTCCATTGAAATTATTAAAAAAGAAAAAGTACAATTTACAAAAACCTACGATGGAAGAGTCGAGAGACATCTTTCATTTTTTGAAAACATTGATTTATAGTAAAACATTGAAGCTATGAAACTATATCCCAGGTACGTAGTATAATCATGTATTAACGCTGTTACGTTACAACATTACTGCACGTTAGTGTCCAGAACGTGAATCATTATTTTTTTTCCTTTGCATAAGTTTTTGTCGCGGGCGTTCTGATACAATACATTTATTAATTTAGCGGAGCTGATTATCCATTTAGGAATCACGTCGTCTTCTTGACTGTTAGAAAAGCCTCTTTTCATAAGAGAATAGACCGTGAACGCCACCTTCCTGTTGCGCCGAATGTGTCCTCCTTTCGAATCGCAGCTCGCCGTTATAGGTCATTTCTTTTAATTCAGTAATGGATTTGGCTCCAATGTCTTGACATCCATGCTTGATACCACATTGCAAGTATGGCAAGAATTTCAAAATGGTACCCTTGTCGACTATAGAGCCACTCACACCTTGGGCTACTTTGAGTTTGTCCATCTCATTATGAAAATAACGATCCATAGCCGAACCGTTGGCATCTTTACGGTCCATCGCTTCGATGGATCCCATACCACGGTACTTTTTCAATCTAACACCATCACTGAAGAAGTATTCACCAGGTGCCTCAGAAGTACCAGCCAACAGAGAGCCCATCATCACAGCACTGGCTCCTATACAAAGACCTTTGGTAATGTGACCGATTGATTGGATTCCACCATCAGCAATAACAGGAACTCCAAATCGTCTTGCATATTCTCCTACTTTGTACACAGCTGTAGCTTGTGGTCTGCCAACAGCCATCACCTCCTGAGTAATGCAAATGGAACCTGAACCCATGCCAACTCTCAAGCCATCTGCTCCTGCTTCGATGAGATTCTTGGCCTGGCGAGTAGTTACAACGTTGCCTGCAATGACTTGAAGATCTGGGTAAGTGGATTTAATGAACTTGATCATATCAATCTGGTACTTTGAATTTCCTTGTGATGAATCCAAAACAACCACATCAACTCCAGCATTGACCAACTGCTGCAGTCTGAGTTTGTCACTGAGACGAGTCCCGATGGCTGCACCAACCAGAAGCTGCTTGTTCTCATCCTTACTGGCATTCGGATAGCTACGATTCTTCTTCAAGTCAGTTCTAGCCATCAAAGCTAACAATTCTCCCTTCTCATTCACAATTGGTAATTTTCCCTTCTTAGATTTCTCTAATATAGTATTAGCTTCTGGCAAGGTGACATTAGATTGGGCAGTAACTAGATCTCCTAGTTTTGTCATGATCACTTCCAGTTTGGCACTCTTCTGATCCAGTGAATCTTCCAAGAAGTCAATGTCTCTCGAGGTAACAATACCAACTAGCTTGCCACCAAGCTTGCCATTTTCTGTGATGGGAACTCCACTGAATCCATGCTGATTTTTAACTAATAGAACATCTGCTACGGTGTGGTTAGGTGACAAGACAACGGGGTCTCTTATGAAGCCATGCTTATACTTTTTGACCTAAAAACAAAAGCATAAAAAAAGATGTATTATAAAGCTCTAATAATTAAGATAATTGTATGTAAAATAATAATTTGTAATCAACTTAAAATTTTTTTCAAAATCTACATTTTTACTTGATTCTTTTCCATTTGAATAATTATTTTCCTGATTCAAAATAACATATTGATATTTGAATCCCTTAGTGTGTTAAGAAATAAATTTGTGGCAAATCAATAAAAGGTTTGAGTTAATGGTATTAAATTTTAGTTATGAAATGGTATTGAAATAGAATGTTGTAATCTAATTACATTGACATGATAGCTTTATGTAAGTTATTTTACATAATAATAAACTAAAAATGTGTATCAGTAAATGCCCATTGGCATATATGAAAAGAAACTGTTTCACAATTCATGTGCAATAATTTGCAAATTATGTCAAGTAAACAATAACAATCCTCAGAGTATTTATTGTTTCTATTAATTAAGTACACGAAAATAGTTTTTATCAATTTATCTTAAGTCACACTCAAAGTATTAATTAATGCAAAGTAACATATTAATTGTTGTTCACGTGCGTCGTCATTTCAGGGTAAATTTTGAGAAAATTTCGTGTCCACGCGTACACGTGAGTATCTTAAAATTCCAAAAATGAGCGCGACATACGCGTGCCAAATATAAAAATAAAAGTACAACATACGCGCCAAAATAACCATGTTTTTTGATCAATAGCTCGCAATTTGAAAATATAATAAGCAAACAATTCAATTGGATTTTTACCTTATGAACCTCGTTAGCTTGATATTCAGGCGTGCAATTGTGATGGATGATACCAATGCCACCGCAAAGAGCCATAGCAATCGCCATGTCAGACTCGGTGACGGTGTCCATCGGCGACGAAACAAGAGGTGCTTTGAGGGTAATTTTTTTAGTGAGCGGTGAGTGCAGATCAACTTCGTCGGCGGTAAAGTCGATGTATCCTGGTAGAATTATGAAGTCGTTATAGGTAAGCCCATCGCCGTTGGAGAAGAGTTGAGCTGCGGTCAGTCCATCATCGTCCCCAGCGTGGTGATTGTCGTTTACATAGTTGTTTGCCATTTTCGTATCTCCCTATTTATCCCACGCTGTGACAAATTTAATTCGCTAGTTAAGCAAAGTAATTTGACAAAGAGAGAGAGAGAGAGAGCGCGAGAGAGAGAGAGGAAGAGAGAGAGCAAGAGAGCGATACAAAAAATCAATGGACTGACTGCGTATGTGTGTATCGAGAGCGGCAACACGTGGTTCAGTCTTGCGCGGCAACCAACCGGACTGATCTAAAAGTGCGTTACAGAGGCGCTTCGCCGACGAAATGAGCGATCGCAGTGTATGTAGCCCGCCTTTCTTTCAGCGTCGACGTGCGCCGTGGGCGCGCGCTCACCGAATTGCTATTGTGCCGACCCCCCGCCTTGACTGACTCGCACGCCATCTTTTGTACATTATGTTTTGAAATTTATACCCGTAAAGTTTGAAAAAATTGCTTTTCAATGAGGAATAGAATAGCAATTAGAATGAAAAACTAGAAATTAATGTAATTGCAAAAGGCAATTGCATTTAATTAAAGTATTAAATGAGTGGTTTTGAGCTCGACTAAAAAAGCATTCCGAATGAGTAAAAACCTTTATAACACGCGTATAACGTATTTTATAACTTAGTTTTGAGCCAGAGGTTTAATTAATAGTCGTTCTTAGATATAAGATTTTATTAGAGTTATGAAATGTTTGAGAAATATGTAATAAATATTTTTCAGATCCGGGAAATTTCCAACGTTATAAATAAGAGTTTATCTGCATTCACCTTTATGAAATCTCCAGATGAACTATATTCGAATGAAGGTCAGTGACCATATAAATTATTTGCAGGCTCATACAATTGATGATAGTCGACCTCCGAGGCTTGTGACAGCTCGGATAGACAAGTAATGCAATACTCCGAGCTATAGAGCTCAAGCTTTCTGACGCAGAAAAGATCTAATACGAAAAGATAATTGTTTAGTTGTGTTTAGGTACACGTTAAGAAGAGTTTTCTCTTGGATATCGGATGATTGTTCTGACGAAAGTAAACAAAATATAAGTGTACCGATTTGAAAATAAGTATTGCTCACAATTTGATAAACCGTCAATTAACCATATGACAATGATTGCAATTAACAACAAGGGCAGGATGGTCATCAACGAACGCTAAATGTCAGTATAATGCGCGTGACTTGAATCGTGATTTTTTTTGGGGACTTTGATAAACGCTTTCGCGAGAAAACCTTTGGATGCCGTAAGGAAAGTCAACAATAGTCTGGACGCGTATATTCTTATTAAACGTTAGGAATTGCGGAGAAGTCACTAAATGTTGACCCGAAGTGCCACACTGCGACATTTGCGTAAGGGAACGCGTGTGCAGTTGAGGCAAAAGAGAACAGAACTGTCGGAAAGGTCGCCTCTAAGTAGGTTGTCGCGCACGAATCACATGATGCAGTGCAACGAAGATAATCGCGTCCGTCAACTGATGACATTGAAGCGCTCAATTGATAGAAAAACGAACGAAAGGCGCACATGGAACGTCCATTGCTCGGGGAGAGGCGCGACAAAACAGTATCGTGTCGTAGAGAATGAGCGTCGAGCAATGAAATTTCAAGCACTCGCGTGGAAAACATGCCGACAGTGTAGTAGTACTCACTGGATCGAAGAAGCCCAAGTGTCCGGAGTGAAGTGTAAGTGTCGCGTGTAAAGCTTCAATCACCAAACAAGCACGCGTGGTAAACTAACGCGCGTGAAATGCACCAATTGGTATGATCGTTCCGCGGGGGGTGTCGTCGCTTTTATAAGAAAGCTTCGGCTCCACCTATCCCGGCTTTCGCGCGGCTGGAGGGGGCTTCTTCTTAATCCGTGATGATACCGACAACTCAACACCCAACATCCGGCTTTGGCAAGCATACGCCTTGTATTTTATTTTTCTTATCGCACTTTCCTCCTAATTAAAAGACTTTGACATGCAAGACTTCAACGTTGAGACGATATTACCGTTGAATTATCGAAGGGTTGCTTTCTAATAGTCTTTCATTGTTGCAGCATAACAACCCCGAAGTTTAAATAATTTACACTGACTTCCACGCGTGTACAAACGTTATTTCACTAATTAAATTCGTATCCTAGCAGCGTTGTTATTGGCGATTCGTCTATAATAACGCATTGATTAAAACGAGCTGTTACTCGTTGCAATGAAAACTGCTTAGTGTACGCGTACGAGCGGCTTATCGTAAACGTATAAGAAGAACAAAACTCGTGCACTGGAAAGGCAGCCGAGATGTACAGATCATTTCCAAAGCTTTTTCCTGGCGGATTCACGTTACAGGTAAATTTCTTATGTTACAGCGTGCAATTGAATCACACAGGCTGTACGATAGTACACTGCGGCATTAGCTCGAAACATTGTGTTCTTTTTTCACCAGCGAGCCTCTACCGCTGAGATACCTCGCAACAAATTCTTTATTTCTTCCGTTGAGTTTTTTTGTCGAATTCAATACTTTGCTATCATGCAGCATACAAAACATAATGCTTATATTTCATCGCCAATCACATTTCCATGCAATCGAGTTGAAATGTGTTTGCAACTCTCAAAACGAAACGTCACAATTGAGAAACTCGATTGATTACTCAAGACGCAGAAAAACAAATGACATGTGTGATTTCTAATCATAAGCGAAAAAATAGTTCGATCGCGATTACGAAAGGAAATCGAGCTCTCGTACATATAACGATCAAATTCAATGGTACTTTGGACCCTCGCGATACATCTATGTGAAATATATAGAAATTTTTTGCTCGACGACAAAGACCTCACGTGACATTAATTTTTTTTTAAATGTTGAGTTTGAAAGCAATTGGCAGGACACCAGCTGAAAATCTACGATAGTCTTATTTTATTTATAAGAGCGAGGTATACACATAATCGATCAATTTCTCGGTCGGTTGAGCACACGAGCGGCAACAGCAGGCCAAACCTCAGCATTATTCCGGCAGCAGCAGCCTCATCGAGAATTGAACCAACTGATAGCGCAACCACGAGATAACTACGTCAATTATGGACAGTGCCACTGCACTTTCTGCAGGTTCGCTACGCACGTAGAAAAAAAAGAAGGCAGCCAGTCGAGTTGAAAAATCAAAAGAAAAACAAATGCGGTACGAGAAAAAGAGAGAGAGAGAGAGAGAGAGAGAGAGAGAGAGAATTATCATATCGCTAACCGACTGAAAAAACATTTTGGCAATGGCATCGAAGAGGCCACCAAACGCCTCTTGGAACGATGAAATCACATAGTCGAGGATAATCTCCAGATAGCTCAGCTCTTCGACTTCCTCTTCCTCGTAGAAAAAGTAGTCGTAGAATGTCGGCAGAACGAGGATTACGCTGAGCGCCAGGATCACGTAGAGGGGAAGTACTGAGAAGAAGCGAGCACAGGGGCGTTGGCATAATTAACTTTTTTTTTATCTTGTTGCCGAGGGGATCGATATAATTTACGTACGCACGACGTGTCTGTGTGCGATGATACCAGCTGTTTTCAGCTTTGCCAGACTATCGACTTGTTGTTTGTCTCCCAGGGGGGTTGCCGGCGTTGCCACCGTCGAACTTGGCTCACGGTTGACGCGCTCTCTGAAAAATTGTCAAAATTGGCATTGCTTCCGTTTCCATTTGTCTTGCCGTGACTGTGAATCGCGCGGATGAGGCCGCGAATCATCAGAGGCTGCCGAGAATCGTCGACCGGAACGAAAGGCAAAACTCTTACAAACGCGGCTTGTCCTTGGCGAGAGCGACGAACGGCCGCGCGTCGTCGTCGGGTCTCGGCTTCTTCGTTCGTGGAGCACCCATAGCCAGTTGGCAAGCGTAGCGGAATCGCTCCTCGTCGCCGGTGGCCGGTGCTCCCTTCGCGCCGAGATCGCACTCGAGTAACGCGCGCGCTCTCCACGCGAGCCCGTCCCCGGCCCCGTGGCCAGGTCGCTTGTCCAGCAAAGCGCTGAGCGCATCGCTGTAGCGCAACAAGTCGTCGATTTTTGGACGGCGCGTCCCGTCGCGCTTCGTCGACGCGCAGTCCGTCTGCGAGACCGTACGCCGCAAATCCTTCGCGCAGCAGTGCGGAGTCGAGCAGCGACGCCTCTGCGGAGAAGCCATCTGGGGATCCGAGTGCAGGGCGAGTTTGCTTGTCGGCCAGAATTTCCGACAGTGAATGCCTGCGGACAGCCCAAGGATTTCGCACTCGGCAGACTCGGAAGAGCGAGCGCGCGCGGCCGCCGACTGATCGTCCATCGTGAGAGTTGCGAAATGGCTCGGTTCGCGCGCTATTTCGCAACTCGCACTCGTCACATTGCTCAATGAGTTTCGTGACCCGGAGCAAGCGCAGAGGAGAGACGAAGGAGCCGCGACGAGCGAGACAGACCGACCTCCCCGAGTCATCGTGCATGTCTTACAAAAGCAGTAGCGATCGTCGTCGTGCCTTGCCAAACATTTGCCGGCAGTGAACGCGTAGCAGCCGTTTCTCGTAGCAGCGCGTTCATCGTGGAATCGCCCGTCGCAGCTCGTGGTTGTGTCAGTAGTGTCATCCTCGCTCGGCTGGCAGTCGCGCATCTGACCACTCGATAAACGCCACGAACGCCACTGGCCGATTCCGTTTGCCGTCGACCGAGCTTCAGAATCCGTCGTCGTCGTCGTCGTCGTCGTCGTCGTCGTCGTCGCCGTTGTCGCCGTTGTCGCCGTTGTCGCCGTTGTCGTCGTGTCGCACTGCAATTGCTGCGACGGCCTCGATTTTCTCGATACGCGCCGGCGATCCGCAGCTACGTTGCGCAAAAACTCCATTATACAATAATTCCAACGCGATCGATTGAGAAGAATTCTTAATGTTATTTCTCTCCGTGGACAGCCGTGATTACACGAGAGCTTTTTAGAGGATATCTCGCGGGCAAAAAATGTTCTCGGTAAACTTGGCCTAAATCTATCTACTTACGTATAACTGCAGCCGTCAAGGCGACTAGTATATGCACGTAATCGAGTGCTTTTATATGGCTTGTCATCGAGCGCTATATGTATATCGTGACCGTTGACAATAACGCTCAACGCGGATTCATTCGTTTGTTCTTGTAAAAAGCTAGTCTAACTTAATTGTGTGCGAATAAAATCGATTGTAAAGCATTTACTTTCTTGGGTCTTCCGAGTTGACGACCAGCTCTTATTACTCATGACACTTTTTTCATTTTTCGCTGCAATTAGAGAGAAGTGCATGTCAGCCGCGTGACAAATTTTATCGGTATATATTTAGCGAAAAACCGTTCAGTCACGTGTAGAGCTATTTTTTGTCGTACGACTAGATCCCGTTCTGAAGTCGTCGAATATCGCCAGATGGGCATCTTGCTGAAATGATGAATTTTTACAAGCGTTATTTTTCTTAGAGGCTTTAACATTACCTGCGTGATGCAGCGAACGACGTTTTCTGATTTTTCAAAGATAACATCAACACTCTCATTCTTCCCAACAGCTTGAGCATTTTCATCGTCATCATATTTTTTCTCGTCTTCGAATTTCTCGCAAATAGTTTGTACGTTACCGAGGTTACCGAGGCTACCAACCGCTTGCTGAATTTTGTTATCAGCCTCACTTCTCCAATCTATTTGTCCTCTATCGATATAAAAAAACACGATACTATCTAAAATTAGCTAATTTTAATAAGCAACCTACGCATCGTTTCTTGGTGCCTCGTGGGATACATTTTGCTCGTTTTTCGATGTATTATCTGCAATAGCGACGACAGTGCTACGCGAAAAAGAATGCGCTGATTTATCATGTTTTTATTGACGATGTTATATATAAATTTACAGTTCATTTAAAAGAGTGGGGGGGGGGGGAGTGAGACTTGATATTAAGAGGGATGTGTAGAATACCGTTATTTCGCAAACACAGGGATTTTGTAATTACGTACGTTTTGAATCTCGGGTCTGTGGCTGGACGATCGGTTAGACTAGTGCGTTGCGAAGTTGCGGAGATGTTCAAAGGAATGTTACGTCCTTGCCCATCGTTTTTCGGCGTAGCTTTAATGAATCTTTGAAGAAATTAAATAATTATCGAGCACTAAGATTGAAAATCAAATGAACGTACTGCGAATGAGGTGATTGAACCATTTGATTTTTCGGAGCTTTTCTCGTGAATGCCACCACGTACGGAGCTTTCGGATTGTTAAAATTCTCATGTAACTTTCGCTCAGGTATTTTCGGCCACGATGTGTCCTCTGGAATACTTCGCAGTAGATTCTTATAAAGATACAATAGTTAAGTCCATTGAAAAAAATTTACAGGTGATTACCGTAAGGAGCTTGCATATTTTTGCGTTGACGGCCGTTGACACTCAGTTTCATCTGTGTTTCGATCGTTCATTAACGTATTAATGCTGCATCAAATTACACATTACTTGCTGTTTACCTCGCGTAGATGATCTGATTGGCAAACGGCTGTCGTAGTAAGCCATTGCTGACCGGTTACTAACCCATACAATTTTCTAAGTGATAATTATCAATTTTCTCTTCGTTGAAAAAATTACGCGATTGAATAAAATCTTAATCATTAAGAAGTATACTTTGGTCAACTTTGAGTACGAAATTCAAGCGCTACTCCAGAGTACAAAAATAAACATGAAATCGCAATGTTTTATTTTTTCCAAGATGTCTTCATTTGTTATATGCGAGCCAGAATAACATAATGAAGGGCGAATATAAGTTTCAGATATTTAGTTTTGTTATTGTTTTATTAATCATTTATCGACGCTTTTTACGATATTTTTCTTTTATAATGGTTGTACAATATATTTTTATTTAATATGTACATGAAATATACAATACATATAATAATAATACACATAGGAACAGTTAGCTAGGGCTTATGACAAAATCGCTTATCACGTTGAGTAATTATAACAATTTGTCACACTCCGAAAAAACGTTCCGTTATCACATTATCAAGCTAACTTTTGGAATTACAAAAAAATCTCGCCTACGATTTCCATTTATATTATTTCGAAAAAAGAGAATAATCCGAAAACGTTAGTCTCTCGTTATATTACCACAACGTTTTTCAAATTTTCTGCTCTGTGCGTTACATCATGATTTTACCAATTTCTTTTGATTCGAGTTTGCTTTATTACAAAACTACGGCTTACTTTTTCAAATATTGCTTACTTGAAATTTTTCCACAACTAAACGTTAATTGTGCTTTCGATTCTCTTGTTTGTATCTACAAATGGATTTAAGCTAGATTTAGTCAGAAAGTAACTAACATTTTTTTTTTCATTTGACTAGACTAAAACAACATTAAATAAAATTATCATTATATTTTTTTTGGCTACCACTAATACCTTTTCAGCACGCCAAATGTCAGTTGGTCCAATATGCCATGATTATTGTAGATGATTTTTTATTTGAAACTTGTATAGTTTTTAAAAATTATCTTACTGATGCCATTTTTTTTATAACAAGATTTTCTTTAATAAATTTCGAATACTTCATAAAATTATTGGTTTATAGAAGAAATAATGATTATCAAAAGGTTAAACACATAGACGATGAATGTTGAGTTGATTGCTAATATGTCTAATCATAATACGGATTTTGAAATGGGTATATTAGTATCAATTATAAATTCTGAATAATATTGTATGTGAAAAACTTCTAAAGTAAATGAAGATACTTTTACGTAATTATCATATATGCGATATAATATGTTGAAGGTTTTTGCGCTAAACTAATACAAAATTTGTATGAAAGCATAAAATGCACGTTATATAATATAAAAACGCATACGCAGAAAGGTTAAATTCGATTTTTTGTTTATGAACTTCAATAATAATAATAATATAAAACTTTTACTCTCAAATGTATAGCGATTCTGTGATTCTGAAAAAATCGTCACAGAACGATTGATTAAGTTCTTTCATCAGTTCATACTGGTAAGTTAGTTTTACTTCTTGATTTTTTATATATCTCTTTAATAACAGTGAATAGAAATGTTCACGTATAAACAAAGCTACTAAACTCAAATTAAAAATTCAACAGCCTGTACAGTCAGTGTATTATCACATGGGCTTTCTATTATAATTGTTTTACATGATACTTGGTTTAAGGATAAATAGATTTTATTTATTCTATTTTTTCTTTAAGCATCTGAAGAAGCGACTTACGATAGATTTAAATTTTGACAATACTATTTTTGAACTTTAATAATACTTATGAAAGAGAAAAAAAGTACAGTATAATTTACGTCAACACGTTATGCGTGCTTTGTCCTAAAAATAGTAAACGTATTAAATAGTAATGGAATCCTTATTTAATTACAAAAAAATTTTATCTTTATAATAACTTTTGATAAGTTTTATTTAAAAGTAACCTTGCAACTATTCAACTCGAATAAAACTCTCTCGGATCACTTAATATGTTTACGAATATATAACTTAACATTGAAAATATGTACTTTGAGCTAATTTAAGCATGCTTATGGCACTTACTTTTGTTATTACTCAGCATTTCAAAAACAAGCATGTTAATTGTGCTTTTTTCTTTACAACTCAGCGTTAAATATGCGCTTATCCGTTTCAATATTAGAAACTCAAGTATCACGTAACTTCTACATTTATTGTCGAGTTACGCTTCGTGATCTCCGCTATTTATACCAATAAGAGACTCTGTTTGTTCTACCTCTAGGTCGGGTATCCTAACATAAAAAATACACAATAAAAATAAAATGCATATAGAAAATTGAATTTTATTTCCATAGGAAATTTCATTAAAAAATATATATATTTTACCTTAGAGCTCTGCTTCTACGACAAGTCCATTTATATAATTTTTTCATCAAATTTAGAGCAGGATCCCAATTATCAAAGTGTGACAGTAGAGATACTGTTAAAAATGCCAAGATCATAGGAATGGTTCCTAAATAGAAAATACAAGGGTACTCCACTTTTTTTAATAACACATCAATTATCATAGATATTGGCATGGTCAGACTAATTGCCAATGTTGCAATAAGTGACGAAGTTAAGAAACATCCCCTGTAAAGAACATGTTATTTGTAATTTTTTTTAGTATAAATGTATTGAAAGTACTTTAGTTGTGTACCATAGCCATAGAACTTCGCTCAAAACAGTTCCTATCAGCCCATTAATTATTAAAAATGTCCACTGTTGTGGATTGGGCCATTCAAATATTTCCCATTTGCCATAATGCAGTATAAAAAATAAAGGCCACAAAAGCGTCAAATTGAAGAGGCCGACGAAGCCGAAAAACATTGGTATATCCATTTTGTCCTCGTGATCGACCTTTTTTCTCAAGAATACAATGTAAGTAGCATAAAAGAATGCACTGACTAGAGCTAATATTATACCAGTAGGTACACGATTGACTTCTATAGCTAAGTCTGAAAACCCAACTAAGACCTACAAACAAAATACTTTATATTAGATACATTGAATTTTTATTCAACTCTAATGCAATGTTAAAAAGTGTAGATTACATACAAGACCCAAGAAACTTATTGTGACAGCAACTAATTTAGACAATGTAAATTTATCTCCATTATTGCTTGGAAAAAATGCAGCAAGGAATAAAGTAAACAAACTAGATGTAGAAGATAATACAGTAACAATTCCTGCCTCTGTTTGTGACAAAGACATTTGATAAGAATAATTGGCTATAAACCACTATAGGAAAGAAAAAAATTATGAACTAGTTTGAACAATTGCTTTTTATGAAAATCAGTTTTCTTTCTCGCTTACCGGGAAACAAAAAGAAAGTGCAATCTTAGCAACTTTGTGGACAGGAAATTTATTAGCTTGTTTTCTAGCATGTTCGCCTGCTCTAACACTTGCTTGATAACTTAATCTTGCTAGAAGAGCTTCAGTTGCATCACTCTCTGACATATGTCGAACTTCTGCTAATTTACTGAATCTTACTGATCTAATAGACGAATCATCGCTTTCAGTACCAGAAGATCTCTCGCATTGTTCAGAAGTTTTAATTGGTACAAATGTAGGGTCACTCAAACTTGTACTCGCTTCTGAATAAAAATTCTCATCCTCAACATTAGGGTCTATAAACTGCAATAATACAACAATGTATAACATTTACTGTTTTGTATCCACTTAATAACTGGCATATTCAAGAACTCACCATATAAGTTGCTGGCTTATTGCACTGATCTCGCCATGGTGGCCAAAAACACAAACCAAGCAAGTACAGCGTAAACATTGAAGTTTTGATGTAAGTGCTAAAGAATGGTTTGTCGAAAGCTACTTCTTTATAAATATACTTTGTAAGCTCGGAGCTGGAAACCCAAATGATATCGACTAACAGTAAGACAGCAAGTCCCAGGACAAGTCTCTGAGACTTATTCATCATCACTGCAAGTTTATGGGGATCCTCCGCCATCCCTAATTGCCTTGCTTGCCGTAACTCAACAGAGCAAGTCATGTGCCACACGCATACGCTTACTTTCTCGTTTTCTTCACTTTCATTGTTTTAAGCCTGATAATACACAGACTAGGTGAGCCAAGAGCTAATGCTCCAGTTATGAGTCATCTGAAATTGAAGTTTTATTATCATTTTTTTCTGCGTAACAAGATACCATTCGAGCAATGCGGCATTCCAATCAGCACGGTGCATGGCAGCAAAGATGTTAGCAGCGCAATGGCCGTGTAAACAATAAATGTAAAAAAGTCTTACCTAGAAACGTGTTGATAAGTTAAAAGCACTCGACGACATACTGGTGTGGCTCTCTTCTTTTGTAATGGAACAAACGACTGATGTATTACAGTTGAATCGTCATCAGCTCTGACCATTACATTGTCTTTCTCTCGAGTCGTCACGTCTCTCACGGACAGTTAGGTAATGCTCTGTAGTTTCATGAAAAAAAAAAAAAAACAAAAGACCAGTCGCGCTTGGTTTATCTCATTAGGATGTGTAAAGAGAAGTATTGTGTGTTGCGAGTGCCGCCTGTGAATAGACATCTATCCCTCATTGCAACGCAGCCATTGCCGTATGACGCAGGCATGTGTGCGTTAGTTGTGTATTATGATCTGACGTTCCTTACTTCGACGGATCAGCTATAGAGGTCTCGCCTAGTGTTTCGCGACAGAAAGTATTTGATGGAAACTCGGCAAATTTTCAAATATTCTTGAGAGGAAAGCTTTTGTAAGAATTTGTCCATTTTTTTTCAAAGATTCAATAGAAATTTTCGATGGTAACGTTATCTCTGAAGTTGCGATAAATCAATCCGAATACCGAGGGATACTTTAGGTGGCAAGTTGCGTTCGTTAGGGTTCATTGTCATAGTAACAAAAGACGACGACAATAGGTATCAAACCGCGAGCTTTATAGAATCTATTTTTCTGATCGAGGTAAAACTAAAAACGGACTTATATGGATAACACGATGAGTAATGGCAGAGTACATCAGCAAGGACAGTCGGCGATCTTGCAACGTTTTCGGAGCGATAGGAAAAAAGGTGATCAAATGTTTGTAGTCGCTTAACGTGTATTAAATACTCGTTCTCTCTCTCTCTCCCTGCTCTGTGATCTCATCTATCTTGTCACCTAACCTATTGTCAATCAACATATCTCTATTCTTTCCATCTCATGCGAATATTGTATCATTTATTGCTATGTATGCTTCATAATCTCACACTCATTCTCCTTAATTATATTGTTTAACTTATGTTCATCTTAAATCACAATTTATTCGTATAACTTTATCGCTTATTACTGCGCTCTAAATTAATGTATCTGCATTGTATTCTGCTCATAGCCTACGGGGTTATACCCCACGGCTTAATAAAGCTTATTCTATTCTATTCTATTCTCTCTCTCTCTCTCTCTCTCTCTCTCTCTCTCTCTCTCTCTCTCTCTCTCTCTTTCTTTTCATTTTATTTTCGACATTCCGCCTGAATAATACGAATTTCTAAATAAACATTCATTATTCAAAATCATAATGAATTTTATTGTAAAGAATGCCGGATATTCTGAAATACAAGGAATTTATCATAAATAATTTCTTAGCATTTTTAATTTTACAGCCATTGGAAACACTATATAATAGCATTCTTTCGTATTATTTAGGTGTATAATTTGTATTATCTTATAAGCGCTCGACGATCCAATTTCGAAATGCTATCAATTTTAATTATTTGATGCGGTACAGGTGATTTTAAACCTCTGGATACTCACTGCGACATAGTTATTGTTATTAGTGAAGCTTGGAATAGTATTTACTGTGCAATGATGTCTCCTCTTTTAAAATGTTTATTAGAAGTTTTAGAGTGCCTTTTTATTCATAGTACGAGGAGAATACATTTGACTTGGCTATAGCCGCAATACTACTGCACTATTATAACTAATGAGGAACGGAAGTCGTAGAAAAAATTGCACAAAACTATTGTACTTTATTCACAGTGATATGTGGGAGGATGGAAATTTTATTTTATTTTTTTTCTCCATCACATTTTGCTGATATTCCCTGCTGTAATAGAATTTTTGTTATGTGTACGATAGAACACGTACGAGTGATCCAGATGGTTTTCATCAATAGCCACCAAATTAAATAAACAGAAGTTGGTAGATGCGCGCAAAGTTATTTCAAGCCAAAAAATAAATAGGAAATGTCCGAAAAGTAAATTACTTATACGCATATATTCACCGTCAATATTCCTTCGGTTCAAATTAACGCTGTACGAAAATGAATTATTTGCGCGCAACTACTATCAATACGTTTGCAATCATATTTTTTCATAAAACATCGATATCCAGAAACAGTAACATTCTTCAAAAAGCGGTGCATCCTTGCATGTTTGTCCGTTGCTGTGTACGGGCGAGCCGAAGATAAAAGAACAACGCTTTTGCGTAAATTGCGCGCGCCTATACAGTTGATACGAGCAGCGTATCATACGCGAACACCAACGGTTGTCTTTCGATTTGCAATGCACCAATCTCCAGAAAAATCCAAATTACCGTGCAAATGTATACAACGTAACTCATGTCCGATGACAAAGCGAAGCTTTTCTTTTTTATCTGAAGAGTGCTATTCTTGAATTTTCGCCGCACATCTCTGGTACATGCTTAAAAATTAGTCAATTTCATAATATAACTTCAGAAATACAGGTGTATACGCTATTCGCGTATAGTTTTCAGTCCACTCATGTAAAAATAATTACGATCGAAGGTTCTTTCTTAAAGTCAAACTTGATTCCCGCGTTTGTAATAGTACATTACGATACAAGTGCGGGAAAGTAGATTCTAGTCTCGTGTAGCGTTTACGCCCGAATAAAGCGAGGGTGGAATGGTACACGAGACGAGAAACTCTTTCCCGAACATATGCCGTACCGTATTTTTTTATACGACGTGTGGAAGGTGCGATTTTCAACGCACGTTTTTTGCCGAGCGTGCGCGAAAAACGCACTTTCCGCACGGAGTGTCGAAAATGAATTTCTTTTTTTTCGTCACAGTACAGTGTAAATTTGACCTGAAAGACGAGTAATTTAACGCGCATTCTATTTCACCGAACTTGTTTAACGTTAGTTTTAAAAAAAAATCTATTTGAATTTTGCCCTCTTGTCTGTTCAAGCAGAAGTTGCGAAAGATCAAAGCAACGTACATAAAAAAATGTTATAATTGTGATATATCAGAAGGACATTCAACTTTAAATGACGGAATCCATCCCCTAATTACGCACAAAATTCTGCACTGAGCTGAGCTTTTCGATGGCATTTCGCTGGGTTATAGTCGCGAATATCAAAACTTTATGTTCATCTCGAGATATAATAGTGGACGCATGTAGAAATGCGTTAAAGAAACTCAAAAATGGTTAAGTACATGTAAAATTGCAATAAAAATTTGTGTTCAAAAAATTCATATTTTCGAATTAGAATTCTACGTGTATTTGTTGCATATCACGAGCCTGACAATTATAATGTTTTCATAGAAAATACTCTGAAACTAAATGATATTTGATATTTGAATATAGTACTAATATGTATAATAAAAATAAAATATACTTCAAGAAGATATTCAAATGTTTTTGAAAAGACAAGAAATAATTACTTGATTCGTTATTAACTGTACCTTCTGAATGTATCGACGAATGCGAAATGTCTGAAATGAAACCGGACATGTAGTCAATAAACTATTTTTTTATCAAGTTCTTATACTCGATTAAATCATTCAAAGTAAGTTAGTCTGGAGAAACTACTGTACTGTGAAATCCGATGGCATTCGATGGACGTTGTGAAAAAGTTATTCGTTTGACGTGTTTGATTGACGTGCGAATACCGTTGTTGCGCATTCCAAATGGGAAATAGTTGAAAACTTATGTTCTTTGCTAAGCAAACGGTTAGCGAAGGGCGGAAAAAGCTATTGCAACGTTGAATTCAATCGACCAACTTGTCCCTTTGCGCGAGTTACGGAGTTTTTCGACAATTTTTTCCATCTGGCATTCCAATCAACGAGCCGCCAGATTTATTATGTACGATCGATATGAGCAGAAAAATGCATTTTGCAAATTGATTTCATCAGCCGTAATATTTAATTTGCAGCGCCACCGGAAATACCAGCCGTCGAGTCGAGAAACTGGCTGCTTCACAAGCATTACACCAGGCACGAATTTCAGATCTGCAAAACTCTTATCGAACAGGAATTGGAAAAATGGGGTGGTCTTGCCGAATATCCGCACTATTTGAAGGTTCGACCAATAATCCTTGCGTTATTGGCGCTGTTTAACCACTGCTAAGTGCTTTTTTTCTGTTTCGTGCAGGGTTTAATCCTTAGGAGGGAAGGCAAAGTGCAAGACGCCTTGGACTGCTTCCAAAAGGCTTATAACGTGAACCCTTTCAACGTCAGCAATGCTAAGCAGATCGCGAAATCGCTGTAAGTATTGAGTTTAGGTGTAAATACTTGGATAATGAATTACGAATAATTAGCGATACCGTGGACATTACAGTAGTATTATTTAACGAACGACGTCACAATGAACATTAAGTTAGTTGACGCAATATCTTGAATATGTCAGTTTGATTACGTTGATCTAGCTAAACTTTGTCGTTGCTGTACCCGCGGCACAATAACTCTCAAGCGTACGCTTGCAGTATTAAAACAATTCTAATATAATGCTATTTGTTCATATAATACCTCTGTCCTGCAAATCTCTCGAGCGATAAAATGACGTCACGTCCTCATGACACGGACACTTGATATAATTGTCCGAGACAAGCGAGCGTGTAATTAATCTCCTCTAGAAATGAGCTACAGATGCCTGGCGGACTAATTACCTAAGTTTCAAAATCTCATACGCAGCTTCCTTATGGGAGACCACCGACGGGCGATCGAAGTGTATCTGGAGGCCGAGAAGATGATTGCACTGAAGCAACCCGACTGGGAGATCCATTACAACCTCGGTACGATATCGGCATGTGTATATCGGATAACTCGGATCGCTTCGTTCGAAAATGGTCTGTTTCGCTCGAGCGAGAGTGACAAGCGTTGCTTACCTTATGCGCAGGCGAATGCTACGCGCGAACAGATCAGACGGAAGCAGCCAAGGGCCAGTTGTTGCGGGCGATCGAGCTGACGAAAAACGAGAGTCCGTATCTGGCCCTCGTCAAGCTCTACGTCGCCGAGGATCGCATCATGGAGGCTGTAGCCGTTTATCAGGAAGCTCTCAAGTTTGTTATACTTCCTCCGGTTTATTATGCCAACGCTCTGCAAATCTCAGACACGCTCAGTCAAACTTGTTTGAGTTTAATTTTTATACTTTGTGTTTGCGCGCGCTAATAGAATAGCTGCCGGATCTAAATTGCCGGAGTAAACTTTTTTCTAACGCTATCGCTAATTGATTAGATTTGTGCTTGCCTCCAATATTTCATTAGACCGGAGTCGCGTATAGCTTTTGAAAGGAGTTATTTGTCGCGCGAGACCGAGTGGGTTTTTTTTTATTTTGTTTTATGCGCTTCGAACAATATACGTTGTTCTATGCGATTTCGTAACGTTATTCTCATTCAATTACACACATCTTTTGGGCGTGGCCAAACAAGCCTTTACTGTTGCCAGTCGAAGCGAGAGGAAAACTGCAATTCTTTTGAAAAAAAAATCGTCACTTCGCTTACAGAAATTCGCGAAAAAGATCGCGCACATCGAAAAGCCGGCATTCTTCAAGCGCACAATAAGGGAAAATCTTTTTGCGGTTTACACGACATTCGATTTTTCAATGCGGTCACCGCCGCATCAAGATATTTTGTTTGGATTTCTTGTTTCGCAATTTTTATGCCATCGATTTTCATTTCTCGCAATAAAATGCACAATAACATCGAATGACTTACGCTGGTCTTGATTCTTATCGAGAGGCAAGAATTGGGCTGGTTTGCAGAGTAGCATTGTCAATTTGTTTTGGATTTCCTTTTCATTTTGCCTTTCGAATAAGAAAATTGTTTTTCGATACGACCAAGTAAGTGAAAAAGCGCGCGAGTATTTCGCTTTTTTCGGTATTATTTTGCGTTGTCGACGGCAATTATTTGAATGGCAATTTCCTTTCATTCGTTGCATTGTATCAATTTCATTTCGAGCTCAGCCAATATCTCGATGAATTTTGCAATATCGTTTCATAACTCAATTCCCTTACAATATAGATAGCGACGCGCTGTCTGGCTATTTCATAAGTAATAAATCACGTTACAGCGATGCCTTAGTGTGCAAAGGCAGCACGATGCAGCCCGGGGCAAAAGTTGCGCGATGCGAAACTCGCGAAAACTTTGTGGGCGTCGTTACTTACACTTTACCTAAAATTTTTTGCCTCGTTTGCGTGCGATCCCCCCAGTAAAGTTTGGCAGTGCAGCTGAGAAACAGAGAGAAAGAGAGTCGAAAAAATACTATCCCTAAAAAGCAGACGAGAGAAGAAAGCTTTAAATGGCTTGTCGCAGAGCGTCACCCGAGAGCATCGAGATGACGACGGACTTGGGACAGCTGTACCTCGGATTAGGGGATCCAAAGCGCGCTTTCCAGCAATTTGGCACGGCTCTCGCTCAGTCGCCCAATTACGCTCGTGCCATTCTACCGATGGCTTACGTCATGCAGGTATGTATACGTAGAGTAGCATTCTCGACTGGCCACTCGGCGTAGAATCCTAATTTGTCGTCTTTCTCTCGCTGCCAAGACGGAAGGTGAGTACGATGTGGCATTCGCCAAGTACAAAGTGGCCGCGCAATCCATGCCGGAGTCTTGGCACTTGTGGAACAACGTCGGCATGTGCCTCTACGGCAAGCAAAAATTCGTGTCCGTAAGTCCCCAGCTACCTACTAATTCAATAGCAAATAGATCTGTTATTGCGACTGTTGACGCCGATGGCGAGGAAACTAAGAGTTGGCAGCGGGGTACAAATAATCCGCTGATTAGATGATATAATAGCAATTCGTTGGCGTACTTTAAGAGGCGTGATCCTCTTGCTTTCATCGCGTAAACTCTCACCGTCGCCGACCAACGCCGAATCGATACGTGCGCAGCGTAGGCGATGCTCGCTCGCCGTTAAGACAGCGTCCGGCTTGGAACGAGTGCGATGACCAGATGATGTTCTTCCGTAGCCTTGTCAATTGTGCCAATTGCAGGCGACCTCGTTTTTCCACTGCGATTTGCACATCGTCTGCACTCGGTGGCCATCGCCAAACCCAACGCGATGACGAACGGCTCATCGATGCGTCCGAGCGGAATGCCTGAATAATACATCAGGCTCTTTTGGACTGTAACGATAATGTGCGCGGGCACGTGCCTTGTCGATCGTCTATCGCGGAAATTAGTGCTGATGATAATGGCACACCAAGCGGATTAACGCTTCGTTCGAATTGCTGCCGATCAGTTTTTGATTAGAGGCCGGAACGAAGCTTTCCGTCATTGCTGATTTTGCGTTCGGTGACGGAAAGCGAAGCGTATATAGAAAATTAAATTAAAACCCAACCTAACCCGTACAAGACGCAAATATGCACAATTGTGAATTCTTAGAAAGAAGTGTACCATGAGAAAAAACACTGATCGAAAACGTTCTATTTGTTCATCAGAGTTTTTCTATCGGTATCAGCTCCGACTTGAACGTTACAAACGTTTTCGCGAGCTGCAAAACTTATAATAATTAAAATGAAAACGACGGTATTTTTCCTTAACTAAACGCGAAGATAAAAATAGCTAATAGCTTAGAGCGAAGCAGTTATTTGCGGGAAATTTGTGTCGTTAGTCTAATTAAAACGTGCCGTCTCTCTCTCTCTCTCTCTCTCCTTCTCTCTGCCTTGAAATTGACTCGAGTCCTTGATTATCTCTTGCAGGCGATCACTTGTCTCAAGAGAGCGCACTACTTGAACCCACTGGCGTTGCCACCAGCGTGCAATTTGGGCATTGTGTTTCTCGCCACTGGTCAACCTGCTTCGGCTGCCATTCACCTCTGCGGTGCCGTGGCCAATGGACCAAAAACTCACATGCCCTATTTTCTACTCGGATGTGAGTATTCAATTTCAAGCTCTTTGGTTTGATCACGGGAATTGTGAAAGCGCGATTCGATGAGCTTGCAACGTGCGCCCTGAATCTCTAGTAACGTTGCTGTGCAAAAAAAAAAACAGAGTTGTATAGATACTTGCGCTATTAAATTCTGATCTGTTTGTTTCGATCTCTCTCTCTCTCTCTTCTATTAGCATAGCTTTACTTAGTAACAATCGAGTCAATTATAAAGTTCGTTGCAATCAGTTATTGTTACGATCAGTCCAATTATTTTCGTAAAAATTTTTTTCGTTTAATCATGGAAATACGTAATAGTCAAATAATCTCTTAAATAGTATTTTCATCTTTTAGTTTCATCTCTTTTTTTTTTGTTTCCGACTTAATATTTTCAATAAAAAATCATTTATTGTTATATTTGAACATTATTAATTTTAGAATTAGAGAAATTTGAACCTTTAAATTGCTATGCTTACTTGTACTCATCTATTTTGTGAAGCGGAATAGTACACGGCGCAGAGGGCACATCGTTGACGACTTAAAAGAGCGCCTTAAATAAAACAAGACATTATTGTGACCTCAAAGCAGAATCACAAATTAACAGCAACAAGAAAGAGAGAAAGAGAGAGGCGTCGTGTGAACAATATCAAAAACAAGCCACGCTAAAAAAAATTATTCTTGGCTGACAATAGGTCCAAACCAATTCTCAACTTAACTTTTATGATACTTGTATTTCTTGCGACTAAATTTTAGCCCCTTTCCTCACCCGAGGAATATAGTAAGATAGAAAGAAAAATAGGTTAAAAGGTCTCTTTGGATATCTGGTTTCGTATCACCGAAGCACTGATTGTAATACGATCGTCTTGAATTCTTACTTTCGAGGGTGAAATCAGATGCAGACTATTGTACTGTTAATATTCAATTATCTCTGACAGTTGGACCTAATATTACTCTAAATATTATCTAAATATTATCTACCTATAAATTTCAGTTTTTAATGGAATTTAATGGTTCGATTAATTTCCTTCAATTCAAAACATCAAACGCTTGTACGTTAGCTGAAACGATTAATCATAATAATTTCGCTAAGCTAGCTTTCGAGAAGATTAGTCGACTTTCCAAAGACTGACTTGTTCACCGTGCCTGCAAGATTTTTTGAAAAAAGTCAATTGCATCGTAGCGTCATCAATCAAAAGTCAGAACAATCCTGGTTCAAAAACTATCGCTAATCGATCAAGACGAGTAGGTGCGAGAGCTTATAGTACGACTTAACGCTCTTCTCGATTTCCAGTGGCCCTGAAGCGTTTGGATGACGTGGACGGCGCTGAGAGAGCTTTGGAAAAAGCACACTCACTGGCACCTCAGGAGCCTCAAGTTCTACTAAACTACTCGGTAATTCTCGACTCGCAAGGCAAGCATCAACGAGCTCGCGAGCTTCTCGTAGTCCTCAGTGATGTTGCTGCACTGATTGATGTGGATCCGCAGGTTGGTAGGGAGGCCTCTTAGTTTGATTTTGATCATCGTTTGCCTGTAGAGAGGCAACGATTGATTAAAAATGATTTTTCAATTGTATACTTCTTTTGACCACCATTACGAAATCCGCCAAAAAATGCATTTTTGCAATATCTAAAGTCGAAAATTTTTTTTTAATATCTGGACTTTTTTGTTTAGTGTGTTAAAAACGGTCAAAAATATTATTATTATTCCAGGTTTATACCAGCTCTAGAGACGTCTAGGAAATTTTCTAATTACATAAAATGATAATAAAAATTATGACCTTAAACAGAAATAAATTTCGTTCAATTTAAGCTGTGTGGTGCAAAGCTATCAAGAAATTACTTTCTTGTAAAATTTTCGAAATTGATCGTTTACACTGACTAGTGTCATTAAGCGCGCTTATCTTTCGTTTGTATTAATATTCACATTTATGCTCGAATAAAATCAAAACTATCATAAAATACACCGCATACATAAAGCAGTTCTCTGGTTGGAGATGCTTAACATCCTTTCATATTAATTGGCAAAAATTAAATTACATTGATATTCACATATTTCGTTATAATTTCAAACCTAATAATTTATAGCAGATCTTCAGGTGTTAGCGAAGCTATTGATGATGGGTAGTACACTAAGTTTGTTTCTCTTTCATTTTCTAAGTAAATCGTACCATTAGCCACATATGACAATTTAATTTTCTTTATTTTTTAATACATTTGTATCCAGCTGAAAACTTTTTTACTGGTACTTAATTTCATTTGGAGTAGTACTTTTCGCGATAATGAATTCCATAATTTCAATCTGCGCTAGAATCAAATGAACGATTTTAATAATTTGACGAAAAACGAAAATTTACGTAAATAGTAATTTATCAAGAACTTTGTATCAAATAGCTTTGTGGCTAATACGATGAATGACGAGTTGTTGTAGTAACATTAATATTATTTTTCTCTGTCGTTTATTTTATACTGTTTTTCAGTTAATCTGCATTCTGACAGCAAAACTAATTGTCATAAATAATAAAATATTTATTCTTAGTCTCTCATGTAAATTCATATTTCTCCAGCTTTAACTGAGTCTTTTTTCTGTTTAAAGATTTTCTTTTTTACTATATTTTTGAATATGGTTAGAAATTTTCTCACCCTTCCCAGAGCTGATAAATCAGTAGTTTGAAAATGCGATTTCTCGTATACAATTTTATTAAGAATAGCCGGAAAAATAAAATCGCAATGAATTTTTGCAATATTTTTGAGCGTTTTTGATTATTTTATAATCTTAGTGATGTTTAGCATGCTTCGCGGTCTTATATTTTCCCTCTTTCTGTCTATAATGCACGGAGCTAGAAAATTTTGAATTTTAGTATCAGATGGGAACTAACTTATGCACGCAACTACGTATAGATCAAAACTTTTATTGGCGAAATTACAAATTCGAAAAATCAATATGTATTAAATATTTCCGTGATTTGATGTGAGATATAGCTGATAATATTATTTATTACTAAATAAATATGCAGTTGTGCTGATACTTATGATTGAAAAGTGCTGTTAATTATAAGTTTCGAAAATGTTATCATCCGAAGTTCTGTCTTGAAAAATTATCAAAAAGTTTCAAAAACACAATAAAAAAATATAATATAAGTTTTGATGTAAATAACAGGCTTTGGTAGATCTTCACCATTGTAACTAGTGCATTAATTAGTCAAAAACAAATTTTTATATTTTACGTAATCGAATAAAACTCAAGCACTGTATAATATTTTATTGTGATAATCTATTGATTTATATCTTTTATTAGCTTTTTTGTTTATTCTAAGCTGAACTTTCCAATAGAGCAAAATTCAATTTATTTCTATATCGAGGTATCAATCAGTTTTTATCTTGAGTTTAGTACTATTAAATCAATCAATTCATATTAAATTCATACAAACTATACTAATACACTTTTCGAACATTTAATCATCTACGAAAATTTACAGTAATCTTTCATGAGTGCACATAACATATATTCATCCATATAACAACTGATCGCGTGACTATCAGATCACGAATCTGCTGATCAGATCACGAATAAACTAGGTTTACTTTGTCAGGTACTCTTTTTTATAAGAGAAATACAAAACAAAATAATTCGGTTCGGAAATCCGGATATTAAAAAAAACTTGTTTGAGTGTCACAAAAATGCATTTTTTGGTGGAATTCATTATATATAACGAACTGACTTGGATGCATAAATTCTAGCCATAGTTTGTGAATAGATGATTAATTTGAACGCCTGCGTTTCACGGCGTACCTCACAAAATGGCTTCGTTGTTTTGAAGTTTGAACATATCTCTCTTAATAAAGCTTTACAAGTTCGTTTTTATAACAACTTCCGCGGTATTCATCGCATGACAAACGTGTTTTTCTCCTTTCGTGAGTTGACGTGGCGCGAGAGCAAAAGTCGCATCACTCATTGACTCTTACCACTTGCTCGTGCAGATAACGAGTATGGCCAAGCAGCTCGCAGCGAAATTGCGCGACATCGGCGACGATAAATCTTTCTCGCCGTTCGACCGCCCAGCGGCAGCAACAGCAACAGCAACAGCAACAGCAACAGCAGCAGCAGCAGCAGCAGCAGCAACGGCAGTAACGCCAGACAGCCAGACGACCGCGACAGATGAGCCACAGCGTACGTTGATCGAGGACGAGGTGTGAAGGTAATCTTCTCCATTTTTTGCTCCCCGCGGGACAGCCGAAGAATACATTATTCATGAGACGGTCTATTATGAGGCCACGCGGCCCTTCTTTATTCGAGAGAGGGACGCGCTCTCGTTTTATCTAAATGGTGGATCGATTTACTGTGCGCGACACATCACTAACGACAATTGAACTTGGCTTGACATATATGTGCTACTCACTTTTACCGCACGTCGCATAATTAATGAAGTTGTCACGACGCTTCATTTCCCCTATCATAACATCGATAGTCTAGAATTAGTACGCCTGGCTTTAAGCTCGCGCGAGTTGATTACAACTTAGTCCATAGACGTGAATTGTTGTCGGTCTATAAAGAAAAAAAGTTTGTATGGTAGTCGCGTGCTCGAGAGTCACTCGTAAGCCGTGTCAAGGCATCGCGGATCACTCGTGCGCTCGACGAAGGGACGGAGTTTTTCGACAAACTGTAACTCTCCTATTTATATTTGCGATGGCGCGCGTCAAATTATACGATTTACGCCCTGACCAACTTTAATTAATACAGACAGGCCTGCCTGTCTTTTAGACAGTTAACGATAATAACTTTTTTCGGTTACACACGACGAAATTTTATTAGAGAAGCCGCTTGTATCACCGCGTTAAATTAAGCAATCACCGGCTTTCAGGCTGCGCACGTATACAGCGACCTTGTTATATCGTTGTTTTTCCTTGCGGGCCAACGAAAATTAGGATGACACGTATTAATACGTATTTTTTCTTTTTCTTTGAAAGATGAAAATGCTTGTGGGGTTGTATTTAGCAGCTTTATTTTAAACCGGGGAAACAATAACAACCTGTGTGTTATTATTGTTTGGCGAAATTTTTGTTAATCGACTGATTATACCGACTGAAAAGTAACAAATAACGCTATCGTTTATTTTCCGTCAGAACGAAGTCTCTTGAGATGGTTCCTAGTTTGAGATTGCCAAAGCCAAAGATTTTTATCATGAAAGAAATACGGCTGCAATCGCAGTTTATCTCGTGTCGACGTTTTGATGGGTTACCGGCAAAGGTAATTTAATCCATTTACGGTATAATGAATGCCTTGGGTGACAATTTTCACTTGATTAAAGATGTATCAGCCACTCCGGGATGGTAATCACTTACTTTTCCTAGCGATTAAGAATCTGAACGAGCAACATTGTCGATAAAGACATAAGAAAAGACGCTATTTTACTATTAGAGATAACAAACATCTATTTCATTGCTTTACTCAATTCTTATCTGATAAAAAGAATAATATTCACTATTTCAAGTCGGTGAAATATAAACTTAGCCAATGCAGAACAAAATAACGTGAAGCATTATTATGGATACGTATTAATTGTTGAATGATCGTTGAATAGGTACATTCAATTTTTGACTCGCTCACGATAAAGTACAGATATCATCTTTTTTCGAATGATCAAACATGGACAGTTTGCTGTATATTACTCTTCATCCTCGAATAAAAATTAATACTCTAGGAATAATTTAGCAAAGTGACCCCTTATCGATGCCCTAACAGCTCGCCAGATACACGATATCGTTACATTGATTAAGCCAGAGATTGGAAAGTCCGATTAATTTTGTTTCGATCCAGTAAACAATCAACTCATAGCTGGAAAAATAAAGAAAGCCATACTAATATAATAATGAATGCAATATTTATTAACATCACAACAATACAATCGGATTTTGTAAAGATTTCGGACGCGAGTTGGTGGGGTTCAGTATATATAGAATAGGGATGTTTCAGTGGGGTCAACAACTGTAGATCCGAGCAAGGTTGAGCCCCTTTTCTTCTATTATTTCGGTTTGGTTTTTTCGTACTTTTCATTGGGTTTCTTAGAAAACATCCGGGACGCGAATCGACGGGCATACGAGGCCGTTTCGTTGCTCGTGAGGCAGTTTACAAAAGGGACAACCAACGAGTCTATGTACAACGCGGAGGGCAATTTGGCGTGTAACGCGGCGGAGTCGCGTAAGTAGTAGTATCTATCACAAAAACTCCGTTGGGAGTGAGGATGCGCGCTACGACGCGTTCTGTCTGGCTGTCGTTCGCCCGAGGTAGACAACGGCGAGGAAGATCGACAGAGGGCCGCTCTCGGCTCGCGTTCTGCCTCTCCCGCACTTCAATCACGGCGGAATTCATTCAGGGGTTGAGCCTCGAAGTTGGCTAGCACGTTCGCAAGAATTCACGTCAGCGCTATCAGACGTAGGAGGTGTGAATGTCGGTCTGGCGAGTGCCGGGGGTCTGCTGCCACTTGCCGACGTTCAGGTTGGGCTTGAACAGCCGGCCGAAGGTGGTACGGAACTGGCGCGACATCGAGCAGTAGAGGATAAAGTTGATGGCCCCGTTGAACAGCGCCAAGATGTCCATGATCTCGCCGAGGCTGTGATAGCAGCTGCGGAAGAAGCAGTCGCCGAGCACCGCCGACAGCAGGCCCAGCACGCCCTGCGGTATCTCGGTGATGAGGAACAGCAGGAGCACGGCCACGAGCATTCGGGTCGTGCGGTCGGCGCGTCGCTCCGTGCGACTCGACACCTGCGACATTGCTATTGCGCCGACCGGCGGACAAAGTAGTCGTTTGCGTGCCTTGGCGCTGCTTGTTATCCAAAATTTAAAACATATCAAATATTAAAAGAAGCAGCCTCCTGAGTTGATATGATCGTTTAATACTCATACTGGCCCATTTCACTTCAAGAACAAATCGTGTTTTCAAGTTTTTAATGCCTCACTTTACTCTCAAAAATGCATTTTTAAGCGTTGGACGCTATTCGTTTCTTCATTTGAAAATTTATTTTTCAATACTCTGTGCGCAAAGTGCGTCTTTCCCGCACGCTCGGCAGAAAACGTGCGTTGCAAATCGCACTTTCCACACGTCGTATAAAAAAATACGGTACGGCACATGTTCGGGAAAGAGTTTCTCGTCTCGTGTGGTGTTTACGCCCGAGCGAAGCGAGAATCTACTTTCCCGCACTTGTATCGTAATGTACTATTGCTGCTTTAAGCAAGCGAAGCTGCGCAAACTGCGACAATATCTTATTAAATCTGACTCTGTTTAACTTATAACAAGTTATATTAGCACTGCAATAGCTGTACAAACGACACATGCAGCGGCGTTCTGTCATTTGATTGTTAATAAAATGAGGCTATATTGAAAATTAATTCTTGTCAAATATTTGTTTAACCAGCAAATTTATTTCATGAAAAAGAATTCGATCCAATGATATAGCAATCAGTTTATTTTCAAATAAACTAGCTTAAAAGTATCAATTTAAAAAATTATTTATTCAATGATCCATCGTAGGAAACTTATGCCGAATGTTAAACCGACTAGTTTAATTTCCATAATTTTGAAGAGCACGTGTAGAAAATCGGGTACAACAAACCATTTCTCCTAGTAAAAATTCCAAGCACATACTAAAAAAAGGCAATCGAAAAAAGTAAAACCACGTCGTATTCAACGACCAATAATTTGAAATGAAGGATCAGCTGAGCCAAATTATACTTATATCACGTGAATTTCGGCAAGATTTCGTTGAAGAAATCAGTGCAAGTCGAAGCATCGATCTGTAGTCGAATATTCACAAATTCCACGTAATTTTATCTCCTTCTGGATTAATAAGGCCGAGGTACCGAAGACAAGTGAAAGAAGAAAGGAAATGCAAGCCAACAGCAAAAGGTGATAACTCACCTGTAGAGTGCTTGAATGAGTCGGCAACTAATTACCGTGAGCACGAGACACGGTAGCAATTTGATGAGAACGCCTAGCAGCCAAAAGTTAAGCCGATAGAGGCGCCCGCGATCGTCGCCCCGTCCGCGACTGGAGTCCACGTGGTAAAGTATTTCCGGCTTGCCGTCCTCAGTCGTCAGCTCTCCTTTGATCTGTCGGGGCACAAGAGTATAAGTTCACGGTCTGTTCGAGCGTTGATAACGTGTGCGACGATTCGCAAAATGAAACTCGACAGAGCGCCTGCACTGCCTCGGCGCGAACGTCAAATTATACTTGATCCATTTCACGCGAATGCCGTTTATAGATCAAACTTTCTTTCCCTCGATGTTCGCTGGCAGACGGGAAAGGGCCGAAAACGAGCACTTACGCATATCAACCTTGAGGGGCGAACAGCTACGATAGATGTACGTGTAGTGCTGTGTGTATGTGTGTTGAAACCAAATTTGGCTCTCTTCCGTCGAATGAAAAAGAAAGGGGGAAAAACGCGGGGAAGAATGGGAGTCACGGGGGATAGATCAGCGGTAACGGTTCGATGGATCCACTTACCCCGAAAACAAAGAGGCTGGGCGTGCAGGCGAGAGTGGCTGCCATGAGGCTACCCAGTAGCGCCATGCGACAGCGCGCCGGCGTACACCAGGTACGACTGCGCTGCGGGAACCTGCAAAATAGCGGGCCGTCTTTCAAGTGGAGTCAACGAGATAGCGAGGGCAGCGAACGGTGCCAATCACACGGCCAAATCATTGGCGGCACTCACCTGACGACGATGTAGCGCCAGATGGCTAGGCTGAGCGTGAGGGCGATGCTGATGGTGTGCAGCAGCTGGCTGAAGTGCATGTGGAAGAGGATAAAGACCGCCGAGGCGTAGGGGAAGATCCGGCGCTCTGGCAGATAGATGTAGTCGTAGATGGCGAACGGCACGTACTCTAGCATCACCAGCACGTCCGCGGCCGCAAGGGCAGTGAGGATCCTGTTGATGGGCGCGGCGCGCAGGTCCTTCTGCGTGAGCACCGCCAGGTTAAGCAGGTTGGCCAGCGTGCCGAAGCCGCAGACCAGCAGGGCCGCGTAGCCGTGGTAGGCTCGATAGGTGACCGCGTACTTGCGCACCCAGCTGTCGCAGTAGCACGGCCCACACGAGTGCGGATCGTTGGACGGGTCGACCATGAAATTGTTCAGGTAGTCCAGGTCCTCCGCCGTGATATTGAACTGCTCGAACAGGATATCCGTGTAGCTGGTGTTCGCCTTCGCAAGGCGCATCATAGAGCTTGCCGATCAGCCTAGTTCCATCTGAGCTTGCCACGGCTGCTGCTACAAAAGAAATCGGTCATCGTCGAGCAGCTGCTTCAACTTCGGCCAGGCTCGTAACGTGCAGGACGTTTTTGTCTCTCTCTCTCCCTCTCTCTCTCTGTCTCTCTCTCTGTCTCTCTTTCTCTTTCTCTCTTGCTGCCATTTCTCAGATTGCCCGCGCTCTATGGGCAATCTGAGAATTTTCAAGTTATATGCGCGCGAGCTAGCCGCGCCGATCATAACTTTCAATTTGCTGTCGAGTCAGCGTTCACGTGACTAAACTTCTTTATTATATTACCTCTTATTATATTTGCTAGCGAAAGTTTCCATTACAGGCGGACGCGCGAGGTCATTTTCGAAAGATTCATCGATAATCTGCTCGTCAATTTTGTCGGCGTCGGCTCAACAGTCACTGATTGTAAGCAATATTACGTAGGACTTCCGTATCATTTTTTTTTCGGATGTCCAAATAAGAACAACTGGTTACAAACGGAATTATTCATTTTTGTGACGTTATTTAGACGATGCCTACTGACAACATGCGAAAGAATTGAGAAGGGAGCCAACTTGATATGGTTTTGCTTATTCTATTATAACTTCTGTTCAGCTCGGTTCATCCCTTACTTGATTGAATCTCTCATTCACTTCACCCCAACTAGATTTTATTCCGCAACTGACGTGACGACCAGACTTCATCCCTATATTCAATACATTGACAAGGCAACGCCGTTGGTTATATTGAGAGTTCACCATATTACTAAAATGTTTTCGGGACTGAAAGCATTACAATCCACGGCGTTATTTCTATCGAGCATTCTATTGGTCGGATATACAGTTATGTACTTTTGCATGCTTGACTTGATGTTGTTTCAAGCTTGATATTCACATATGCAAAGATTTGGCTTAACTCTTGAGATCAAGATAAATAAAAGATGTAGTCTGAGTGATTTTACAAAGCAGACTTTTATTTTAGTAAGCAAATAAGGGTCTGCGCGTACGACAACGACTGCTTGGGGACTCCGCGCTCACTCGAGCGAATAAATGAAAGCTGCTCACGACGGCATTAAAGCAATCCCTTCAATATTTCCACTGGCGTATACGCGACGAATGTGCCGCGCACGAAAAATTATAGTCTTTCGTACATTTATTCATCTCATATCTCTAGTCAGCTAGTCAGCCTCTATCCCGGGCTTAATTCTCGAAAGGTTCGGGCACAGCACAGATGCTAAGTGCGCCAGTTTTGTTCGGCCGAGCTGAGCATGTTGCAGTCGAGAGATCTACGAGGACACCGAAATTAAGAGCCACATTAAAGTGCCAGCGGACGACTTGCAGCTTGAATAAGTGCGTCCTCGTTGCGCGATGCTCCGCAGCCAGAAGAGCGAGGATACCGACGAGGCTGCAGCTGAGCATGCCTCGTCGCGCATGGGCACACGATTAATCGCTTAAGAAACGAGCCAGTTTCAAAGTTGGCGTTACTTTCATCGCCACTGACTGACAGTGAGGGAGCGATGTTCCTCCCCGTTAATGAATTTCCGCGTGGCTCGCTAAATTATACGGGGAGGGGAGGGAGGGGCTAGGCAAAACTTACCGCTCGCACCCTCATCTCTTTTTTTCCGTCGCTTCCGACCTAAGAAAATAATGACGCGTTAATGATCGCTGATGTATTCGTAATGGAGTTGCGCGGTCGTTAGACGAGAAAATAGCCGTGCGACCATTTGATATTAGGCGCGTTCATACTGAATAGTGCAAAGAATTTTGACAAGCACGCGTTCTGCCAATTAGTTTGTGAGCTCGTCGTTTTCGTGTAATTGAACATCACCACTTCTGCCTTTCATACGATTTCGACATTAAAGAGGAAGCCAGACCAATCTCGCGATTATTTATGTACAACTCGAGGCGGTTACGATCTTCTTTATCGTCCCGTGAGTACATTAATTATCGCGAAAACTAGTTTGCGTTGCTGCTACGCCGAATGCAAATTGCAAGGCACTTAGAATTCGGAGTTCATTTAGTCTGGCGCCGAGCAAACGCATGTTTTCACACTACGATTGTCCAATTTTCAACCACGAGAAATCAGAGGAATACATAGTCCATTTGTAAGCGCACCGCGAACTGGAATTCCATTAGACACGCGCAAGTTTGAGCGCCAATTTCGTCAAAGTGAGCTACCTGTCTACTTGCTTGTTAGAGGGAGAGACGAGTGAAAGAGAGAAAGGTATAAAGGAAAAAGCTGTAGGTTATTTGCCATATGAGTGCAGATGCGTTTTCATCTGATGGCAATTTTGTCTTTCGAGTGCTCGTCACTCACGATTTCAATATCCCTTGTCTATCCTCGTGTTTATTCTCGCGAAAAAACAGGAAAGATGCTGTATAATGGACTTTTCACAAATGCTGAGAAACAGCCTTTCGAAAATAATGCTGCTTTTTTCGTTTTTATGTTGGCGATTGCAATATTCTCATTAGACGTTTGCTACGACAATATTGACTCTTTTTGTTGCCGGAAGGAAATCGCTAATGCGTGTATACAAACAGCTCTATTTGACTGTTATTTTACCGAGAGATAAGAATATCATTTCATATATGTATATTTTTTCCGCACTTTTGCGAAAATAAAATTGGAAAGCTATTACGGATTGCCGCACAATAAAAATCTGATAAAGCGTCGCGCGACCAATCGAAAACGAGCGACTCTCTCTCTCGAAAGACAAAAAGGCTAAATACATTTCCCAGTTGAAATTACGAAGGAGGGAATTATGTAATTGAAACGCAACGCTACCTCTGACGCGTTCTCGACAGAGTAAAAAAGAGCTCTCCTTGTAGTTACACGTCTGCGAGTGCCACGGCTGATCGCCTTCAAGAAAAGTGAGCTAGCGCACCAGAGAAAAGAATGTAAGCTGCTTCGATCAGAATGCCTTTCTTAAATCTGCCCAACAACTGATCCTCTACTAGCGCGCCGTTCAATGGAAAGACATTCAAGCAATTTTTCCCCAGAGGATTGGAAAAAAGATCAAGTCAGGCTAGAAATACGAGCGATCGTTGTAGGTGTGATGGATTACGTTGCAGTTTTAGAATCAAGTGTATATCGCCAGTGATTTTATGTGTTGAGATAATTGAGATACAATGTTCGATGAAAACTATGTTAATATACTGAATGACTTTTAGTTTGTGTAAATTTCTAATTTTGCATAATGAGTCCAAGTAATTTATAAATTATGCTTTTTTTACGTGCTCATAATTGTTTTTGATTGCAATTTAATTTTGAGAAATCACAGAGGTTCAAGAAAAGGAAATTTTAAAGTGAAAATGAAATATTATACAACTTGAGCGCCTTAAAACCAATGTGAGTAGCTTCGCCTATTCTGTTTGATCTCGCTTCACTTCTTTCGTCATTGAGCTCAGTCGTTGCTTCACTTTCCTTGCTCCTTTGCAATCGTTTCCTATTGACGCCGTCTCTATTTTACTTGCTTCCGTGATTTCTATTACAAATTTATGTCACTGTTCTTATGGCTTGTTTTAATATCAGTTCCACTCAAACTTAATTATTTCATTCAACTGATAGTAGGTAGGAGAATATTGAACAAGCTTAATTACCGAGGTTGCGTTGACCGAGGTATAGAAAATAATGTATAGAAGACCATCTTCAATTTGAAGTGCGCAAGTAAATGGATAGAAGCTTTTACTTAAGGTCTCGTATTGTGTGACCGGTAAAATTTTATATTCGATGGGGATAATTGGTGCCCTGCTTTTAACAATCGTTTCATATATTGCTACTGATATTCGAAAAAATTGTTATCGATATTGCTTTTACACCGGCATTCGTAAATTACTCCCCTAATATCTCTTTTTCTGTACTGCAGTAAAAATCGAGTGCTCAATTTGGGCTGTGTACGTAAAACGTAATTAGTATTTTTTATTATTTTCAAGTGTTGATAATTTTATGCAATGGTTTGAAGTTATTTATAAAAGATAATGTAAGAGTGCAAGAAATTGAATCTTATTATACTTTGGAATTAAGTTGTATTTTGTTATTATTTGGATCATTTACTAACTAAAATTTGATTTTTTGCTTCCAAATAGATTTCATCCAAGCGAATAGATAATGAAGGAGATAACGTAATTTGCAAGGTGCACGGAACCTTCCAGAGTTTATCCAATTGTTCGCATATTTTAAGTGATAGTTGATCGTTTTTCCGCCAATCTTTTTACATCCATCAAAATGAGGTAGACATCTATCAATCATCTATAAATGATTTATATCAAATTCACAGTACTGCAAACAATAAAACTCAACGATTTTACATTATATAGTGAAACAAGTTTTTTTTTAATATTGGCCGTTATGTATCATCGAGAAAGACTAAAAATTACATAGTATAATTTACTGTCTACGAACACATACGGATGTAGAGTAAATCCGTCATTGACTGAATTTGTAAAGTACAAAATAAAGAATAAATATTCATAAAGTCTTTCACTAACGAACATATAAGTATTGAAAAGTATAATGTCACGCAGCCAAGCAAATTAAAGCAATTTGTACTTTATCCTCATCGGTCCACTTTAATTTTCCTGCTATGCGCGCTAATTGTAGCAGCCTGCAGGGTGTCGTTAATCATGCATGAGTATGTTATAACGGGCGAGTAACGCCGCGGTTCAGCCAAATTTTCGCGGCTCCAGAGTTATCGGTACCGAAGTGATTATTCATGAACGGCCAGTGCCTTTATAATGCCTTTATAGACAACGGCTGATTAGTACCCCACGGCGACATGTGCCATTCCATTTTATTCATTTTTATTATCTGGCTACGCGTTACTTTCTTTCTTGTCGCGCTTGATACATACATATTTACATTCCCGAATTTCCTTCGCGAGCAAATTCAATTTAATATAACTAGATTGAAATTCATGAGGCAAAAGCTCGTTTTATGAGTATGTCTCGGTTATGTAAATAAAAGTTTCATTTTCAAAAAAAAATAAGTTTATTATCTCTCGAATTCTTTCGTTTTTCTTTCTCGGACCTAGTAAGATACTTTTTACATAGAAAAGACTATTATGTTATAAAACTAAACTTTATTATGTTTCTAAAGTTGATACTGAGTAGGTCAATTTATCTTGAATATCGAGGGCATAGAATCAGGCAGGATTCAAAATTGGGTGACGCAGCGGTTCTATTATTTTTGCACTCATGCCATTACGCAACGCTTAAAAAGTATTGATTTTGAAAAGACTTACAGTAAAACTAAATGAATTACAAAAATATAAATAATGAACATTTTTCCAACAGTTTCATTGCAATTATAATCAACGAAATCGCTCGGTTCATTGCTATCGTTTTAATTTGTAAACTTTTACTTTTCAATTCTACTGATAAGAAGATATTAATACCGTTCGCACTGTCGATGTGTATCAATCCAATCAAATCTATTGAATAGTTATTCATATAAGCAATGGCTACGCTATGGCAAGCTTGCAAACGAATTGGTCTACTACAAGTACCAGTTGGTAATCTTATTACCACTCAAATCAATAAAAAGCCTCTAGTCAACATTTAAATATTATGAATACTTGATAGACTAACTCCTCTTAACTAATTAGCACTTTCTAATTTGGATCTAGAATTGACGAAAGTAAATTAATTTTCGAAAAGTTTAATTGGAATCAAGTACTCGTATGAGATAGAGAGAGTTAATAGTTTCTTCAAGAATTTCAATCAACTGAGAGGCACTTTTCACATCAAGAAATTTGCCAATAGATTAAGCGTAAATGTCACACTGATTACAACTCTTAAAAGTTAAATGAAATTAAAATTTACGCAGCAGACAACTCTGAAAGTTGTCTTTAAAGACAGATGAAAATCACAACATTGCAGCAATCCACCGCTGTTCAATTGTATTCCAATCTAATCACACGCCAGTGTTCTCCACCCTCATTCGTTAGATTCATCACTCAAAGTCTATTTTTCACTAGAATGAACATCGAGAAAAATCACGGTGCCACCATCAGTTGAAAATACATCACACGATTAATCACAAAGTCGCCCGCACGTATGCATCGAAAGAAAGTATTCTGATTGCACGTCACATAAATTTTTTTTATTAACCCCTGATAAAGAGAGAAAAAGAGAGAGAGAGAGAGAGAGAGAGAGAGAGAGAGAGAGAGAGAGAGAGAGGACGAGGAAGTACAAAAGATACTGAACGGTGATTGCTTATGATTGATCGCTCGAGTGGAACGGTGTACATAGGCAACAGGTATCCATTCACTTAGTTAATTTCGACGTCAAAAGAGCTTGCGCAAGCTCTAGTCTCTTCACGCGCCGCAGCGCAACTGAGTAGCAAAAGTTCTACGCGCTCCACAAGCTCTGATTCATCCCTTCCCGGCATCTGGCGCAGAACTACATTGCAAGCGGTGGGAACAGCTCCCGCCTTTGGATGGATTTTTTTTTCTTCTTGAAGGGAAACTCCTGGGAATTTACTCAGGATGTGAATGAAAAGTAGACGAGTTTCGGTGAGATTTATTAACTATAAGCAGCCTAACAATTTCGTGCGTAGCTTTCCATGAAAGACAAAGATAGATTCTTCAGGATACATACACTTCTAACGACTGGAATATTTTGATTTATTGCGTGGAGTTTTCCGGTGTATTATTCAATATTAACATAGGTTTGTAGAAAAAAGTCTGTTAAGAATCTGATTCTTGCTATAATTAGTGCATTTTTTTACCGCTATTTACGCGCAATCAATAATCAGCTTTATTCCCTATTAAAACACATTGTTTGTAAGATTTTCCTGTATTTTTTCTGTTTTTGTGACAATCCACAATCCCGTCATTGATAATTTTCAAGAGTAATATCTTAAAAATATACTGTTGTTAATTATGAAATGCAATGATTACATGTCTTTTGAGATTTTTTTTATTTATTGACAAGGTATAAAGGTATGAAGGTAGCAATATTTCTATATACTTGTTTACTCAGTTTGAACTATTGCTAACTGATCCGACTATCAAAATTCAAAGTAACAGCATCAAGTTTCCAAATCGGTAAAATAGCTCGAGTAATTGTGATTATAATTATCATTAATTTAGATTTATAATTTCAGTCTAGATCGGAAACCAATAATGGACTTTCAAAATAATAATTTCGGATCATTATGGATGACAAATATTTTATTATACACACAAATTATTGTTCGCAGAAACAGCTTACGAATTGATATACGCCGATCACTGTGTACAATAATTTATGGTACGATAAAATCATATATACAATGGTCCGCACGCCAATGAAAACAATTTTAAATATTTTAAAACTAGACTAACCAGCTGTCAAGAATGTTATTCTTCCGGACATTATTAGATTATCTGATAATAAATAATAAGTAATAAGAAACTAAAATACACAATTCCAAATCTGAAGAAATCTACTGAATGTAATTAATATTTTATTTGAATAACAATTAATTTAGCTTGAAATAGCATACACTATAACTTGAACTTGATTATATGAATCCAACCAGACCTCATAAATTAAATAGACTTAAAAAGCGCAATGTTCGTTTCTGACAAAGCGTAATTAATTAATTTTCTTCGAGAATGATGTAATTGACATTGATGCATAAGCGACAACTCACTTTGCGGTTACTTTCTTTGTTTGCCAAACCATGTTAAAAGAGGCCGGTACACTTATAATAATCTGGTCTTGCAGAAAGAAAGTGACGAATTCTAACATAGCACCGCGCCAACGCGTTCGCGTTGCATGACTCTTGCGCAGTCCTGCCACGGCTCTTTTTCGTCGTGCGTGAATTCAGTCTACTAAAGGAGATGAGATGGGTGACGTGCTCATGCGTTGAAGGATAGCAAAACACACGCTAGCAACTTTGGCACGATACGAATCGCAATATATTCGGTCATACGTAAATGGCAAGGGGTGACTTGATTAGTCCGCGGATTCTCGCGCTCACGCGTTCGCACCGCAAGCGAGCAAGCGAGAGGCATACAAATTGTTATTTATGACTGTGTTTCCGACCACTTCCTCTCAATATTGTCAGTGATCAATGTTTGTTAGAGAAAATAATTTTCAAACGTCGCATCGTTGTTCATCACATTTCGTTTTCTTGAAAATTACAAAGATTAGGAGGTTAATTTTATTTTATTTTTTCTGTTGAAATTTTAATTTATTGGCGGGTATGCAGATTATAAAACAATTTTTACAGTTGTATTTGCGTCATTTATCATATTAAAATCTTTAATGATGTGATAAACAATTGGTAAAGTACATATCAATATCCCCACTGAAAATCAATGAACGAATTTCATGCGTAATTCGTACTGTGACATCCGGGTCACTATCTCAGGTACGTCTGAGGTGGACGTAATCTCAGGCGCTCTATTTGGTTTGCGTGCGTACGCTTAAACCGGGACGAGCGATTGGAGAATTAGAGCTTTTCTACTTCGCGTTTCGCGTAAAAAGAGTGAAAAAATTAAACTGGACTACAAGCCTTCCATCAAACACCAGGGTCCAATGGAATCGGGACTTGGATGTGAAAATCCCAAACCTTGCCGGAATTATCACATAAAAAGTATTTTATTTTAGTTTAACGGCGCGACTGTCTTATTGAAAAAGTATCCCAATTCCTGCTGAAATACTTTTTCGAAGACCTATTTTTCACGAGTTTCGATCAGCTACTCTAACAAGAAGAGGAAAAGGAGAGATAGTGAATAAAATTTTGTTTCAACTTACTTTTCTTTTATTTAGTTAACTGGTACTGGAGAAGTCAATCTGGACCTGGCACTTGGTCAATGAGTTGCACTTAAAACCTTGTGTGGAGCGTGGGAGCGTGAGAGAGCGATTTTCGCTTGCGCATGCCCTTTTAAACCCTGGGGGTGGTTGGGAGGAAAATCCCTCTTTCAGTCCCTCGAAATTTGGGAAGAGTGGAAATGCCAGTGAATTGTAATTGGCCAACCGAGATTTTCCCTCCTTTTCTCTTTCGGATTTCGGGCCCTAATTGGTTCGGGGGCGTGGTGAGAATTGGGGGCGCGCGTTCAAGAGTTTGGGCCTTATCTCGCTAGATGACTCTCCAAGTACCATTTTTAGTACAGTTTCTCTTATAATTATTAAGTTATTTATTATATAAAATTATTACAATTAATTCTTAAAAATAACGCAAGTTCCTTATTATTTAATATATTTTACGCGAAAATCTGTTGATCCTACATGTTTACAATTGGTAACTTAATTAATTAACTCACTTCGTTGTTTAAATAAATTCGAACGAAAAAAGGGTATTATTTAATTGTGGACTGTATAACTGATTTGCTAAAATTCGTTCAAGTAACTGTTTTCGACTATTTACCTCATTTTTCTAATTTGTAATTTTAAAACTTCGAGTTATTTTCAATGATTGCGCGGCAACTATATTTCTAATCAAAAAGTGTGTGGGAGGTTTCAAGAAGCTGCGAAATTTTCCTATCATGCTGTTATTTTCCCGATTCATTTATGTAAAATTAGTTATTAAGGTTTTTTTTTTTTATAGCAAAAGTTTTGACTTCTAAAAGTGGAAATCTTTTGGGTGAAATCGAGTAACAGGATGCAGGTGGAATTCCGCGGCTCCTTTACTCTTTATCTAAACCTACTCAAAAAACTTTATGATCGTGCGAGGTAAACATCGGAAAGCGCGCGATAAAGGGACGACTATTTTCACGTGTCCTCCAGCTGCTTCAGCTGAAGGCTCTCCTTCGCTAGTTTACCGAGTTAAAATTTAAGCTACACAAAAGTACATGAGGAAAAAAAAAATTTATTTCTAATAAACGGCCCGACGTTACACCCCCCCACTTAAACGGTTACTTAAGGAGCGCAGCGAGGCAAAGTAATCGCTAATTAAGATGTGATTGTAGAGCATGGTAACCAAGATTTATTAACATTTACTGTCGAGAAAAGAAACTATTGTTAGTTTGGATTGAGGACACTGGATGTTCTTTTGGTACGTTGGCATCTCTTTCTTGAACCTGAACTGGTATGTAATGGGGTATCTGTATTGGCATAGGAACTCTACTTGGTTCTTCCTGGGATTTTTCATTTTCCTTCTGCGTTGAATGGCCTAAGTGGATAAGGAAAGTTGTGAGACTGTTCCATATGGCTCCAAAAAGTTGGTAGGACCACCCATAAATACTATGCAGAGCCATGCCGTTGATAAAGATTTCTATCACCTTTTTAATTATTTGAATAATAAAAAGGATAGCTATCACTCCTGCACTGAATGTTCCAAACGTCATGAATTTACCCCACATTCGGTTCCAAGTGGTATGAACTAAGCGTTCTAAAGTGTTCTCATTGAGCAATTTATTAATTACTCCTTCTTGATCTTTCATCGCATGACCTTTGATTTCTCGAGCAACATCATTGATGACAGCTGATTGTTCGAGAGGATACATGATTCGATTTAGAAGATCCTGCAGATCTTGTTCAGTATAAATACCACTTGTAGCGAGAGTTGGAATATCTTGATATTTCCAGGTCATTTGGGCAAAAGGCTTCAAAATCTCTGGTGTTCTGGCGTCTACAGGACGTGGCATGAATTTATACCAATTTTCGTTGACATAAAAGTGAGTGGACAGCAGAGCGTTACAATCCACTATTGTTCCTTGAGTCTTGAGAATATGTGTTTTGGGTGTCATAAATTTGGTGATATTGTTATGGACTACTTTTAATTCTTCATAACAGTTGGTCCCCGGCGAAATCTTTACGTCTACCGGGATACATTTGACGACGTGAACTACTTCGCCAGCCGTTACCGCCATATATCCAGGTCCTTTCATTAAATTGTATGCGAATTGATCAGGTGAATACGTGGCTATTGCTAAAGCATTTTTTAAAATTTCGCGTTCTTGTCTACAACGCTGTACAACTACATCTCTATACAAACTATTTATTTGATTTTTGATATAACGCTCGACGAATACAAATTTAGAATTAACGTACGCAAATATGTCTAAATTGCTTAATGATAATTTCTTTGCTACGGCAAAGGTCGAGACTCCTCTAGTGGTTTCAAAAATGAATAATTTTGGATGTTCTGTTTGAACTATTTCATATCCACAGATTTGTCTTTTTCCTTTGGCCATTAAGGCGAAGGTAATATCTTCTGTTATCAAGGAATATATACGGTTCTGGTGCTCGTCTATTATTTTGTTAGCTATGCCTTCATATAATATCCCGTAATGATTGAATTTACATATATCCCGTGGTATCGTTTTCCAGAAAGTATTACCTCCTTCCGGGTCTATACAGGTTTCTTCAGTTAATGT